AGCCCTACATTGTTATCCCCTCATACATTGCGCAGGTCGTCGCTTACCCAGTCGGAAAGGCCTGGGAAAAGTGGATGCCCAATTATACCTTCAATTTCTTCGGCCACAAAGCCGAACTAAACCCAGGCGTTTTCACCAAGAAAGAACATACCATTGTCGTTATCATGGCTAACGCCACTTTCGGTGGTGGCGCCGCCTACGCGACGGATGTTCTCTTGGCTCAGCGTGCCTTCTATGGACAGCACTTCGGCTGGGGTTTCGAGATCCTCATGTGTGTCTCGACTCAAATGTTGGGCTTCGGCATGGCTGGCTTCTTTACCCGCTTCTTGGTGTCGCCCTCTGCCATGATCTGGCCCTCGACCCTGATCAACACCTCCCTCTTTGCTGCGCTGCACGATCGCACCAAGCCGGATCCCAGCAAGGTCGCTGGCTGGAGGATCGGTAAATATCAGATGTTCCTATACGCCATGATTGGCTCTTTCTGCTGGTACTGGTTCCCCGGCTACATTGCGCCTTTCCTGAGCATCTTTGCCTGGGTCACCTGGATCAAGCCCAACAACGTGATTGTCAATCAGCTCTTTGGTGGAGCCACTGGCCTGTCGCTGCTTCCAATGACCTTTGACTGGACTCAGATCTCTGGTTTCAACTTCAGTCCCATGATTGCTCCTTGGTATGCCATCTCCAATACCATGATTGGCATGTTTATTTGGTTCTGGATTGTCACCCCCGCCATTCAGTACTCCAACCTCTTCTACGCTCAGTTCCTCCCCATGAGCGACTCCAGCAGTTACGACAACACCGGTAATGTATATAATGTCACCAAGATTCTTACTCCGGAATTCACTTTTGACACCGGGAAATACGAGAGTTACTCTCCTCTCTTCCTATCGACCACATTCATGCTGTCCTATGGTCTTTCCTTTGCCAGTATCATCGCTGTGCTTGTCCAGGCCGGTCTTTTCAACGGTGCCGATATCTGGGCTCGCTTCCGTCGCGTCGGAAAGGAGGAGGAAGATGTTCACGGCCGCCTGATGACTCGCTACGCTACAGTTCCACTTTGGTGGTACTTGGTTGTGTTTTTGGCCATGGTCGGAATCGGCTTTGGTGTTATTCTGGGCTGGGAGACACACATGAGCTGGTGGGCCTTCATCATTGCCCTGCTCATCTCCGCTATTTGGTTTGTTCCTATTGGCATTGTCAAGGCTGCCACCAACATTGACATTGGTCTCAATGTCATCACCGAGTTCATCATCGGTTACATGCAGCCCGGTAGACCTATGGCTATGATGCTGTTCAAGACCTACGGTTACATCAGCATGTACCAGGGAATGTACTTCACACAGGATCTGAAAATTGGTCAGTCCTGTCCATTTTGGTTACTTTTTGGTGTCAACTCGTTATACTAACCTATTCCATTAGGTCACTACATGAAGATTCCTCCCCGTGTTACTTTCATGGCACAGATGGTCGCTTGTTTCTGGTCCTCCCTGGTCCAAATCGCCACCATGAACTGGGCTCTGGGTGCCATCAAGGGCGTCTGCGACCAGTTCCAGCCTAACCACTTCACCTGTCCCAACGGTCGTGTGTTCTTCAACGCCTCCGTTATCTGGGGTGTCATCGGCCCCGCCCGCATGTTCTCCATCGGCCAGCTTTACTCCCCCCTCATGTTCTTCTTCCTCGCCGGTGCCATCCTCCCCGTCCTCATCTACATCGGCGCCCGTTACTTCCCCAAGAGCCCTATCAAGTACCTCAGTGCCCCCATCATCTTCGGTGGTGCTGGTTTGATTCCTCCCGCTACCCCTCTGAACTACCTGTCCTGGGGTATTGTCGGATTCGTCTTCAACAAGTTTATCCGTGACCGCTGGCGCGGATGGTGGATGCAGTACAACTACGTCCTGTCTGCTGGTCTGGATGTCGGTCTCGCTCTGTGCACAATTGTCATCTTCTTGTGCCTCAACTTGACCGATACCAGCTTCCCCGAATGGTGGGGAACCAGAATCGCCAGTGGCACTATGGATGTCACCGATTCAGCCATTCGTAACCCTGTCCCTGAGGGCCAGACCTTTGGTCCCGCCAAGTGGTAGGAACTCCGATTACTTGTTACTTCGGTTTCCTAGGGAGCCAACTGCGGTCGGAGTCGGGGCACACACAATTTTTCGGTTATCCGTTTAATTCACGTCCGCCACGAATCACGATAAAGTAATACCAATTGATTTTTGTTACTGCAACCATTCTGTATTTAATTCCAGTTCATTTGAGGCTTGACCGGTATATAATAATACACGGAACGCATCCTCAACACCCTATCTCTCTTTTTAGGATTATCATCGCTTCATATACTCCCAAGGAGTAATTTATTTTGAATATCCAAAGATAATAATTGAAAAGCAAAAATATATAAAAAAATGACATATGTACACGCTCATCAGATTCCCGATATTTTCACTCAAATCCAACAAAAAGGAAAATCATCAGCGACTTCGTGGTAAAACACTTACCCAAAGCAAGCATAGAACCAACTCAGCCATTCTCATCGAATCATGACAAACGAATGGTGATCCAAAATATAATCGAAGATCCCATTCAATTCCACCCAAGTTTCCAAACAATTTCAATCCTAATACACCCCTATTTTACAAGGGGTGTTATTCTATACATTCCAAATCCCTCAAACCCGACGACGACGCATACCAACCTGCAAAGCAAGCGGCTTACGCAGGAATCCCTCACGAGTCTCCATAGGTCCATCCTGGTGCATCTCGAACTCGAAGAGTCGGAACACAGTAGCGCAGATAACGAGAAGTTCCATCTCAGCGACGTTACGACCAACACAGGCGCGAGGTCCGTGGCTGAATGGGATGAAGGCGGCCTTTTGGCGAGCGGTGAGACGTTCCGGACTCCATCGTTCTGGGACGAACTGTTCAGCGTCAGAGCCCCAGACTTCCTTGGAGCGGTGGACCGTGTAACTAGGTACGGAGAGAACGTCGCCGGCTTTGAAGGTGTGCCCGCAGATCACGACGGGGGCGGAACCGGCGGGGATCTCGCGGGGAAGTCCCATTGCGGAGGTGCTGTGAATACGCATGGTTTCCCAGATTACCCATTGGAGGCTGTGGTTTGTTAGTTTGGGGTTTGTGTGGGGTGGGGAAGGGTGGAGAAGGCTTACTAGGGGATTTCCTTGACCATGGCGTGTGTGGGAACTTCAATGTCCTTGGGGATGGCGTCGTCGAGGATCTTGTGCAGCTTGGGGAGAACGTGTGGTGTGATCATGCACCAGTAGAGGATGGCACAAGAGGTGTTGGAGGTGGTGTCGGAGCCGGCGATGAGTTGAGTGAGGGCCTCGGCGGTCAGTTCGGCGCGTTCAAGCTGGTTACCATTTTCGTCCTTGCCTTCCATAAGACGGGCGAGAAGATCCACACGGGTGTTGTTGGCCATGACTTCCGGCTTGAGACGTTCGTTGACACGGGCGATGGCGATACCAGCAAGGTTCTCAACAGCTTGCAGACCTTCAGAGAAGAACTTGTCTGGGATGTACTTGGCGTAGGGAATGAGAGACGGCATGCAGCCCAAAGTGGCGGACACCTCACCACGGCGGTTCAGGACTTCCACGGCAGCGACGTACTTGGGAGGGTCCTTGGGGTCCAGACGCATCTCGGCAATATCCTGACCCTTCTCGAGCATGCCGAAGGGAGCACCGAATGCCAGGTCACCGATGATATCAAAGGCCAGGTAGTTGAACCAGTTGAGGGCGTCCAGACTGGCATAGCCGGTCTTGGGGTCACCCTGGAGATCGGACAGTTTGTTCCATTGCTTCACAAACTCCTCGATGTTGCCGTGGATATACTGCTCGAATTGGCCAATGGACTTGGCACTGAAGGTGTGGGAAACGGTCTTGCGCTTGCGGGTGTGCTCGGCACGGTCACGGGTGTTGAACAAGCCACGGCGGATAGAGACAAAGGCATCGTAGAAATCACTGGGATGTTGTCAGTTGGGGCGTAGTCTGGGCTATCACAATGACATACGCTTTCAGGAAACCATTTCCGTGTCCATAGATGCTCTGAATGGCCGCATCGTCGGCAACAGAGACCTGGGTAGGTGAAATGCGGACTAGCTTCCCAAGCTTCTTGTGGGCCTCGTCGATCGTCTTGAACTTTTGACCTTGGCGGCATTGCAGCAATAGCCAAACGTTAGTGAATGCGGCGAACCCCGCAGCGGGAATGTCGCGCAGATGCGACTTTTGCAGGTAAGGCACCAAGTAATATCCAACGGCAAGGCCGAGCAGAATTACCGGAATGCTCTCAAGTGTCACAAACATCGTGAAGTGTTGTATAGGAGTGTTGGACAAAACAACACGGGGAAAAAAGGTACCGGCCCAATATGGAAAGCAATATCAATATAGAATGTTCGAATGAGATGAATCACACCAAATCTATGACCCAAAATGAGAATCCAACCTATTTATGAAAGAGGGATTTGCTGATTGAATCATCCCCGAGGGTAAAGGCAAGTAACGGGAAGCAATTTCGGTAGTGTGGAGTCTGGACATTGGCGGCGGAGACCACTGGAGATTGCCGTCTCAAGCCTCCGAACGTCTTAACGCCCCCGGTTTCGGTTAATCGCGTGTGGGGTTCAGGCAAATCGGCGTTCGCATATTGGATATTCATTGGAGAGAAATGACATTTCATGTTAATCCTTTGATTTGTTGAAAGTGTGGGGGAAAAGGGGCACGAGACATGGTTGACGCCTTGTTTATGAGGCGACAATATATGTCATCGGCAGACTTCCAATCTGCAGCCTTGGAAGTCAGGCATCAACTTACTTAAGTTATCAGGTGTCGAATATCCTGGGAATAACTACCTGAAAAAGGCAAATGGTCTCCGCGGCTTTGAGTGCGCCGAAAGAAATTCTATCGAATCTAACGAAACTACTCTCTTGAAAGGCACGACGAGAAAGCTACGCTGATATTGTATTTGACTCGAGCTTTGTGCGAATGGAACAGTCTCTCAGCACTCGTACCGCTCCATGATAGCACTGAAAGAAAGATCTCGCAAAAGTTCTACTGCGGTCGGCCGTTTTTCTGGCTGGTAGACAAAGACTTTCGACATGATGGAGTGCACAAGTTGCCGCTCGACCAAATCAGCATCGGGACGAAAATATGCAAGTTTCGTAGTAAGGTCATTCTCTGGATCAGGAGACTGAGACTGATCATACCATGAATCAAGTCCACCACGGTGTGTAGAGAGAACTTTCCACTGCTCAGGTTATAAAGTCGATCTGGAGAGCAATAATGCATAGGTGGGTAGCCGCATTGAGTGGTAACGTTCCCAATTTTCTTTGCTGACCCAAAGTCACAAAGATAGAATTCTTCTAATCGAAGAAGATCTTTAGGAAATTTGACAGGGCTCACAAGCTCGCCCTTGTTCCAGAGTTCGACAAATGGTATTGTCTGCTTTAAAGGCCGACCGAGTAACTCATACTTGGTGCTTCTGTCAAGACTATCGATAGGAGCCATTCCCCACATACAGTTCCTTGCATTCAAATCTATAGCATTCTTCTTAGCATATAAGAAACCAAAATCAGAGGATGGACTTACCGCGATGTATGATTCCAGCTTCATGTGAACCTGCCACAGTCTCCAGTAGTTGTCGAGCAGCAGACATACGAGACGCCATAGGAGACTTTCTTAAGGTAAGAGTGCAGATAGACGGCCCTTTCACAGGGAACACCAAGACCCTATGGTAGGTCTTATCGTCTCGGGGTAGAAAGAAAGTCGCAGTGTATATAACCAGGCGAGAAGTATCCTGTACCGTTTTGATAATCTCATCCTGGATTCGAGTTTCATTGTCGCCCCATTTCCCTAGGTCCATGACTTTGAGAGCCACTTCTCTCTTATCTTGCTGGTCAAAGGCCATCCAGACAGTTGAACCACCACCAAAGCCAAGTTTGTGTTCAACCAGGTACCTCTCGTTGAGCACTTCCCCGAGGCGAATGGGATAGAGGACATATTCGTTATCTTCTGCGTCGTACCTATGCCATGGCTCAACAAGCTCTTCCAGATCAGGTTCCTGTTCTTCATCCTTCACGTAGTCACCGAAATCTGTGTTTTCAGGGAATGCTTCATTGTTCGCGATTTCGGATGCGTATTGTATCGATGGCAGAGTGTATGGATAATGAGAAGATGTGGTGAGTTCAAGGTACGAAGACATATAGGACTCAGGGTTCAAGACCAGTTTTATAGGTGGAAATTGCTGCCTGAATGCCATATTTAGCACCGCTTTTTACACCACTCTATAACTATAGTGTATAGTAAATTTATTAATACTACGGCTGTCGAAAATGAAGCTTTTGATCTCATACAAATGGAGAGATCTCCATGTTTTTTGACGGTTTTACAAGTGTCAAGAATGAAGCTTTTCATCAGCTTACGAATGGAGACATCTCTGTGTTTTTAAGCAATTTGCAAGTGTCAAAATTGGAGCTTTTGGCCCAATATAAATGGAATTAGCGCTGACGGCTGTGAGGAAAAGGAAGTATTGGGCCGAAGTTGAAATGTGAGACTAAACGCACGCCTCGGCGAATTCGGCGTAGGCGGTGCGCCACGTAATAACGAATTTCTATAGGGTAGTCGAATTATCGTTGGCGTAGCGAAGGGTAACCCACTTGTGGAGCCCGGTGTTATAGGTGTGAACCGCGAAAGTCTTATAAAGACTCTGGTATGAGGAGTAGGTGTTACGAGCGATGTTAATGTAGGGTTTGAGAGACGCGTGGACGGTAGCGTGAAGGTACGAAAGAAGGCGGCGAGACTTGCTAGTGTACTTGTTGAAGTCGGCGTGATCTGCTACTAGCTGAGCCTATTTGCCGGTAAGGATCTCGTGGAGCTAAGGATTACGGGTATCGAGAGCACACTTGAGTGCTGTGGACCACGAGACAAAGTTCGCTTCGCCTATAAGGATGGGGACTAGCTCTGAGAGCTTTGGCTTCGCGAAGGAAGCGGTGTTAGCGTCGGAAGCCATATTGAAAGGTGGAATGCTTCGATGGAGAGGCCCTTTGATAAAGAGGAAGGTTGAATAGAGCTTCCGAGGGCTCATAACCTGTCAGAAGGAGACTATGATGAAGTGCATTGCGCGATGTGAGATTGATTGAGAGTTGTTGTAAAAGCTAAGAGCTAAGTGCTAAGAAAACTGACACTCTGACATGACGATATTCCGGTATGGGGCGTATCGTTTGATCATTAACAATCACTAGAGGGCTTGCATACGCATTTCCAAGAGGCGAAGTAGGGGGATTTGTTCTCAGCCTCAATGTATAGGTGTTGGAGACATTCAAGAGGGAACCATCAATTTTTCTCTACACAAGACACACGGTGTTTTATCGCCTGAATATCTCATGTCTCTTGTGAACACCATCCCCGCCGAGTCCTACTTGGGGACTATTGGTGGCATCAGTGTTTCTTGGAACCCAAACGCAATTACCAACCTACCTGCAAACGCTGAAGCCTACAGGGTGGAATTGAAAGCACTGAAGAGTACCACTGAAACCGTGGCTGTCGCGTGTGCTCGAAGGATAAGGAAAACCTCTGTCCGCATCTTGTACGTCATATTCAATCCTGGGCTTTGACCGTATTCATGATGTATTCTAATTATTTTGCAGGGGCTCGTTTCACGATTCAACCACCAACTTAGCTGCTGGTGAAATAACGGAAGACGCATGCCATTGCTCAATTTCTCTCAAACCAGGAGGTGCCAAAGCCCATATCTACGTGACTAACCTCCGGAGGGTGCCGATCGAAAGCATGAGATTGCTGGGAGAAAGCATTATCCTGAAAGGCTCCATGTCCCGGGACCCAAACTTGTCTATTGGTTCACTACCTGTTGTGTGGCCCTGGGAATAGTCTGTTTGTTGGATGCTGAAGAGGAGAATCGCCGGTCGCTGATTGTCACCCAACATATGATTCAAACTAAACTGCTCTTGCCAATTGACCGCTCTCCTGGTCACCAACTCCATGGAGTTGCCAAGTCAGAGAGATTCGTTGTGTGCAAATCTAGAGTTTTCATGATCATCGAGGACTTCCTTAACGTATGGCAATTGCGCGCATTCTAAAATTTGCCCATTATGATTAACTAAGTAGCTTCACATCCTAAGTATGAATCACCAGAAGTTCATAATATTCACCAATACAATGATGGTAGAATGGACAAATGGTTTGAGAAAGGCCACAAATTCGATTGTTTGGTGAAAGAAACCGCAAGTCTGCAAAGACGCAGCAGTCTCTCACCAGTTTCATACCCGCCCAAAAACAGGGGGATCAAGTTAATGACAGCCTAGCCGACCTACTCCCCATATCCTTGACCAATTCCACGTTGATGAACCTGCATATGCCGGTCAGAATCAAATACAGGCATCCCATAATGAGGTGAAGTCTTGATATAGACCAAGTTCCGAGACTGCGTCCCAAAGAGGCATATATAATAATTGTTCAAGATGTATATATATAAAAATGTACATGAATCAAAACCAGGGCTCCTGATCCATCCTTCACTGGTGATTACGTGCATGATCATGATGATGACTCTTGCTCATCAACCCATGTGCCCCCAAGAAATCATTAATCTGCTTATAAGCCGCAGTGGCATTATAGTGCAGATTAATAGCATGGCCAGTGTTGGGATGGATGTACGCAGAGAAAGCACTCGCCAAGGGGAAGATCATCTTGGCCCCAGCAGGAATAGAAGCCGATTTCCCACCCGTGTTCACACAGTCACCTCCACAAAATGGCACATCGTTCGCACCATCAATGACATAAACAGGTCCTGTGAAATTGCTCTGCGCCGGTAGACCAGTGATAGTCAGGAGTTCACCGATGGTCATGGGCTGCTTGTTTTCTTCTGCAGATTCCAGAAGACCGGTGTCGAAATGGGGCGGGTAGAAGAAGAGATATACATTGCTGCCGACGTCCGCACTCGTCAAGTACCCACCTGTATAGTCTGAGTTCTTGCCGTTGAGTCGGGCTTGTTGGAAGTTGGCGCCGCTGAGGAACATTGGCATATAGTCGGCGCTTGTAGAATACCCGGTGAGAACGAGCGCATCGGAAAGTTCTGGGTACATCGCTGACAGGGCAACTGTCTGGGCAGACCCGAATGAATGTCCGACGTGGACGATCTTGGCGGGGGTCTTGATATCAGACATCTCGCCGTTGCGCACCATGCGGGTCAACTGAGCAAGGGCTTCAATCTCGAGGAATGCCTGGATCTCGTTCTTTGCGTCTCCATGGGAGGATTTGCCGAAGCCCAATCGGTCGTAGGAGAGTGTGTGATATCCTCGAGACAAGACGTAATCCACATAGGAGTAGTTATAGTTGTTGTATGGTAGATCCCAATATCTATATTTCCATGTAAGATCACTGTGTATTGAGACCAATCAGAGCTCGAAACTCACGACTTGTCAAATCCCATCCCATGTGTGAGGATCTGAAGCGTGTAGGCCGCGCTCCCAGCGTTCTTCGGCACACAGTATTGAGTTGAGATATTGTAGTTGCCCGACACGGTAGCATAGCCAGACAAGGCTGCTTCTGTCAAATTTCTACCTTGTTTGGTCGCGGCAAGGACGAAGGAAGTAGCGTCATAGTTTGTCTGGGGCGTGCTGATGTTGTCGAACACACCATTGCGAGCCGTGACAGGGACCTCCACTGTTACATTGTAACAGGTCTTCGCAGCACCGGCACCAGTTGTCAAAGCCCAGATTCCAATTGTTGAAGTACGCATCGTGAATGAATTTTGGGTGTGATATCTGTGCACCCAGGTTAACAAGCGCAAAGGGGATCGCCCCCCTTATATAGCCTATCCACCAGAAAGCTACGGAGTACACTTGCAACAGAAGAACACACTTAGCCGGAATGATCCGTAGGGCAAGTGCAATTCTAAAAAATCGGCCCTAAATTATTTGTCAAAAGGACCGCGATTGGAGTGGAACCGAACTAATGCATAGATCGATAGTGCACGCCCATCAAAGGTTGTCCGGTACTAAGCTCTGGGCTTGAAATTGTCTTGAACGTTACGGAGTAGATGATCTTACTTTTGACAATTGACATGATCCAGACACGAATCATCATATACATTTGATCTGATAGATCCGTCTAAATGAGATCAACCTTTATAAGTTCATAATGCTGTATACCGTCGATCCCAATCTCAATAGGAACGAATTATCATTTAGGATCTCTGATCCTTCTGATCCACTTGGTCCGAGCCCTAAAAATGAGAACATATCCAACATTATCTCTGCCGAGGTTAGATCACAGTTTTTTGATTGTAGATAAATGAATATGAGTGTGAAAATGGGCAATATTCTAAATTGGGACTGTAGGTATGGTCTGTTCATATATAGTACTGTGGTATTAATATCTGGAACGCAAAGCCCCATGTTGATTTTGACCTTGTCAGGGGGAACCGGAGGGATTCTTTAGCGTGCTGGAGGTGGTATTTAGGGAATTAGCGAGAATATAGATCCAACTGTTGCGATATGTATCCAAACAAAGGAAAAGATCTACAAGTGTTCTCAGGTTCGAGGATCTAGGCTTTCATTTAGTGGAGTAGTCGATGATGCCTGAAACCACTAACAGAACGAGAGCGAGAAGAATAGCGAGAAGAATAACAGCCATGCAAATCCCGAAATTAAGCTCCATGCAGTCGCTATGTTGTATGCAAATTCTAATGCGTTAAGTCCAAAATCATGCGTATCCATCGTATGTGCCAGCCGTTGATCACCACCGATCGCCAGTGACAGGAAACAACCCATTCTTCTTCTTTTCGGCATCCCACCGCTCCATCCAAACCTTCATCTGATCCCGACTCTTCTGGCTGGCAACATTCACTGTCGGAATAACCCGCCCGATACGCAAAGCGCAGCAGAACATGGTCAATTCGCGGAACGAACTGTGTTCACTATAAGGCACACCAAAGCAGGCGCTTTCTCGCGTACTGCCGCGCTGTGGTGTGAGATCTTGAGTGGTGTATGGTGACTTCCAGTGTTCACCGTGCAGCACAGTGGAGACGGGTGGGTTTTGTACCAGTCGCCCCGCTGGTGGGCGATAGGTCCAGCCGGTCGGGCGGAAACCGACGACTCGGGAGAAGTGTGGTTTGAGGCCATCGAGGTAGTCTGCCAGTGTGTCGGCGCGGATCTCAAAGAGAGTTTGCATATGTACTTGTGCTTCGTGAGGATTTCTGGTCAGCATCGCGGAGAGCTCGGGGTCTTCTAAGCAGGCGCAGATTCGTTGCTTCGGTGGAGTCGCGAAGATCTTGGATCCGAGTGCTCGGGCGATCCCCATGCATATCCGTTCTTTACCAATACTGTAAGTGCCAATCACTACGAGCAGTCGACCTCCAGCCTGCGAGCCCTTGTTCGGTGCTTTGTTGTTCCCCGTGGCGGCGGAGAGAAATTTGCCCATCAAACCACCTGTACCATTCTTCCCCGTATCAAATCCGACACCGGCTTCCTGACTCAGGCGCACACATAGCTCTGAACACGCTGTGATCACATCCTCCTGAGCGGGAAAGCCATATTTCGGGCTAAGATATGTGGTGTCGAGGTAACATTTGTCGATATGTTGCTGTCTTGGCTTGCCTGTGACCGGGTTGGTCACATCAGGGCGTAGGAGCGGATGTTGCACCTGAGCGGGAGATGCACGGAAGTCACCGCAATGCAGCACCCGTTGGTTATGAGCATTGGGCCCATTCCCAGAGCTTTTTTCGAAAAGGAAAAGTGAGCTACCGGGGCAATGATTTGCATGTATCATGGTGACTCGCACTCCTCCCGTCTCGGGCACTTCAGTGGTAGATTCAAACTCGAGGTCAATTACCCACTTGGGATCAACACGGAGCTGCTGGCGGACAAGGTTGGCAGTGGGTCGACTGCAGTAAATGGGCCCATGACACCAGGACTTACTGAGCCCTATATAGTGATCGCTGTGAAAATGACTGAGAAAATAGGCGTTGCATCCTTCGACAGCCCCGTAGCGGAAGGCATCGACACATATAGAAAAGCCCGGAAGAATTTTGTAAAACGGACACGTCCGCTGGTAGGCTTGTTTTCCGCGAGAAGACACTTCGTTTGCAGCTGCAGCTGCCCAAGCAGTATCCTCTGCATTTCCAGCCATCATCTTTGAGAATGCGGAACCTCCAATGGGTTTGTTTTGCAAGTAGGGATCACCTTGCGCAGGTCGGGCAATGGCAGCTCGCTCTGCGCGTGTCAGCCCTTTGTCGAGGTTGGCTGGCTTGGGATCCGGCATCACCACAGGCTTAGGAGCGGCTGTGGCCGGGATAGGGTTGGCTGTGCCATCGAGGCAGTTGTTGACATGCACTGCGATTTCCTATGCTGGCAATCAGCACATCAATACACCACAAAGGCAGTAATGGGCACGCACCGTTTCATTAAGTTCCTTCAGCACCATTTGGCAGATAGGGCATGTGCCCACATCCCCCTCGATATCCTCTACACCCGAACAGTCGTTTGAATCTTTGTCAGGCTCTACCTCAAGTTCGATCTGCTCTTGTTCCTCGCCCTCCCAAGGCCGATTTCGAAACTCTTCCCCTATAAGCTCGTCTTCTTCTTCTATATCGTCAAAATTCGCGTATTCATCATTATCGGCATTACTCGTGGCGGCTCTTACCAGTGGCGGAGGTGTGGGTTCGGAAGTGCGGTGTGTAGCCACTATTTTATCCATCTTCAATGTATCGGTCACATCCCTAGTCGCAGGTGTGGTCTCATGAAGTTCCCGATATGCTTCCATATCGTCCTCGCTGTCGGATTCATCGATGAATGGTCCGCTTCTTTTCTGCGTCTTTGTATGTGCTGATGCAGGTGCTTTTGTAGCCTTCGATTCGGCGTCTGGTTGCAGTGTCTCGTTCGTCACATCCCTAGTCGCAGGTGTGGTTTCATGAAGCTCCCGATATGCTTCCATATCATCCTCGCTGTCGGACTCGTCGATAAACGGTCCGCTCCTTTTCTGGATCTTTGTAGGTGCGGGTGCTTTTGTAGTTTTCGATTCGTCGTCTGGTTGCTGTGTCTCATTGACCAGGGTGTCCGGTGAGTCAACCTTCCGACGCTTGACCGCTGAGTCGCTCTCATTATATCGCTTGTCATCCAATTTTAGACTCTCTTCGTCATCACCCCAAAAATCAGGCGTCAGCGATCGCTCTCTTTCGCTCGTCACCGCTGCTTGTTGAATCTTTGCCAGTCCCTTCTTATCCTCCAAGAAAAGTCCACCAGCAGGATCATTTCGCGAACTGTTTCCTCGCTGGAATGTCGAATTCCCCCGGCCGCTGCTCGGTGAACGTGAGGTCGCCGTGCCAAATTGGGTGATCCGAGCCTGGCGAGAAGTGGCGCCTGGTGGCGTGTCGGTCTTCTGGAAGAAACTCAAGATGCTAGAATTGCGTTTTATTGAAGATTGTTTTGTCCCTGAAGATCCCTTCGATGGCGTTGCCCCTTTCTTCGCGTAGGATCCGGCCATTGCGGCTCGGTCACAGAGTGAGAGTTGGTTGCACTGTGTGGGAGAATCGAGTTGTGGCGAGGGGTTAAGAGAGTTCGCAGCTGGTCCAAGGTAGTTGTATGCCGGATAAAACGTAAAAAGTGTCGCTAAATGTACAATGTATGCATAATATGTGCACGGTCGCCAGAGAAAATGTCCAGGATAAGTCGGGACGAGAGGCGCGAAGAAACTGGATCGCGACACGAAGTCACGTGGGCAATTATTACTTGGCCCCAGCCCTGGAGGGTTACATTCGATCTAAGTTTTTAGAGCATTGCAAAATAGTCAAATGGCCAAAAAAAAGTTGCTGTTCATTATTGCAAAAGACATTTCTAACGAGGTATCATGAACAACGCAATCCAGGTGCCAGCATGAGCTATAGGCGGGTAATTCTGACGAAATTGCTTTTGCGGCGTATCAAGATTCATGAGCGGCGATCCAAGGTCCATTTGGTATCTTGGACGCACTCAAGTGGTATGGGAGTTTCGAACATCCTTCGTTACATGAACCCGTCTCCCCGGCCATCAATTGGTTCATCTCAATATTGGGGTCACATGAAACCCCACACTTTTGGCCATATAGTCATTTTCTTTGCTGGAGACCACCTGGTGGGAACAACGGTATTGAAGAGCGCGATGCGTGATTTGTCGTAAAATTGAGGTCATGGTCGTTTACCGAGCTTTGCCAGCCTGGTTGGCAGCCTCTGTATAATGCTCTATTAGTATTGATTCGAAGGGCAATTCCGGTCCCAGCCTTTCTAGATCTTTCAAGTGAGGAGGAAACATAGAATGATCACAAGAGCTCAGCTCGGGGAACAATGCGCAACTCACCTCGCCGTGTGGCATCCTCCAACAACCCCACGTCAACCTCCGACCGAGGCAACATCACGTACCGCACCACACTTCCTCGGATGAACATGTTTTTCACCGAAGACAGGTGAGGGTACTTGGCCAAATCCAACACTTCGATATCATCGAGCTTGATGTTTAGGTATTGGTCGACCGATTTCAAGATTCCACGAATGCGGATGTCATTCTTGAGCTCAATGGTGACCGTCTGGTTTGTGAGAGTCTTGAAGAAGCTGTAATGAAGCAACTATTAGTTTTCATCTATGCAAATTGGGTTTGCGCTTCGCGCCATAGCATACCTAAAGAAAAGCATGGTTGCGGTGGATAGGAAAGCTTGGAGGGGTGCTCAGATGAGGAGAGGTGTGCTGGATCAGAGCGGTGATTTATATTCTGCCGGTGTCGGACGATGCTGTGAGTTTTATGTGAGAGCGGTAACAAGTATCAGCACATTTAGAGGCAAGAATGTCGACAGCGCTCAAGAGTTGGTAAGGCGAGATGCAAAAGAGAAGCCGTCGGAGGTGGTCACGTGCATGTCCCCATATAAGCAGCCAATGCTCCGTCACATCCATGAATTTCCTCCAGGTTGGACTCCCATAAACCAAAAACACCTAGAGAATTGTTCCAGATCCTCCAGCACACATCCTTATCAAACAAATGACTTTACAATGTCTTTTTCTGATCATTCCCCATTCCTCGCACAGACAATGCACATCTACATCCGCTACGGAGTACAAAGCCATGAAATATGCTTTGGCTCATTCCCCATTAAACAAACCTCAAGCCCTATCACACCTCTCTAGTCCTGAAATGGACATGAATATTCACGCCTCGTGAAAGTTGTTCCCTGATTGGATATTTTGCGTAAATTAGGCTGGCTCGGCGCGTATGAACACATGGACAGGAATATAGGCCCACCCATCCAGTGCCTATCACTTAACATCAATTTTCCGAATAAAAAGGTACACATAAACAGGTCTGGACTTGTCATATGAGCGATTGTACTGATCAATGTCTCTTCTTCTGCTCAGTAGGTAGCTGTGGCGCTATAAACTGCTATCTTATTCGTCGCCGGGCCAGTCAACTATGCAACCCGAAGAGTCGCACCTATTAAGAAGATAAGTATCATGTTAATCTGTATATATGAAGTACGAGGCCTATAACAATAGCTTGTTAATATAGGCGAGTTCAAGGAAGGATGTAAGATGAAAGAAGACAGGTACAAGCCGAAACAAATCGGCAATCTAGTCCGACGAGCCTAGAGCTCAATGTCGTTGCTGCTGGTATATCAATATAAGAGAGACTTTATTCGAAATGAATTTCTACCAACACGACACACTCGAAGACCACTTCGAACAGCTACTACTTGATCTTCCAACGCTTCCTTTGTTTGTTTCCCATCATGGCTTACACCACAGCAAACTAGGAGCAGAGGATGTGGCTACTATGATTGGAAAGGCGATACAGCCTACCTGATTTCGTCACCTCATATGTTGGCAAGCAAATCAACAACCTCCTCAGCACTCGGCATTCAAAGAAATGATCTGGCATGTTGTCGAATCCCGTATTGAGCACTGAGGACTGGGACACAGTTGGAGAAGAGACCTTCACCATATACAAACTGAACTTGGGTGCCCCGCTGCTGCGGTCTGATTCGCACGCCACCGGAGAATCAATGTCAGCACGATGGAGATCGTTTCAGGCACAAAGCAAATTCGTGACAAGGCTCTGAGGGATATGAACGGTCGGAAGCTCTAATCCAATAATCGGTGATTACCAATTGGGACGAAATATTATGATCAAGGGCGGCTGGCCTAATGGTAAGGCGTCTGATTTCGGCCGAGCACTGCTCAACACATCTCAGAAGACTGCAGGTTCGATCCCTGCGTCGCTCATTTTCTTTTTTTTCGCACCTTTATTGGATAAATTCCTTTTCTTATATATTGATGGATTTCCATCGGTGATTGTTTTTTATTTGAACACACTACATTGATCTACGTGTTCGGATTCTGGAAAGGGGATCATAACAGATTCTTGATCATTGGTAGCTCATCTGACTATAGAAGAAGACAGTACCAGCGTTAGTTAGATATGCCAGAGGGCCTGTTCGATGTTATTTGGGAGCACTTGGATCCAAACCCGATTGTAACAAAAGTTATAAGCATTAGATGCATATGAGAAAGATAATATTAAAATCTAGATGGTCCAGACATCACGGTATCTACTCACTAGACATATAGGACAGGTGTCTTTCAGCGGTCACATCAGGAACGCAGGTAATGCAAGGCCAACGGGTGTTCTCGGTCTTTCTACAAGTGATTCATCCGATGGTCGGCTATATGGTTCTTGTAGAGCATCTGTGGGTAAGGAATCATGATTACTAGTAATAGGAACCCAATGATTTAGGATAGGTGGGTTATCTAACACAATGCATATTGTGCCGTTGGTCTGAAACGTAATAGTTGAAAATACTTTAGATAATGTATGTAAAGTCACTCCCAATCTCGGAGAACGAAATTATCCTGAATTGGCTACACACATAATCATGATTATAATAAAGTATCAGATATATTGGAACGGTATAGGACCGGCCCAACTCCAGCCTAGTTGTAGACGGAGGCTTTTACGTCAGAGAAGGATACTTTTTATCGAAATTATGATTTATTTAAGAAATAATTGGGACATTCCTGGAGTTATTCCTTTAATGCACGCATCATGATGTTGGGTTCCTATCTTGTATGGAGTTGAGTGATGACTTTTCAACTCCTACAGTAGCGCCAAATTCTGAAAAGCATATCCTAGTAAGAGGGGAAAGGTATACTCTGTACGGAGTACAGTTATTCACATCTCAATATGAGAAAGACTCTATGATTTGTATTGAACTACTTACTAGACTCTACGCGCCTTTAGGTCACATCTGTGTAAGCAAGAGATGTCAATAGTACATGATCACATACACTAGAAGACAGAAAAATGTGACAATGAGGTCAATTAGCATGAAATTTCTATTATTATTCCTTGCTAAGAGGACTGTACCTCTCTAGCGTGCAGTAGTAGAGTGTACAGCGTTGGACTTGGCAACCATTTCCCCTCACTTTTCTCACCTTTTTTCCCTTCTCTTCCCGATCGACAGCTCGTCTTACCGACTTTTGTATCATGGGACATTAATTATGATGACTTTGCTACCTGTTTAGGTGTTGGAAAGGTGCATAATTGATGTTCCATCCACCTCGGACAGTCACTAATTTGGCTAAAGATAGTAGCCCGGCGCCTACAGTCAGCCAATCACCAACCTCTTCACACTGCATCTCACTCTCATCCCACCACCCCAGGCGGTTCGTCACAGTAACTACGAACCTCATTGGTTCCTTTTCGCATTTTTGCACCTCGTTTACTCGACTCTTGCTTAAAAAATGGTCTTGGCTCTTTGCTCACGGGTGCAACCCCTGTTCAGCGCGACGCGCCCATTTCCTCTCCACCAATAACATCAATGTCCGCTACCCTCCAGACCAGGATTATTGGATGAATTGTGCCCAATCCTGCAGTAGTCTCTTTAACGGAGTGACTCTTTCTGAAGATGGATCGGCTGGTCACTGCACGTACCCCGTGGCTGGTGGAAAGCGCCCAATTGACTATAAACCCTTCCCAACTGCCACAACTTCTCTGAAGGCTAGCGTTCTTCGTTTTGTTGACTTCATTTTCTTATGCTCGGTGCCTATAGCTCTGGTAGCTTTTGCATCTGTTTTATTTCTTAGTGTTTATCTTGTCTTGCTTTCCATCACTCACTTCATAGACCCGTTGATCGGTGTCGCCATTTCCTACTCGAGATACCCATAGATATTTCCCGTGAGCAAGTCACACAAAACCAACATCCAACAGTTTGATCAGGCCTGCAATATGACCGATACACTCCGCTCGACTGTGCGATTTCCGCCCCTTCGGCAGGCCCGAGGGACGGTGCTTAATACTATAATGGAGGATACGCGCGAATCTCATTTCGCTCAAACAAGCCCGAAAGGCTCAATACCTTCCCGACTCACACCGGCAGCTATCAGTCCCAAGTTGAAGTTGCAGACTAGCGGGTTCTCAGTGCCAACACATGCCCGGCTCGCACGCTTAATGTCACCTCTCTCGGCCGGGACTACCTCGTCATGCTCAGATACTGAATGGCAGTCTCAGATGCGAGGATTCCAAGGATACGATGACTTGTACGATGCCACAGACTGTGATAGTATTGATGACAATGAGACCGAAATTAGCGATTCGTGCTTTTCCCCCGATACGCGGCCGTCGAGCTTGATTACGCCAATTACCCGAAACTCGGTGACCTCAACTGGGAGTCAGAAGCTTTCTCTGACACTTAAGATTCCCTCATCTACGATGTGGCCGTCAATTAACGGGTCCCTCAAGGGCTCCCCAGTGCCGCCGACACCTCCAGCCAAGATTCCAGTCTCGCCAGCAGCGCTGTCGATGCTCAGTCGTTCTGTACCTGCCTCATATGCCCCTCCTTCACTTGATGGTAGTATGACTTCGGACCAGGAATCAATCAACAGTGCATTGGCTACACCGGACAATCAATCTCTGCCAGACACCAACTGGGATGCCCATGATATACATGTTCGCCGCGATATGGACGGAAGTGAAAGTGACCTAGACAATGGTGATGCCAGTTCAGACATTCAGACTGTGCCCATTGCTATCGAGACCGAGCATGAGGACTGGCGTCATGTCTTGGGGAATTTCCCCCGGATTCCCACTGCTCATGCATATTCACCCTCGCTCTCGCCCACGCCATCTTTTTATCTGAATAACGAGCCCATTCCCGAATATGATGACTTGTACGACCCACCAGCGCCTATTAACCAAGGTGTCTTCCAGCCTGACTTGGCAATGCTACACCACACTCACTTCAATGGAACACCCGACTCGTGTTCCGAGACCTCAGCAGATAATGGCGAGATGTGGCAACTCCAGCCGCCTCCCAATCGCCCGAGGAGTGCTGACGGGGTCACCCCCGCATCTGAACTGTCTGGATACAGTTTCACTGACCTGAGCATTCCATCTCCCGGTGGCTTCTTTGCCTCTCTGGCGCCCCGTGCACGTCACACGTGGGCAATCCCCAACACCAACTACCAGCCAACGTCGGCGGCTGCAGAGGGTTTCTATAACCTCCCTTGGCGTCGGGATGAAGGAGAGATTGTTGAGCAGGTAGTTGAGTGGCCTGAGCGCCCTGTTGATGAAGCTCCAATCACAGCGGTTCGTGACGAGGAGGCCCCGCTTACTGCCATTCGACTTCCCTGTGATACACCCACTCGTCGGTCTATCTACCAGGATAGCCCCATGAGTGCTGCATTTGACGCAGTTCAGGTTCAGGAGATCCCCCGCTCCGGGAACGGATATGAGTACGACGAGTGCTATGATCAAGAGCTGCAGGAGCGTGCAGTTGCGAGCCACGACCGCACCAGTGTCTGGCTGTCTGCTCAAGCATCCTACCTCTCCGCTCTCAATGAGACAAATCCCGTGAATGACATCGAGCCTGTCGAACCGTCTGAGGCGTCTGATGACGTCGAGGCTGAAGTCGAAGAAGACACAGAAGATTCCTCCAAGAAGATGGTGCGATTCGCCGAAGGCGTTCCCGAATCCCTCAGTCCTCTGCCCCCGTTCCTTGCTAGCAAGGATTCAATTTACTGGCAAGGCTTCCAGTCTATTCGGGCACGATCAATCAAGACCGACGGGTTCATGCACCGCAATATGCGCTACGATGCTGTGCAATCCATGCGCCTCGCCATGACTGACTTGCACATCAACTGCTTGCTGGGCAAGTATGAGCTTGTGCGCCCGGAGCGCCCTGCTTACAAGGGTCCTTTCGCCAAGGCACCACGCAACTCAGTGATTACCACCGAGCTGGCCGAGAAGGCCCAATTCGACAAGGTGGAGAAAGAGCAGCTGGTTCTTGCTCAGCTCTCCCAGCCCATGTGGGCCATGGATGCTCTGCGGTCGCTCAACGGCGGCAACCTGCTCACAAGTCCTGCCCAGCGCGTGCTTACACGAGCCTCATCAAAGCCCAAGCTCTCACAGGGACAACGCAAGCGCAGCTTCCGCATCCTAGACCTTGGTGGTCACTCCTCCTGCGACTGGGCTTGGCAGGCCGCGTACGAGTTCCCAAATGTCAAGGTTTACACTGCTACCTCCAAGGGCCAGACCGTAAACAGCGCCATTAAAGGCCCTGCCAACCACCGCCAGGTGACCGTCGCCAACCTCTGGGAGCTGCCATTTGGCAACAATCAGTTCGACGTCATCTCCGCGCGCTCATTGCACGCACTGCTCAAGACCGAATGTCCCGCAGGCAAGGACCGTGACGAGTACGACCTTGTTCTGAAGGAATGCATGCGATGCCTCAAGCCAGGCGGCTACCTCGAGTTCCAAGTCCTTGACGCCGAGATCTCACGGGCGGGGCCGTACGGCAACACAACATCAGTGGAATTCGCCTTCAACCTGCGCAACCGTGGGTACGATCCACTGGCGTCCAAGAGCTTCGTCGGTCGTCTCCGCAACACCGGATTCGTCGACACACAGCGCGCGTGGATGTTCCTCCCCATGGGTACCGAGCCCGTTGAGCAGGAGCCGCTGCGCGAGACTCCCGCGCCGCGTGTGCAGAGCCAAATTGAAGATTATGAGGCGGTGCAGGGGCCGATTGGTAGTACTGCGGATATTGCCAGTATGACTGGATTGATTGGGGGGTGGATGTGGGAGCAGTGGTTACTGAAATTGCGAGTAGAGATGGGTCGTGAACGGTCCATGTTGCTTGAGGGTCTTGGTGGACTGTTTGATGAAGGGAGGAAGAGTGGCGCGGGCTGGACCTGCCTGTCTGGATGGGCTATGAAGCCGAAGAAGAGTGTGTCTTTGGCTTCGTCTATCTAGGGGGTCTATCTTTATGTATTTAGCCCTGGCCCTGGTGGCTCGCAATTAATGTAATGCTTTATGTCTGATTCTACTTCAATGACACTTATACAATATCAAGTACAGTAAAATGTGGTGATGCATAATATCAGAACGTACCTGCCCAGGTGAGCTTCGCACCTGGGCAATCCACCTTCCCCAGTCGATAATTTCTTTTCACCTCTCTCTTCTTTTCTCTCTTCTTTTCTCCCTTCAACTTTCACGTTGCTCCCATCTCTACTTCGTCTTCATTTGATCTACATTACACTCGATCCACTATCTTTCCCGAGCTTCGACATCCGAAAGCAAATAATCAATAGGGTCGACTCCATCGGCAAGGCTATAGGCATGACAGGCCCCACAAGTCTTCGGGCTCGATGGTAGGAGTAGTGATGATCAAATTGATTATCAATAGCATAGCCAAGGGCGGCTCAACAACACACAGTGGGTCCTCACGGACCAGCACTTGAAGATGGGAGGAGGGCCGAAAGGGCCAACAGGAGGAAAGCATGGTCGAAGTGGTGGCAGCCTTGGGACGAAGGGTGAGCAACTCCAGAAGCGCTTGTGGGAAATGGAGGTATTAGGAAGGGTCATATACTGACTAAGAATGCCTGTCTCTAGCCATCGTGATCGAGAGTATCGCGCCTTGGGTCGACATCGACAGGAAATGCGACCGCACACAGACAGACAACCATACCCAGCTCCACATCATTCGTGAGGACTCCACTAGCACAGCAGGGCCCGAGGAGAAGAATGGCAATCAAATAATGGGCACTCCGATGGTGTATTTATTGCTCACCGAGTCACCACCTGGGTATCATCTCCCTCCGCACCTCGAGGAGCCTGGCTCAATGGGCCGGCTTTTTGACGCCCTGAAGAGCAAGTCTCGGACCAGGAAGAGGGAGTGTGGATGGAATGATGTGGTGCCATGACTAATTCAAACCCAAACCATCATGGCCTGCCGTCTCGCTAGCAATAGGCACATAGACAGAGCTTGTGACCTTAGGACCATTTGATAAGAAGTCATTTAGCAAATCATTCTCAAGTAACGAGACATCTAGCGAATGATTAATCAAAATATATTGTTAGTCTTTCCCAAAAATGTGCTGCCACCGAGACTTTAGTGTTGACTGCGTCTTTAAAGGGTGAAAGTACCAATCTGCCATTTTGACAAGATAGGGCGAGCCACGGATTTTAAGCATTTCTTCGAACCCTTTCCTCATCTTCTCTTTTTCTTCATCTGGAAGATCGAAGCCGCGAAAGCCGATACAGTACCGACACTCTGTAGTGCAATGACCTCTACCTCTCTTGTCTATAAATGCCTCTGCGCGCAACATCCACAGTCCCGGCTGCAACATCCGCCTCGATCCGAACAATCCTGTACCAGTTCCTCTCGCATGAACCATTTAGGATCACGCCTTAGGCTATCATAAACCTCTTTCAATCCCCGTCTCTCCGCTCGGTAAAGGGCGTACTCTTTTCTTGGATATTGCAGTTGAGCGTTTTTAAGCTGTTGATTCGCTTTTTCAAGTTGAGCCCTAGTAGACTCAATAGCCGTGGCCTTGTTAGACTGTGCCTTATAGGACTCGATAAAAGGACATGGCTCTGTGTTATAACGTTTCCTCACGCCACGTTAGTTCGCGTAGAGCGCGCTCGGCGAGAAGTACATCGGCGAGTTTCCGTTGGGAGATACAATTTAACCCGTATATAAGAACTTCATAATTCTCTGTTAAGTAGAAAGATTTCATATTGCGAGTGGAAAACTTAGTAATAAGGTAAGAAAGCCTTAGAAAGTACCTGAACAAATATAGAGAAGAAACAGAAATAGAGAATCTCTTGCTATACTATAGCGTCACTAGGCCGCCGCCTAAAAAGGCGTTCTTAGTTACATATTGATACTTTCATACATGTCGCTTCCGATTAGACCTGTCTTTGCTCAATCTCTACGGTGACTTCGCTCTTTATCTCTTCGTCATTTGATTATTCGCAAACTGACGTGAATATCCAGTCACCATCCCCTACTCAGGTATTTTCAAGACCCCCCATCTCAAATAAGCACTTACTTATCATTTCCTAGCTATAGAGAGTTCTTATCCGCGAGATCCCATACGATCCCCGTGTCGCAAAGATGCCTAAGAACCTTATCGAGACGAGGGAGCATACTCTCGACCACTCAAAGTTAAGAACAAACGTTACACTCCTTTTTAAACTACGTGACCCGGTCATTAATAAGTGGTCTGATTATCCTACCAATTTCGGTGATGAGCAATACAGAAACACAATTACTCGCGGCTGGAATATCAGGAGGGAGTATCAGTATAGACATCTAGGCTATTGCTATATGTTCGACGAAGAGAAATCCAGAGCCGAACAATGGAAATCCGCGTTTGAAGCCTACTACAATATTTCCTACAATGAGCAAAGCACTCGGCTCATTCGATTGCTTAACATAATCGCAAATGTTCAATCCTTGCGTCGTTACAGCCAACCGAGAACTTTAAGAGAAATTTGTTTTGGATATGATCCTGTTGTTTCAACTACCTACCCCAGAACCGCTACTATCTGGGACAAGCCTTCAGACTCTGAGCGAAGCTATGTGAATACTGAGTGCTTCTGTAGGATTCATTGTCTTCGTGCTGTATCAACTCGACTCAATGACCCTAGCATGCATCACATTTTGAACTCCCAACTAAGAAGGCGGGTTCCTCTCGCTCATGTCTGACCTGCCCCAAGGACACGTGGTTCGCTCATTCTCACGTCGGTCAATCTCGAGGCAGATCACACGCACCATTCTCTCCAGTAATGGAAATCTTTTTGTTAATTAAACCAGTCGTTCTAGCGTTGTTCCAGCACTCTTTCGGTGTGGCTTCTTTCCCTTGTGTTGTAGCCCGAAGGATGATTCAGATAGCCGCTATTCATCCGTAGAATCCCACCTGAGACGGGCCGTTCTAGGTAACACCTGGACACATCGGCGACTCTCCCGTATCTGGATTGGGACGAACACGTGGAATGCATTTTGAGTCAAGCTGACGAGGCAGAGAGTATAGGTGGAGTTCTGACTAGTCGTTTCAAGGGCCATGACCAAGTGGTTTCAGGATCTACATCGCTACATATAGCACTCGGACTCTGGTCAACTGCGGGTGGATTCAACGAGACAGTTTCAACGCTGCCCAAAGGCCCGGGATACTTGCGGATTTATAATCCGTGTTGGGACCCTATGTAGCATTTGTAGATAGGATGGTAAGCCATGTTCTTCACAGTGATCTACCCCACTACGGCTCCCGTCTCTAGATGTATACTCTTCTATTATTTCAACTTAAACCTCAATTTGAGAACAATTTTGAAGGAAAATATCACATGAGAATAGAGTACAAGTAATAATTCAAGCCTATTACTCACATATTAGCATAGGTAAAACATTGGGATATATCCATAGACAAAGTGCTGACGATACGCCGGAGCAGTGTGCCCCGCTAGAAGCACAGACAATGGCCCACTTTGCTAAGCACGACATCTCCCTTTGGGCAAAGCGGTTATTCTAACGGCTATTGACTGGGCTGCAATGAAGAGTATTTGTACCCGATCTTCAAGTCACAGGGATGTGCTGTAACATGATCGGCGAAAGGGAGATTAGCTATGTTGTATTCATAATATGTAAATTGCACTGATCATCAAGCCACTAATAAGACATCTATAATGTGGTACGAGCGGTCACGCAAGTCAAAATTCAAGAAATATACATGCAAAGCCCTGCTTAAGATAGCTACCGGGATACCAAGATTGGAAGGCGAACCTGTACGAGAAGACTGTCTGATTGGTCGTAGCTCTATATTCTGCGGCTTCGACGCAGATTCTAGGCGATACCTATTCGATCTTAGATCGGATAATCCTAGTAAACCCCTGTCTATCAAGGTCAGCAGACTTGGATATTTTTTTTTTCCGGAATCACCTAAATAGGTCATCCAGAATGCATACTCCGTAGAAATGCCGATCTATTTTTTTTTCTTCGCCAGATGATCTTCATTTCTATGAATCTATGAACATGTAGTGGATATAAGTCAAGATTGTAGATGAATCGAGCCTGACACGTGAGAGCCAGAACCCTTATCATTGCATCACGATATATCAAAAGGAGAGAAATGTTCTGGACTTTGTAAAAATGTAAACCTATTTCCTTAGTGTTTATGGATTTACGGTGAAGCCGGAATATCCACTCTTCGCCACTGATGTAAACACCTGGAGCTTCATATCTTTTTTTTTCTTTAAATTCCTCTTCCCTTCCATATTCTTTCTCCAATTCCTCCCCCACTATTCACTCCCCATATACATCATGGCACCACCAGCTATCATCGCTCCCTCCATCCTCAGCGCCAACTTCGCCGATCTAGGTCATGACTGCTCTAAGAAGATGGAGCAGGGCGCAGACTGGCTGCACGTCGACATTATGGACGGCCACTTCGTCCCAAATATGACAATCGGCTGCCCCGTCGTATCGCAAATCCGCGGCTGCGTCGATCGTCCCTCCGAGCCCTGCGGTCGTGGCACTTTTGATTGCCACATGATGATTATGGAGGTTAGACTTCCCTACCCGCATCATTCCGGAACCGTCATGAGCTCCCCCGCTGACCGTATTTCCTTAACAGCCGCATAAATGGGTCGGAGAGTTTAAGAAGGCCGGTTGCGATCTCTACTGCTTCCACTATGAAGCTGCCGTTTCCTCCGTCGCCGCAACCGATCCTACAGATAAAGAAACTACCGCTCGTACCAGCCCCAAGCAATTGATTCGCTATATCCACGAGGAGGGTATGCAGGCGGGTATCGCTATTAAACCCGATACCCCCGTCGATGTATTGTGGGATATTATTGAGAGCGAGGACCCCGCGGAACGACCAGACGTGAGTTTTTCGTTCGGACCCTTTGTCAGATTCGGTGATTTTCTAATACTAACGTTTCACAGATGGTTCTGGTCATGACCGTGCACCCCGGTTTCGGTGGTCAGAAATTCATGGCTTCCGAGCTTCCCAAGGTCGCCGCCCTGCGCAAACGCTACCCCGATCTGAACATTGAGGTTGACGGTGGTCTTGGTCTGGGTACAATTGAACAAGCTGCGGATGCAGGTGCCAATGTGATCGTTGCGGGCTCAGCGATTTTCGGCGCACAAGATCCTGGCGACGTCATCGCGAAGCTGCGCGAGGCTGTCCAAAAGCGTCGCGGGGAGTAAAGGAACCCCGGTACATAGCACAAAATGGGGTTTGGGTGTTTTGTCTTTGGCCTTGGTGTTGTCTTGAATTTTTATATTATACATTCTTAATCACGAGTTATGAATGGCATTTACATGTGGGAGTCAACTGTCCACGCTTTCCGAATTATTTACATTTTCATGTACGAAAAAATCGATTGTAACCTTGTCAGGCATTTGATGTACAGATGTCATAATCGTCGAATTCGTGAACTGCAACTCCCTCAATCATCGTAGTTGCCTACTCCGCCGACTTGGGAACCAGCCCTGCCTTGGTATCATCCTTCGCACTAGTGACTTTCGGCTCGGGCTTGGGTTCTTGAGGCGCCACAGCCGTCGCAATCATTTCAGCGATCGCATTGCCCTTAGGCTCATTGGGTTCCATGAGCTCTTCCTTATTCTCGATAACCACATCGGTACCAACCGGACTTGGGACTTCCTCGATCGACTGGGACTTTGTCTTCTCCGCAGCCTCCTTGCGCAAAGCGTCGAGATTGCCCGTAGGCTCTGCAGAAATGGACTGTCTGATCTCATGCACCGTCTTGTCTTGATCCGCGTCCTCAAGGGTCGACACCCGGGACCCGCGGTGATGTCCAACCAACCCGAGCATCTCTGCGTTATCCACGTGGAAGTTCGCCGAGGACATGGCCGCTTGTTCGGGAACTAGGGTCGGGCGTTTGGCCGTCTTTGGTGAATCCGGAGCGGTGTCGGGTAATTCGGGGGCCACTGAGCCACGGTGCGCGCGGCTGGCAGGGGGTACTTCTGTAGCCTGCTCTTTAACGGACTCTTTCTTATCCTCCGACTTGGCCTTCGCCTTGGTGGCAGCCTCAGAGCTAGCCTGGCGCAAGGCCAGCACAGCCATATCATCCTTCTTGTCTTCGGGCTTGGTAACGGGAGGGTCTTGGATCTTGATCGTGGAGGGTTTGGGGGCAGGTGCCGGCTCGGTTTTGGTCTCGGTCGCTGGGAGAGGATTGCTGGTGGCAGGCATTCCACCTAGGTCCTGGACGCTGTTTATTACCATGCGTAGTTCGCCGAACTCGTTCCATTCTTCGACTTCTTCAAGATCCTACAAGTCGGATTAGCGCTGGACTCCTAGTATGACAGGACTGCTTTAGAAGCTAGAATACATGCAAGGGGGCTGTCACATACTCCCACAATATCGCCGTATTTCACCAACCCTGGAAGCTTCTTGCCCTTGGAGCGTCGGCCCCAGAGTTTCCGGGCGGCCTCGTCGGTGGCGACATCAACAGCGCGGAAGGGGAGTCTGTTGGCTTTGAGGATTGTCTCGATTCTGGAGGTCGCGGTGACGATGTGCGACGACCCAGCGGTCAAGGAGGTGTAGAGGTAGAGGGTCGAGTCTGGCATGGTGTGTTGAGAGTGGAATGAGGGTTGAGGGAAAGGGTGAGTAAAAGGTTCAATTCATTCAGGGGTTAGTCTTGTATTCCTCTTTGATTGAGCATCTACGAAGTAGAGAAAAATAAATTATTTCCCCCCTGTGACATTTATGACGTGGCTTGGATATCACGTGCGGATTATTGTTTTGTCGATTTCAACGCAAGATTCTCCCCCTATATATCATCATTTCCCATACTTGATCGATGATGTATAATTTCAAGTAAAATCTCTCCACAGCCGTTCCATGTGTCCAACGGCTATCTGCCCTGGAAAATGGGCCCAGTGTGGCAACTTGACGTCAGATCCAGAGTTACAGATATCCTGGAATATTCTGGTGGATTTCGGCCTGTTCGGTTTCAGTCTGGAACAAGTCTTTGAAGATATGTACTGTACTAGTGAAACCCTGAAAGGGTAACCCGACATCCATAGCTATACATATCACATGTTCACTATCAAGCATCATTAACTGGGCTAAGCTCTGAGTGCATGACCACTACCCAGAAGAGTGCTGGTAATAAATAGGCTTTAGTAACGTCAAAGAAAATGGGTTGGGCATCTTCCTACGGAGTACTTTAGGCACCTTCACTATCAACTATAGATATCAGTTGGCTCCTTATAGATCTTTACATATGTAGTCATCCAATTGTAGGGCCTCGGGGTGCTATTGATAATGTCAATAACCTGGACTGGATAATCATCTTGGTGAGACTGCCGAAATATAACTTTCATACCTTACATCGTATAACGAGAAGAATGTATTCACTGCCTGAAAGTACCCAACAGCCTGATATATGTTGTATCTCAGGAAAGTCACAAGCACGCAAAATAGAAAGTGTGCGGCTGTAAGATATATATCCCCTATTGGCTGGGAAGGAACAAACATAAAATCAGCACCAGGAATCCCTGTGTTATAGCAGGAATATATATCCCGGGCCTTTGAGAGGAAGGTACGAAGAGCCTCAAAGAACGCGTCCTATCCTGGAGGCGCAGCGACATGCATAACAGACCCAACCTACTGACTCAAGCATCCGGCCTACTTGAGAATTAGGCCATGGAACAGAACTTGCATGACATCTGGTGCTGACATGCGCTCTCCCCGAATCATGCAACTGCAGCTCAACTGACTCGGCGTCTGGGATTTATCGCCATTGGAGCCAGCTCACTTCGTCTATCGCCAGTCGGCAAACGGGTCGAACTGCACCATGTCACGCGATCGGCATAGAGAAGCAGGCTGCAGCTGTATGCGTTTAAATCCCGGGGAGTGCAGTGTGGTAGATGCCGCGGAAGTATACAAACTAGAAAGCGGGCATGGAAGATACATATTCTAAACCCGTTCTATCCCGAGCCCAATATTTCTGTGAGCTTGGGGAGACAATATCATCAGCTGAGCCTTGGGCATCGGGGGCATACTTATGTTAAATCAATACGGAGGACGCAGTATAGGTTTCCCATTTCAGTGCGATGCATTAGAATGACTTTTCCCCGTGCACACACCTCGAAATTTACAGCCTATCACTCATGGTGGCTCATCTTGATATTTTGCTAGTCCCACGTGTGACCTGTCCTATTTAAGACGACCTCGAATTGCAGGAAGCAACTCAGAAGCTCGAGCATTAATGCAGGGGCAACTTATCAGCGTCTCGGCCGTGTAACCACCGAAGACCTAGACCAACTCTTGACATGGATGGCACGATAAACACCCAAGGAAATTGTACTATAGGAGTATTGAATGCCTATCCCTTATTGCCATGAAATAACGAAGCTCAAAGATGTCAGGAGGCAAGGATCGGAGTTGACGGTGAGGGCTAAATTCGTGTCGAACGTTAGGAGGACTCTGGAACACCCCGTGGGCGATGGATCGTCAACCAGAAATTCGCCCATTCGACAGGAGATAATTCAGTGTAAGAATGCCCAGCCGGCGATCCTCATCAACTACCCCGTACGGAGGACCCCGTACTCCGTATGTTGTGTTCTCTCATGAAAGTCTATCCTGAAACAGAGACCGATGTGATTGATCAAACTTAGGCAGTTGAGGTACTTTGGTCTCTTTCTTATGAGCCCGAGATTGCCGCTCCTGACGAAACAATGGTAACGTCAGTAGCCAACGCTCAGGATCATCATAATGGAGCAATAAATGTCCAACCATATCAGGAGACTGATCCACCCAATCTTGGAAGGCCGTGGAGCCTCCGTAGCATCGCACCAGTAACCTCGTTTATCCCAAATAGTCTCCGTACAGCCATCACGTGGAAGGGATGATCCATCGCTAGTGTGTTCAGTTGGAAGAGACCATTTATTGGGCACGTTAAGCCAAAAATAACCATAGAATTTTCAATGTTAGAACCTCCTTATATTGTAGAACCAACACAAGCAAACTGTTTGATATAGGGGCTATCCCTGACCAGCCACAAGCATAATTGGGAACCGTGGGACTACTGCGGGAAGGACCCACGGTAACACGTGAATCGAACCGTTCTTTGGACATACTCTATTTCCTCGGGGATTTCTATATTACTTCATTAATGAGTATATTGTTTGCTTTCTCTGGGCATTGGGCGCTGAATCCGCGAGTGTCATCTGCATGCCCCGGTAGTCGACGTGGCAGTCGACGCGCCCGAGCGATCTTAGTCCGACCGTACTCCATACATGGCAAATGGATCCTAAGGGGGGTTATGGCTGTGCTAGAGGGAAAAATGGGCATTTGCGGATTCTTTCGGGCTCCCGCTGTAGGCGCTTGCTAGTGAAGGGAAAAGTGACTTGTTTATGTATTGTGTCCATGTACCCCAGTCTACATGTATCAGGTCACCTTTTCGTAAGCAAGGACACATCTGCTGGCTCGGGTCACTCTCGGGCTGATCCGGTTCGCTGCCTCACTTTTAGTTCTTTTTTATTTTTCTCGGCCGTCTGCAACTTCTAACCCAACAGGATCTCGCTTCTAGCAGGCGTCGGCTCTGTCACCCGGGTATCTGCCATTGGGGAGATGGCTTGATGGCTGACTGACCTCGACCTCGACTCGGATACACTGAGACCATACGAAGGAGGATTGGAGGAATTGTAGAACGGTGTAATTGGAAAAAGAAAGACATTACGCGAACGTCTTAAGGGCCCAGACCGATGATCGACTACCATGTTTGTTCGAGTATAGTATTCTCTTGCTAAGTGCCAATTCTCGTATCTCACTTTGTGGGGAGTATCCTTCATCGTCGATCAGAACTTTTGTCTTTTCTTTTATCTACTCGTCTGCCCAATCTGCATCTTCTTCTCCCAACTGTTATTTTTTTTTGTCTGATCGTTTCCTTCCCCGATTTTACTATACATTTATCTCGCAGATCTTCTTCATCTTGATTGCATTGATAAGATCTCCTATTCCACCCATTTAATAATTGTTTTTTTTTTTCTATTGCGCTCCAATTCTACGTATGTCTTGCCTACCTATTCTCACAAAGCATACGCTAACCATTCACAGACATACATCCCTTCTTCATTTGATTACTGATAGACAGTTACTTCCCCGGCCATTGTGACGAGGAACCCACCATGACTGTCAATCTGGATGACGAACTGTTCACCAGTGCCATCTCTGGATATCGCGAAGCGTTTTTGGTCCAACACTCCCACCTCTCGGAAGATGAACGAAATCAGCTCTGGATTGAACGGCTAAGTCAGTTCATCCCCAACCGGGATACCAACTGGCAGCCAGCTGGGGGCCTGGGGAAACGGACTCGACAGGATGCGACACCACGGACGTTGCCATATTCTGATTCGGGTCTTCCTCGGGCAAAACGGAGAGCCACCGTATGTGTGACCTTGGTTACTTGCTCCAGCCTTCTCTGCTCCGCTCTCGTCTCCTAACCGCCATTCGTCCTTGGATTGACAATTGGCAGACCCCGGATCTCTCGGTCGACCTAACCCGCGACCTCTCCCACGTCTCCTCCCCCGACCTACCTCGGACCGGCGCCTTCACGGGACAAGGCTCCTACCGACACACCGCCATGGTGCGCTCCCAGAGCCAGCAAATACCGGTCTCCCACCAGCCAGGCGGTGGCGCAATGGGTAAACGCCAATCCTTCGGCCCGGTACGGACCCGTCGTCTCGACCATGTCGATGAATTCTCGCCATCCGAGTACGCGAGGTATTTGGACGCATCTCCCAGTCAACCCTTTGACTCCGCCTTGACTTTCGGACTCGCAAATCATGGACAAACCGGACCATCGTTCCCTCAATACCTTGACCGGACGTCCCCCTGGACCGACCAGGCCCCACCAGCTGCGCCAGAGATGTCCCGCAGCACGACCACCGACTCCTTAGTGGGCGGAATCAACATGTTCCGCTTCGATTCGACTGGACCCCAATATCAAGAACCGGTCGGCTCCGTCCCAGAGTGGGTGCCAACATCCACCGGCCTACCGTATCAAGACTCCTTTCTCTCCCCCGTGTACCCTGACCTAGATCCCACATCGTCTTCCCCGTTCTCCCACCATTCTCCCATCTCCCACCCCTCGTCCTTCTCCAACCCATCATTCTCAGCATCCGCTCCCCCAACCACCTCCTTCCACTACCCAATGCCCCACAATCTCCTCCCCTTCGACTCAGTGGATATGAAACCATCCGATTCAATCGACAGCAACAACTCGGCGAACCAGCGCTCCCGTGCCGCACGCCGCACCAAAGAACAGATCGCCCAGGCCGCACGCCCCATTGCCCCCAAAGTCGAATCCGTCGAAAACATCATGTCCCAAATCGACCCGCACACGATGATCCGCATCTCTTCAGCAGACGGCACAACGAAAGAAGTCGCCGCCATCCCCAAGGCCTCCGTGCGGCGACCCCAGCGACCAAAGACATACTGCAGCATCTGCACAGACCATCCAGATGGCTTCCACGGCGAACACGAGCTGCGCCGCCATATCGAGCGCGTGCACGCTTCCATCCGCACCGTCTGGGTCTGCAACGATATCTCGCCTGGCAAGTACTTCCTTTCGAACTGCAAGGCTTGTCGCAATGGGAAACGCTACGGTGCCAATTACAATGCTGCTGCGCATCTGCGTCGCACGCATTTCAATCCCTGTGAGCGGGGCCGTGGCGGGCGCGGGAAAGATAGCGAGAAACGCGGTGGGAAGGGTGGAGGTAACCAGCCTGGTATGGATGTGTTGAAACATTGGATGATTGCCGCTGAGGAAGTCACCGATGAGGCGGCTGGTGGTGGCTCAAACTCCAGGCTTCTGATTCGGAATTCTAGTCGTGTTTCGACTAGGGACCCCGGGTATCAGCTTGCTGTCGCTGCTTGTCGTCTGGTCGAGGGTCAGCCTCCCTATGTTGTGGAGTCAGCTCTGCTGAAGGAGTCTGACCAATTCCCCGACTTTCCCGATGCGCCGTTTGAGTTTGATTTTGAGCTGGGCCTTGATCTCGACCTCGATCTTGAGGGGTCAATGGGTTCGCCGTTCTCGGATTCACAGTCATCCTGTATGCCTGATATTGATTCATGTGTCAAGTGAGCGATCGTAGTTTCATTTTTTTTTCTCTGTGGGTTCTTTGGCGACTGTTCAGAGCACCGTTTGATCGGGTTCGTGTATCGTACTGGATATGGTCAATGGTTAGTGTTGGATTTGGATATATTTGGCGATGTATATTTTTGGGATGTGAGATAAGGGTCTGAACTAATGATAATGAAACTTGACGGTGTCACAACGTTGCAACGGAGATTATCCCGAGGTCGGTATTCAGCCCTGTAGTTTTGTAGTTGGTACCAGCCTCAGAGTGTTCAATGGTATGAGAGTTCAGGTACCGGGTACTGTCCAGGCAGCAACAATACGGGCGGTCAAGTGCCAAGCGGCGTAAATAGCAGCCAACTGCTATGAGTGGCTGAGTCATACCGGAAGTGGGGTCCCGTGTGACCCGGTGGCTGATCATCAACCAATGGAATGAGACCCAAGGAATGTTATTTGTGGCTGACTGCGTTAGTCGGCGATAGGGCTGGAAAACTGTGGCTGAGAGAATTTGGCTGGAAATACTGTGGCCTAAGTACATGATGGGTACCCAGATTCTTGGACATGGAGTCGAAGGTACTGAAATGCTGTTGTTCTTGTGGATTCTTAGTATAAAATGAATGTATTGGCTTGTAAATCACTCATTGATCAAAATAAAAACAATAAATAAATAAGATCAATATTAACTAGCAAATTCGGCCCGTGTGGAGAAGAAGGGGAAAGGGGGAGAGACACAAAGGTACTTCGGAGGTACCTCATCCCTGTCTTCTTGGCAGACAAACTCTACTATCGGGCGCACCGTCCAAGTACCTCTCAAGTACCCCAACAATTTCCTTTTCTGCAATACAACCTTCACAACGTGAGTTACTTACCTTTTCTCTCCTTCTTTCTGACACTCTTAACTCCCTCCCCATCTTCATCACTTTCACCTCGTTCCTCCCTTTTCATTTCACTCGCTTATCTCGGCTCATCACAGCCTCCCCCTTTCGACCAATCTCGGTCTTCGCCTTGTGCCTGGTAGGTGGATTTAACCGCTGTGGCGGCCATTCCTCCACTGTTGACCCTAGTCGCATCACATTGAGGCGCAAGGCTCTATACTGTTGGTTATTATCAAGTCGCTAATTCGTTCGTCCTCACTTTTTAGAAGATCATCTACCGTCGAAATGTCCTATCCTCCGCAGCAACCCCACGGATACCCCCAGCCGGCGTAAGTCATATCGTGTTCACCTTTACCCATGAGATCGGCGGCAGCTGTATCATGCCGAGTTTCCCAAGGCGTGCGTCTGTGCACTTTGCGACCGCGGGAATTTGAAGCCTGGTCCACGGCAACCTCTTATATGGCTTGGTCAATATTTGCAATATGGTTCTGATGAAATTTTGAATGCAGATACGGCGGTGATGGCTACCAGCAGGGCTACCCCCCTCAAGGCGGATACCCCCCGCAAGGATACCCGCCCCAGGGCTATCCTCCCCAGCAGCAGAACGTTAGTCTCGATATTAGCAAGCCACACAACATACTTACATGCTTACCAATTTTCAGATGGGCTACGCTCCTCAGCAGCAGCAACAAGTTCCTCAACAAGAGCAGAAGTCTAGTGATAAGGGATGCCTCATGAGCTGGTAAGTATCCATATTGTCATCGAAGCTTGGAACAGGACTAATGTGAGTGTTTCTTTCAGTCTGGCCGTGATGTGCTGTTGCTTCTTGTGCGAGGAGAGCTGTGAATGCTGCATGGAATGCTGCGACATGTGCTGCTAAGCTCTACGATCAATGACATCGACGATACCTTTCTTCTTGCTGGCGTTGGAATTTCTTGATACGCCCCGCAGCGTTCTTGGACAGACTACTGCACTCTTTCAATTGCAATAATTCATTTTCGTTTCTGTTACATTGGGCTTTTGTTTTCTCTGGACAGAATGCTCCAGGCTGAGTCAAATTAGCTCCAATATCTGTTCATCGCATCCAAGGCTTGATTGACATAGAAATTCTGCGTTGCTCAAATACATGTGCATATGTATTAAATGCTTAAAATTTTGGCCGTGTTAAGTTCTATAATATTATCCAGGAATAATGTGACACGGCATGTCGACTAGCTTTGGCCTCATCTTGGATTAAAATTGGTGATATTAACTTTCTAAATTCTTCTAACATTGTTGCCTCCCAGGTGTTAATCCTTAGAGGGCTTTCTCGTTCTACTCGGGACTGTTATTCCTTCGAAGCACAAAACATTTACCACGGATTTATTTATGGAATTAATAATATGAGGGCGCATCGCTTGTTCTAAGCTAGTTAGTCTCGGGCGCGATTGGCAGATGGCCACTCTCTACCCTCTGCCTAAGCGCCTTGTTCTATGCATTGCTGTCCGGTCGAGTCGAAGATTGCCTGAAACAATAATTAAACTGCAGGAACCCCCGACAATGTAGAAACCTATTGATCTTGTTATTCTTTTGTTAGCACGTCATTTCATGTCGTGTTCGATCATTCGGTAATCTAAGGAGCCTCAACATATATCGACAGCATTATGGCCACAGAGAGTGGGCCAAGCCCACTTGACACCAATGGGTTGTGCCTCTTGTCCCTAGATGGTGGAGGCGTGAGGGGACTATCAAGCCTTCTAATATTGAAGGATGTGATGACACAGCTGAATTCGGAGCGCGAGGACAGTGAGGTCCTCAAGCCTTGTGATATCTTCGATCTAATCGGAGGTACCAGTACAGGAGGGTGTGTATTAAACAAACATCAACACACATTGGGCTGACATATGACACGTATTTAGACTGATTGCCATAATGCTAGGACGGCTGGAAATGGGTGTCGAAGAGTGCATCCTCGCATATACCGAATTGATGCAATCGGTCTTCAGCGAGAAAATCAACAATATTCCAGTTGACTGGTCTGGAAATATTGTATCACAATACGACAGCAAGAAGCTCAAAAAGGCCATTGAAAATGTCATCACGCGTGCTGGGTCATCGCCAACCGACCTGATGAATGACGGGAAGCCCCGTCGCTCTAAAACCTTTGTATGCACAACCTCCAAAGATACATTTCAAGTCACACGTCTTCGAAGCTATCCTGTGCCAAACGATATTGCTTTACCCGCGACGATTTGTGAAGCGGCATTGGCAACGTCGGCTGCGACCAGATTTTTTGATTCGGTTACGATCGGCAATCACCAATTTGTGGATGGTGCATTTGGTGCCAACAATCCAATTGAGGAAGTAGAAGAAGAAGCGGCCGATATCTGGTGCACCACAAGCCGGGCCGTGAAACCATTAGTGAAATGTTTGATTTCCGTTGGAACTGGCAATCCCGCACAACTCCCCATGAATGACAATGTGCTCAAGTTTCTTTCAAAGACACTAGTCAGAATGGCTACTAAGCCGGAGAGTACAGAGCGTCGCTTCATGGCTCGATGGAGTAATGAGGTAAAGGGAAAACGTTACTTTCGTTTTAGCGTCGAACAAGGACTGCAGCAAGTTCACATGACCGAGTTTGAGAAACAAAGTGTCATTGAGTCTGCGACATATGCCTATCTGCATCATTCCTCTCAAAAGGTCCGAGTTCGTGATTGCATTTTGAATCTTTCAGCAAAGTCAGGTAGGACTTCAACACGAGTAACTCCTACTGTTGTGATGAGATGCTTACAGCTCGCAGGAAAGACTAGCATTGACTTTGAAACAACCATACGTGTAAGATATAATCGTTCAGTCTTCAGAAAGACTGCCACATTAGCATGGCTAGTACTAACACTAGTTAGGAACACGGAGCACGACTTTCTCGCCATCGAATCCTGCAAACCCTGCGTTCGTCAGACAGCCAGTTTTACCACAAAAACACCGCTGGCTGGCTTGTTCCTTTTGAGAGGAATTCTCGCTATGTCGACCGTGAATTTGTGGGCAAAATTAAACACAAATTATTTATCAACAACAGAGCCGAAAGGATTGCTATCTTTGGACTTGGGGGAATAGGCAAGACACAAATTGCCCTGGAGATTGCCTATCAAACAAGGGAGCTCTATCCAGATTGTGCCATCTTCTGGCTCCCAGCTGTTGATATGGAAAGTCTTCAACATGCATATCAGATGGTGGCTGATCAGCTTGGAATCGACTTCGATAACACGAAATCATCGAAGGAGGATGTGAAGAGCCTTGTCAAGGCTCACCTAAGCAACCCCAGTGCTGGGCGATGGCTGTTGATTTTCGACAACGCTGATGAGATTGATATGTGGATTGAAAGCAGTGAGTCACCGAATGAAGGGCTGAGGGATTGCCTTCCCACAAGTGACCAAGGCGCCGTTGTCTTTACCACTCGAAGTAACAGAGTGGCCCAGTACCTTGCCGCAACAGACGTGATTCAAATTCCCGAAATGGACGAAAAAAAAGCTACTCGTGTCTTGCGGAACTCCTTGATTGACAAAGAGCTTCTTTGCGACACCGAGACTACCCGGAAGCTTCTCAGTCGGTTGACATATCTTCCTTTGGCTATTGTGCAAGCAGCTTCTTTTATCAACCAGAACGGAATCACATTCACCGGTTATGTTGAGCTTTTGGATGGGCAGGAGCAGAACGCCATTGATGTACTTAGCGAGGACTTCGAGGATAAAGGTCGATACAAAAGCATTCGCAACCCTGTCGCCACTACATGGCTTACATCCTTTGAGCAAATTCAGCGGCAAAATTCCCTTGCTACCGATTATCTCTGCTTCATGGCCTGCATTCAAGAAAGGGATATACTGGTTTCGCTTCTCCCTCGGGCACCAAATGTTGAACAGCAAAAAGCGATCGGCTTGCTTAGCTCTTACTCTTTCGTACGCGTGACGCATGAAGGATCTCGTCTCGATATGCATCGTTTAGTTCATCTTGCAACAAGAAATTGGCTCCAGTCAATCAATTCCCTGCGAAAATGGCAATTAGATGTGCTGCAGGGGTTGGATATTCGCTTTCCCAATACTCACGTGACGAATCGGACTCAATGGCGAGCAGCAGTGCCTCATGCACTCCAGGTCCTTGCCCTCACTGCAAGAGAAGATCCCGTTTTCTATAGAGTCGGTCTCTTATGCAAGGTAGCCACATGTCAAATGGGCGACGGAAGACGCAAACAAGCCGAGGAGCTTTTCAGCGAAATGGTTAAAACCTCGGAAACATTGTTTGGCCCTGAACATGCATGGACTATTGTGGGTCTTTCCGGACTAGCAAATAGCTACTCGGGCCAAGGAAAGTCAGAGAAAGCAATCAAACTCTGCAAGCGGATACTGGAGATGCAGGAAAGACTTCAAGGCCCAGAAAGCATTGAAGCCACAAGAGGTCTTTTCCAGTTAACGGCTGCATACCGCGATGCTCGCGACTACAAGAAGGCTCAAGAGCTTTGCAGGAAAGTCATCCCACGCTACATAAAATCAGTTGGTCCGAACTCTTGGGAGACATTGGATGCTATCTATGTTTTGATGTCGGACTACTTCATGCATGGACGGCTCTCCGATGCGTTAGAGCTGTCTATTCAATCATTACGTATCCACAAACAGAGCCTAGGATTGGAAGATCCCCGAACAGTTGGGGTCATGTCTACGATGGCCATCATATACATACACCTATGGCGGCTAGCAGAGGCCGAATCCTTGTTAACAGAAGCAGTCGAGATCCACAAACGCATGTTTGGAAGTGAACACCCTGAAACTATCCACCTTATGTCATGGCTAGCTGTGACATGGAATTCTCAAGGTCGATATAAAGAAGCCGTTGCCTTGAGAACAGAGTGTCTTCGTTTCAGTGCGCAGTACTTTGGCTTGGATCATGAATATACCCAGGCTCACTACTCAGCCTTGGATGCGTGGACTAGTTCGAAGTAAGTTTCTTGTCACTGGATTGGAATCAGTGATGCATAAACTGACATTATCGTACATGAAGACTGGATTCTTTCTTGAACAGACATGTCCCTCATTTTCGGCGTTCGTATATGATTCTCCAACGAAGGACAAAATTCCCTAGGGCTCCGAAAGGTGACCCCTTGCTTCGTGAAATTCAAGAAGCCATGAAGTTCACATCGATAGGCAGACAGGTCTCTGGCGATGAAATCACCCCAGTTGATGGCCAGATGCTGGGACAAGCTTTTGGTACATCCCATCCCAATGTAGGAGTTGAAGAGAAAATTACAGATAGCAAACCCATCTAAGGGGATACAGAGACAAGTGAATTAATGACCCATTGAACTAGAACAAGTAAACTAGGGAACTAAGGGGAGATAGTACACATATTATATCCATAATATATACGTACGTACTATAATCATAAATATCTGTCAAGGGGATTAGGGTAGAGCCCTAAGCACATGAGTGCCAAAATTCAAAGTCCTCACCATCTTGGAACTCTCCAGAGCCTTCGATCATTCCAACAACCTCAGTTGTCTATTTGAGAGCGCAAATGTGTATTTCGAGCTTTGGGACCCGTCTATTGGACCTTGACTACTTTGTACCTTGTGCAGTCCCATTCTATTTCATATATAACTGAAGGTAATATTATGGATAAGAAGCAAATTATGTTTATGCCAAATGGTTACATATGTTTAGTATGAATGTATGAGCTTCCAAAGTTGGAGTAATCTATGACAGTACTCGTTAGGTGGGTTTATTTCCCAAGTTTTGTCTGCCCACAAAGTAACCAGACTTGTTGCTCCTGAAAATTTACAGCGAACGGAATCCTCGGCCGTTAGGAGCCCACAAACCCTAGGACAATCAATAAAATCAATTGAGTAATTTCAACTCGGTGCAGAACAGTTCGCTATGACCGCATCTCCACCCGCGAGCCCTCGGACGAAACGATACGCAGCTAGCTCTGGACTGGAAGTTACTGCCCAAATGAACGCTGCGCACGGCACTTCGCTACATTTGGTTAATATGATAGGGCGCCTGAATTGATTGTGAATTCCGCGAATGTCGATTCTGGTTCATTAGAATTTTTGAAGTGTATCGGATAGGCCAATAAATGAATGACTAGCGATGGCAGCCGTGCCCATCACATTTAAAATCAAGTAATCTCCAAAAGAATCCCAAAACCGCACCGGGTTATTAGACGACTATCTCGGTTGATTGCACCCGTGGTGGTCCGGGCATGCAACTCAAGAATTTTACCGGAATACATGCCGGTTCCTGGATTCTATCTGAGACATCCCAAATAATTGAGGGAATTCCATGATTAATGGCCGGAAAGATGAGGAAGTACCCACAGTTAATATGGAATTCTCGAAGCCAAGAGGCCAAGCAAAGCTTGGGAGCGAGGCTACAAAGCTTGTGGATGGCGCTTGCCTGTTTATGGCCTAGTGCTCGCTAGATAAGATGAGGGCGACATCTGATTAGATCTGCCCTTTCTGCTGTTATTCCTCAGTGGATCTAGTGCCAGGCTAGCAAGCCTTTGGTCTTTGCTGAGTGGATGCAATAATTTTACCAAATCACCGCCAGTGGCCGTGAAAAGCCACCGGTTTTAGTATGCGGGTCACAACACCGCGTGGTCTTTTTATGACTTTTGAGTCTCCTACGCAGACTCTGCCGATCTCGGGGGGCTATATACTATAAGTGCCACGAGACTCCCATTATTTCCGAGCTTGGGCAGAGAGCTTGTTTGATTTTACCTCATTTTGAACATGGGTGTCCGTCTTTTGGTCCGAAGGGCCCGAACGGTCTTCAGTCGCATGGCGGCCCCTGACGCTGAAAGCTCAGCTGAGACAACCGCAGTGGATGGAACAACCACCGAGGAAAATAAGAGAGATCCCACCTTTGATACTGAATTTCAGCGGCCTGAAGTGCCTGCGGAAGGCCTCCAGCATGGTGTCAGGGATATCGAGGCTATCACCATGACCTGGTCCAAGCGAACCTTGATTCTCGTGTTTATCAAGTAAGCTTTCCCTCCCGGTGATTGACTTGAACAGTTCCTGAACCACTGGATTCATAGTATCTGGTTCCTATACTTCGTGAACGCCTTCCAATCCTCGGTTTTCGCCAGCTTGAGCCCTTATGTCTCCAGTTCTTTCACGGCTCATTCGCTGTCCGGTGTGCCTACTGCGCTTGCCGATGCTTTCTCAGCAGCAATTTATATTCCTGTCGGAAAGATGATGGACACCTGGGGCCGTGCAGAGGGATTTCTGCTGATGACTTGCTTCGCGACCATGGGATTGATTCTCTTGGCCTCCTGCAACAGCTTTGCCATATACTGCACTGCATACGTAAGACTTCCATATTTTCTTATCATAAAGTCACGTCAACCTTGCTTTGCATATGCTTACATCTCGTATTAGGTCTTTTATTACATCGGATTCAGTGGTATGGAATATGCCATTGATGTGATGACGGCCGATGCCTCCAAGTTGAAGAACCGAGGATTGGCTTTTGCGTTCACCTCTTCCCCATACATTATTACCGCATTTGCCGGAGCAAAGGTAGCAGATGAGTTCTATTATCAGGTCAGCTGGCGATGGGGCCTGGGCTGTTGGGCGATTATCTTCCCTATCGTCGCAGCGCCTTTGTACTTCATGCTGAAAGCAAATCTTCGCAAAGCGGAAAGAGAAGGTCATCGGATCCAGAAAAAGAGTGGTCGCACATTTTTGCAAAGCGTATGGCACTGGATTATTGAGTTTGATTGTGAGTATCACCTTGCCCTATCAATCTGGTTATGCACATACCACGTCAGTCATACACCATCTATACGACTTTCCAACTTTCAGCCATTCGGTTTTATTAACAAAGACTAACCTGAAATAGTGCCCGGCGTTTTCATGTTTACCGCTGGACTAGTCCTCTTCGAGCTTCCTTTCGATATCGCAAGCGAAGCGCCTAACGGCTGGGGCTCGGGTTATATCATTGCTATGCTCGTCGTCGGATTCTCGATGCTGTTCTTCTTCGCTATATACGAAAAGTGGGTGGCCCCCGTGCCCTTGCTCAATATTGTCTTCCTCACCGACCGAACCGTGATCGGTGCCTGTCTTTTGGATGCCACCTACCAGCTCTCTTACTACTGCTGGAACAACTACTTTACCTCTTTCCTGCAGGTGGTGAATGGTTTGACGATCGCTGAGGCTGGATATGTGAGCAACACATTCGATGTCGTGTCCGGCGTGCTACTTCTCTTCGTCGGTTGGGCTATCCGAAAGACCGGTCGTTTCAAGTGGCTGTTATACATCTCCGTTCCACTGTACATATTTGCGCAGGGATTGATGATCTATTTCCGCAAGCCTGGCATGGGCGTCGGATACCAGATTATGTGCCAGATCTTCATTTCGATCGGCGGTTCGATCTTTATCATCGTCGAGCAGATTTCCATCTTAGCCGCTGTCGATCACCAACATGTTGCGGCTGCATTGGCTTTGTTGAACGTTGTCGGCACTATCGGCGATTCCGCCGGCTATACTATATGCACCGCTATATGGACCAATACCTTTCCCAATGCTCTCAGGGAATACCTCCCAGAATCGGCCATGTCAAACTTTGAGAACATTTATGAAGATCTCACTGTGCAGACCAGCTATCCCCTCGAGAGCGAGGTAAGACTGGCTATTCAAAAAGCCTACGCCTATGCGGAAGTCCGCATGCTTTCGGCTGGTTTGGGTGTCATGGCTTTGGCCATTGCCTGGACCATCATGATCCGAGATATTGATCTCAAGAAGACCTCCCAGGTCAAGGGTACTGTCTTCTAAGAATCGTTGGAGAAGATAGTCATGGTATCGGGTTGGATACTAGACTACGCGCATCGTACTGTCCATCTTCTTCCATGCTTCCTCAGAGGATCCAACCACTACAATAATCACTCATTGTCATATAGTTTTTGCTTTATTATTAGTACTGTCTATTTGTCATCGCTTTCATCTGTTGATATCTACTTCTGGTCCACTTTAGTTAATCTCAAATATTACATCCATGGAAGTGAAACATCAAAATCCCAATTTTGTATATGGATAAATTAGTACTATTCATGCTTTCCCACCTTTTTCTTAATCCTCATATTTTCCCAATTACCGGGGAAAACTTGACATAGCCAGTCCCGGGGAAGTGGAGGATCTGCAGCGGAGAAAGGCGCGTCGATTTACCCGTCAATCACATCTCATATCCCCTGTCATGGCGTTGAAAAACCACCCCTCAGCGTCAGCCAAGGGAGATGTATCCCTTGAATGCGGCGCCAATGCTCAAATCAGCGTGAGGAACCTGAAATTGCTTACAGGAAGTCTCGGCGCTTTTCCCGACAAGAGGCAATTGTTGCATGGCCCCATGCAAGGAACAGACGATAGCAACATACGCCCGCCTTAGTTGGGCCGATGTTTCCCCAGACGGTATTCAACTTGGAGGGGTTCCTCTTGGTACATGCACTCCTCATGGAGATTTACCTAATCGGGAATGAAGGCTCGGTATTACGGTCGCTGTCGGCAGATTTCCTGCACAAAGGACGCGATCAAGCTGTGCTCGTCTAACCCCTCGGACGTCATTTCGCTGCCCCCCGGTCATTCGAAACACATTGAGGAGCACGAGTAATTAACCGACATGGTATTCCTGCCAGGCTGATTGAGCTGTCTGCATATAAATACCCGACACAGCGCGCCTTTTACTCATATACCCTGCATTCTGAATAGGATCGACGAGTTGCAACAGCCAGTTGTGAACTAAACACAGAAAAATGCTGCACAAATATCTTCTTCTGCCGCTTTTGGCGTCATATGGTGCCGCTGTCACTATTTCGGTAGCGAAATCTGGAGGCAATGCCACATCAGGTCTGCAATATGGTGCGATGGAAGAGGTATCTTGAGATTCTTGTCGATCACAGTATTGGTTCTGATTCAAGGTCTAGGAAATTAATCACTGCGGTGAAGGTGGTCTCTATGCCGAATTGATTCGCAACAGAGCGTTCCAGGGGAGCAGCAAGTTCCCTTCGTCACTGGAGGCCTGGTCTGGTGTTGGGGGCTCATCGCTGTCCCTGAAGAACCTCACCGACCCGCTATCAACTGCCCTTCCAACTTCAGTCAATGTTAAGGGTTCTGGCACAGCTGGATTGACCAATGAGGGTTTCTGGGGAATTGACGTCCGTCCTCAGAAGTACACCGGGTCTTTCTATGTGAAAGGCTCCTATAAAGGCTCCTTCACTGCCTCTCTCCTGTCTTCCAGCGGCAAAGTACTAGCCACTGCCAAGGTTGCCTCAAAGAGTGTCGCAAAGGACTGGGTGCAACACAAGTTTGTCCTTACCCCCAAAGCAAAGGCTTCCGATTTCAAGAACACATTCTCCCTGACCTTCGATGGCTCGGTAAGATTTGACATGGAAATTGCCACGCATCTCGGCTAATTATTTTTAGAAAGCATCAAGTGGCTCGCTTGATTTCAATCTGATCAGCTTGTTCCCACCCACGTGGAATGACCGCCCCAATGGAATGCGGAAAGACTTGATGCAAGCCATGGCTGATATGGGACCTGTAAGTTGGAGTCGCCTATTGCCCCGAAAAAGCCCAAGATTCATGGTGCTAATAAACCGGATAGACCTTCCTTCGCTTCCCTGGTGGAAATAACCTCGAGGGTGATAGCATCGACGGCCGCTGGAAGTGGAACGAGACTATTGGACCCCTCACAGACCGACCCGGTCGGGCGACCACCTGGCAATACCAAGAGACCCTTGGATTGGGTTTGATTGAGTACATGGAGTGGTGCGACGATCTTAACATGGAGCCCAGTGAGTACATTCATTTTCCAACGCTTTGCTCTACTAAGCTAACATGCCATGTCTAGTCCTGGCGGTCTATGCTGGACTTGCTCTGAACGGAGACGTTGTCCCAGAGGCCGACCTCGATTTCTATGTGCAAGATGCCCTCGACGAGATCGAGTTCTTGACCGGATCTGTGGACACCAAGTACGGTGCTCTACGTGCCAAGGTTGGACACCCGAAACCATGGAAAATTCGGTATGTCGAGGTTGGAAACGAGGATATGCTGAGCAACGGACTGGAGACGTACAAGGCCTACCGGTTCGCGGCATTCTACGACGCTATCACCGCCAAGTACCCCGATATCCAGGTCCTTGCGTCTACTATCGATATGACAATTCCTGGAAATGCAGGTGGTGATTACCACTTGTATGATAACGCGGATAACTTTGTCAAGAAGTTCGACATGTTTGACAACTTTTCACCGAAGCATCCTATCCTGCTCGGTAAGTAATATGGTACAATTGCGAGACTATAACTAACACACGTCAAGGTGAGATTGCCGCTACGTCGCCACGAAATGGAGTTGATATCGACTGGAGCGACATTCATTTCTCTCAGTATCCTTGGTGGATTGGAACCGTTGCCGAGGCTGTGTTCCTTATTGGTGCCGAACGCAACGCTGACAAGGTCATTGGAAGTACCTACGTGAGTTGTTTGAATATAAGCTTACTAGACGAGAACTGACAAATGAATAGGCTCCCTTCATGATGAACTTGGACAAGTACCAATGGTCTCCAACCATGCTGTCCTTCAACGCCGATCCCGACCAGACGGCTCGGTCTACCAGCTGGCACGCTTGGACTGTATGTTACACTGTGAATTGAGCTTGAGAGTACATCCCACTGACATAAGACACGGATATAGCTGTACAACAAGAACATTATGACAAATACCCTCCCAGCCACTTCGTCCGACGCCTTCGGTCCTCTGTACTATGCCACAGGTCTGAACAGCAAGACCAAGTCACACATCTTCAAGGCAGCAGTATACAACAGCACATCCGATGTGCCTGTATCACTGACATTTGAAGGTGTCGGCCGTGGTGCCAAGGCAGACTTGACCATCTTGACTGCACCGGATGCATTTTCGATGAACGAGGTGGGCGGGTCGAACATCGTCAACAGCAAGACTACTAAGATCAAGGCTGGCAAGAAGGGCGAGTTTTCTTTCAAGCTGCCGAATCTGAGTATTGCCGTGCTCACTACCAATTAATCTATCGTCAATAGTATACATTAATCTTGGGAAGTGCTGCGCATACATAGCATTACTGCAATCAAATATACATGGATAGTCGGCCGATCACGCGGCCTTGTGATGTACTTTTTGATTGTCTTTTTAGTGGTATTTCTAGTAGTCCTTTTGCGTGTATTTTACTGTCAGCTTTCTAGGTAGATGTCGGAGGAACGCGGACAAAGGCATACGCTTTGCAGACGACTTTCTATGTATAATATTCGACTAGACTAAAACCCGACAAGCCTCAAGCATCCTGAATCCGAAATTTCTCCGGCGTATCCCCCTGATTCCGCCAATCCGCAGCCTTGAAAGCCTCCAATTCCTTGAGAGCAGAATGAACGCGCTTGAGATTAGGCACGAAATCCAAATCCATTCGGTACAACACAGCCTGGTCAACTGTAGGAACCAGCACCACATCCGCCATAGAAACAATATTTCCAAATGAATAAGTCCCCTCTCTAGCCTGATTCACCAACAGACCCTCGTAGGCTTTGAACCCATCCGTAAAGGCCTGTTTGGCGAATTCAACCTGATCCTCGCGACTATCACGGATAGCCTTCACTCGTTGGACGATACGGGAGTTGGTGGTTGGTTGTGTATCGATTGCGATGATATTCACCAGATCGCGGACCTGTACTCGGTCGTGTAATCCCGGAGGGAGAAGTGGAGATATATTTGGGAATCTTTCCTCGAAATAGTCTAAGATGGTCATCGATTGGCGGGTGATGGTCTTTTCACCGGTGATGCTTGTAACAACCAAGGTCGGTACGCTGGCGCTGGGGTTTGATTCTTTGTATTCGTCCGTTGTGTGTTCTTTCGTGCCGAGGTCGATGTAGGTGTATTCAAGAGGGATGCCTTTGAGGTGAGCGGCTATTATGATTCGTTGACAGCATGATGAGCAGAAGTAGGAGTAGAGATGGAAATTATCGGTATGCATTGTGTTTGAAATGTTGTATCTTTGTACTGACTGTGTTGAATATAATGGAGGTGAGAGGATGGAGGTTGGATGGTATCATCCAGGTTACAGTGTTATCAGCACTAGCACTGATGTAGTCAAGGGTGATTCTGGGACAGCTTACTGTTTTGCTAGATGGATCAGATATCCTTGTAGACTGAAGGGCTCAGCCTTACTATTTCTATTTCCAACTTCTATATTTTAGGCTATATCCTTCCAATATCTACCACCTGTCGCATTGAGCAGCAGCGCTCTGGACTGTGCGGTCGCCTTATCTACTTCCGCCCGTTACCATCTTTATGTATTTGGTCGAGGAGCTTTCCTCGACCGACGTGGATTGGTCATGCACCAATCCATCGCAGGGATACGCGAGACGTGGGTTGACCTCACCATAGACACCACGCCTATCCCCTATACACCCCCACGGAGTTTGTTCGGGATGCAGGGTCGTATTCTTTACTTGCTGCCCGCGCGCTCCAGACCCTTTCCACGGGTGAAGATCGAAGCGACGGTCGCAATGAACGCGAAGAGCGCGGAGGCCATGAAGGAGAGTCTGATCCCGCGGTAGTACACCAGCCGAGCGGCCATTTGCACATCCGGGGGGAGATCATAAATAGCCGAGACTGAGTGGCGGATCTCATCAATCACCTAAGAGAAAGCGAGGATTCTGGTCAGCAAGGCTCGTTCAGGGGCTCAGTAAAATCGGCTGGCGAAGGAATTGTACTTTCCATTTATTGGGTATTCCACTCAAGGCCTCCCCGAGGCCTGAGTTAAGTGTATTCTGCATTATAGTGGAGGTCACTGCGACGCCCCAAACTGTCCCAAGGGAGCGGATGAGGTAGACGGTCGAGGCGGAGACGGCGTGATCTGCATATGACATTGTTAGCAGGCTCGCTTGCAAATGGCTCGGTCGCTCCCGGAGTCGGGCAATGGGGCTGGCGACAAGGATAGGAAATTATCTTACCGGCGTGGTCGAAGGCCGCTAAGAATGTGAACAGGATTCCCGGATACACCATTCCCTGACCCAAGTTGGCGGGTATGACAAAGGCGAAATACTTCCATTCCGAGTCGTTGAATCGGAGGAGAGCGACGAGCAGATTGCCCACGAACATTAGGGCTGCGCCGGCGCGCACAATGGAGGCCAGTCTGCCCCAGCGTGACATGATGATTCCCGCTGCGAGACCGCCCAGTGGGGTGAATAAACAGGGAACCACCAGTCGGGTGCCAGCCTTGCTGGGCGAGTCGAGGAGAATCACCTGGAACATGAGAGGTAGAGTAAAGAGGAACTGAATGCATTGCGTTAGTTGTGATTCTCATAGGGATGGTGGAATGGGTGAGCTTACTGCGTATGCTGACATCCCGACACAAACGTTGGCGATCTGTGTGGATACGGCGAGCTGTCCTCGTAGCATCTTCAATGGAATCAAAGGTGCGGCGGTGGTTTTCGCTTCAACGGCGACAAATGCGCCCAGCAATACCACACTGGAGACCAATGGCAGAACTACCCACATGGAAGTCCAAGGGAGGATATTGCCACCCAGACTGAGTCCAACCAGCTGAGTCGAAAGAGCCAAAATAAGCACACAAGCGCCTAGCATATCGATCTGCTGCCAAATTCCTTTAGTCTGCCCATCTGGGGAAGTTTCGGTGTTGCGTGGAGGGAACCTCAAGACTCTGTAGCCCATGACCAATGCAAACAAGGAGACTGGAACCTGTAGCAGGAAGCACCACCGCCATCCGATCGAGTCAACAATGGCACCTCCGAAAGAAGCACCACAGATGCCTCCGAAGCCATACGAGACGTTCTGGATTGCCTGGTACATACCACGCTGGCGGAAGGGAATGAGATCCGAGTTGATGATTGTTGCTGGAATATTTTGTTAGCGATTGGTAGTGATTGAAAAGTCATTTGGCTTACCCATAGTCATCAACCCCCCGCCACCGATGCCCGTCAAAGCGCGCATCATGTTTAAAAAGACCACATCACGTGCCACGGCACATCCTAGACAACCAACCATGAAGGTGATAGTTGCAGTGAAGAAACAAGACCGTCGACCGAGTAGATCCGAGAATCGGCCATACAGAGGCTGGAAAGCTGTGCTGGTGATCAAGTACGAGGTGGTTAGCCACGAAGCAGTGTTCGCGGCGTTGAATTCGGAGCTGATCACAGCATAGGTCGAGGCAGTGATGGTGCCGTCAAACCCGCCAAGAAATACATTGGCCATGATCGCTTTTAAATTGTCAGATTTTTCTCATGTATGTATTTTGATTTGACTTACCGATTTGGATCAGTAAAAACCCTGGCGGCGGGCTCCAAGTCGCGGGAACTTGATCCGACCCCAATAGAGGTTGTTGCTCTTCACTTTGCGACACTATTTCGACTTCATTCTCGTGTGTCGGCATCACCGAGACACTTTCATTCTGGGGATCCAATAATGCCATTGTCGATTTCCAATATTCAGATCACAACGTTGTGAATCAGAAGATGACGACAGTCCAAATGTCGGAGATTTCAGAAATTTCGGACAAGCGGGCACTCAATCGGGAAATTCGAGCGGATTATCCCCCGCCAAGTGCCAAGCACGACATCATATTCCACTCTGACATAATTAGGGCTTGGAGTTATAAAGGATGCCCATACTCTTCTTATTTTACACAACTATTCCGATTATTTCGATTATTCCAATTTAAACAAGTCAAAGAGACTCAGTGCAGAGTACCCAACTAAGGTTAATGTACCCTATCATGCATATAATGACCAGCATCATGGAAACTGATCGCTGGACCAGTACTTATCATGAAGCTCCTTGAAGCCATCGCCTGCACCGCAGCGCTGTTGCCACTCGCCGCGGCAGACTGGCAATTCAAATCTCGAACCGACCTGGCCCCGCCTCGTCTGAACATCACAATCCCGGCCACAAAGGATGTCGAGAAGGGTTATCTCTTCATCGCACCTTTCCCGGGTCAATGGGCTGAGCCGCAGTTCCACGGCCCACGTCAGGAAGCTCCGTATATTGTTCGCGATGACGGTGAACTCGTCTGGTCAGGCTATACCTACTTCTCCATCTGGGCCACCAACTTCCAAAAGGCCAGATGGAATGGTCAGGATGTGCTGTTCAGCTTTGAGGGTGATCATAACCCGGCCTATGGACATGGCCATGGTCATGCTACTATCTTGAATCAGAATTATGAGACGATTCGGGAGCTCCGTGCTGGCAACCATAAGCTTATGGATAAACATGAATTCCATGTCATCGATGAGAAGACTGCGTTGCTTCAGGTCTATCAGCCTGTGCCGAAGGATCTAGCTCGCTGGGGTGCTAGTCCTGAGCAGCAGTGGATTGTTGATGCCATCTTCCAGGGTATGTGGGTTGTCGAATATTGAAGAGCTAATGCTAATTCGCAGTAGAGTTGGACCTACAGACTGGAGAACTGCTATTTGAGTGGTCTAGCTTGGAGCACGTATCTCCTGATGGTAAGTCAACTGTCTCCAATGATTATAATAGACTAGTCTAACATTATACAGAGGCGGTTCTCCCTCTCAATCCTGGCCAAGCAGGTGCAGGCTACAACTCATCCGACGCATGGGACTACTTTCATATCAACTCCGTGGATAAGGATGTCGAAGGCAACTACCTGATTTCTGCGCGGGATGCTTGTGCAGTCCACAAGGTCAACGGTACCACTGGTGAGATCATTTGGCGACTGGGTGGTCTACGCTCGGACTTTGAACTTGGCCCCAACGTCAAGTTCTGCTTCCAGCACCACGCACGCTTCGTCGAGCAGGGTGACAATGAAGAAATTATCTCGCTTTTCGATAACTCCGCCCATGGAACGGAGAACCACGGTGGCAAGGAGGTCCACACCCATCCTTTCTCACAGGGCAAGGTCATTTCCGTCAACACTGCCACCTGGACTGCGGAGATTGTTCAAGCCTTCCAGCCTCCCGATGGACTCCTCGCCAAGTCTCAAGGTAGCACCCAGCTTCTGCCCAACGGCAATGCCCTGGTCAATTGGGGCTCTGAAGGAGCTGTGACCGAGTTCCGGGCGGACGGTACCCCGATCTTCCATGCTTACATGGACTCCGGACTACTGGGCGAGGGCGTCCAGAACTATCGGGCATTCCGGTACAACTGGACTGGCCTGCCCACAGAAGAACCTGCCATTGTGGCTGAGAAGACCTCCTCTGGCACTGAAGTCTTTGTTTCGTGGAACGGTGATACCGAGACGGCGGTTTGGCGATTCTATGCTGTTACGGATCAATTTGGGTCCCGGGAATTCTTGGGTGAGACTACGCGCGATGGATTCGAAACGTCTTTCTTCCTGGCTGGTCACTCATACCAGAGCTTGGCGGCTGAGGCTGTCTCGGCTCGTGGTCGTGTCTTGACTACAACTCGAGTTGCTCGTATCCAGGACGCGGTGGTCCCTCCCGGTACTGTTATTGCAGGATCCGAGGACCGTAGCTCGTGGAGACAGTTGAACTTGCAGGCATAGATGAAGATAGATCTTTGTACTAGGGCTCTATAGAGAGGGGGATGAGGTGCCAGTGATGTGATGAAGTATATAGAGATTTATGTGTGCTACTATAGAGAATGGAAGTGTCACATGATCTCATAATGTGTCGGATCTTTGGAGGTCCGGTCGGTGTCAGTTGTCGTTTTGATAAAGTTCTAATTAGACCCTCGGATCGTGATAGTTCCGAGTCAACTGTCATCCCACACAGAACTCGGGACAGAGCCGTTTACCGAAATGGGAAATTGCTGTATATGACGTGGGGGTGAAGGGGGGCCACCCTGCTGATACACAACCAACCAAGAGGCTGAAAAACACCTTAAATGTATAGGTTATATGCGGTAGTATTATCACTTTAATACAATGTCACATTCATGTTAGACATTCACATAGTCATATCTTCAGATAGTATATATAGATCAATATCACCTAGTGCATAGTACAGTGTGTATCCATTTCTGGAAAGAGCCACGGTCCATGTTGACCTCCCTCTTTCCCTGAAGGTTCTCGGGTCTGTAACTTTCCGGTTGCCGTTCCTTTACCTTCATATTCCTTCTTATCATCCTTGTTATCTTCGTTCTTTTTACTTCCCAACTCTTCCTCGCGTCTCGTTTGTTTTTCTCTCTCAACACCTCTCGATTACCTCTCTTCACGTATTTCCTCACGTGTTACCTTCATGTCCTCTCATCCTATTCCTTCTTTAGGTTTCTCGCCAACTCCAATCATGCCAGACCCTATGGTGAACATGCTTGACAATGATGTTGACACCCCCGGCTCGGAGACTCCAGTATCCGAGTCCGGGAATGATCGCGATAGACAGATCACCACTCTGGCACGTTCCATCTCTCAAATCTCTCGAACTAGTAGCGCCTGCACCGGGGTACCCTCACAGGGTGTGAACACCTTCCTCGATACTACTAGTGACCCAGAGTTGAATCCCAACAGCGACCAGTTCAAATCGCGCAAATGGGTGAAGAACATCATCCAGATGACCTCTAGCGATCCAGATCGATACCCAGGTCGCACCGCAGGTGTCTCCTTTCGCAATCTCAATGTATTCGGCTACGGCACCGGGTCTGATTATCAGATGAATTTTGCCAACTTCTGGCTCAAAGGTGCAGGATGGGTCCGCAATACCATGGGCTTTCAGAAGAAAGTACGCATTGATATCCTGAGGGACTTTGAAGGCATTGTTCACAGCGGTGAGATGCTGGTTGTCCTAGGTCGCCCAGGAAGGTACGTACATTGATTCCCCTTTACGAAAGACCAATCACTAAGGGCCAGCAGCGGATGCTCCACCTTCCTCAAAGCTATTGCCGGAGAGACGCATGGTCTCTACCTCGACAAGGAGAAAGGTTCTGAAGTGCAGTACGACGGCATATCCTGGAACGACATGCACAGCTGTTACCGCGGCGAGGTCATCTACCAAGCTGAAACCGAGACACACTTCCCTCAGCTAACAGTCGGTGATACACTCCTCTTCGCCGCTCACGCCCGAGCGCCGAGTAACCGACTTCCCGGTGTCACACGCGACCAGTATGCGACGCATATGCGGGATGTGGTGATGGCGACGCTTGGCCTGACCCATACCATGAACACAAAGGTGGGCAATGAGCTCATTCGAGGTGTATCCGGTGGGGAACGAAAGCGGGTCAGTATCGCCGAAACCACCCTGTGTCGATGCCCTTTGCAGTGTTGGGACAACAGCACCCGTGGACTCGACAGCTCAACGGCCCTGGAATTCGTTAAGAACATCCGCCTCTCCACTGAGTATAGTGGATCCACCGCTATTGTCGCAATCTACCAAGCAAGTCAGTCCATCTATGACCTGTTTGACAAGGCGATCGTGCTCTACGAAGGTCGTCAGATCTATTTCGGAAGTGCAGCCAATGCACGACGCTTCTTCATCCATATGGGATTTCACTGCCCAGATAGACAAACCACTGCGGACTTCCTCACCTCCCTCACCAGTCCGTCGGAACGTCTTGTTCGCCCCGGGTTCGAAGACTATGTTCCACGCACACCCGATGAGTTTGCAGCACGCTGGAAGGAAAGCCCAGACCGCAAGCAGCTTCTCGCGGAGATTGAAAGCAATGCAGCTGGAAAATCCGACAAGGTTGAGCAGTTCCGTCGCTCTCGTGCAGCAGACAAAGCCAGACTTACTCGTGAACGCTCGCCATACACACTCTCGTATCCGATGCAAGTCCGCCTATGTCTTTGGCGAGGATTCTTGCGGCTCAGGGCAGACATGGCTATGACGCTTGCCACGCTCCTTGGGAATGTTGGCATGTCTCTAATCATTTCCAGTCTCTTCTATGACACACCGGACAATACCGACAGCTTCTTCAATCGTGGAAGCCTGCTTTTCTTTGCGATCATGATCAGTGCCTTCTCTAGCTCACTGGAAATCATGGTCATGTGGCAGCAGCGGCCGATCGTGGAAAAGCATCGCAAGTACGCATTATACCATACCTCAGCGGAAGCTCTCAGCGCGTACATTGTGGAACTCCCATCAAAGCTCTTGCTAGCCGTCGCTTTCAATTTGATCATCTATTTCTTACCTCATCTTCGGCGAACTGCAGGACATTTCTGGATCTTTTTCCTGATTTCGGTAACAACAACCCTTGTGATGTCCAATATCTTCCGGTTTATCGGCGCAATCTCGCGATCTGTGGCCCAGGCCATGCCCCCTGCTTCAGTCTTCATGCTAGTCTTGGTCATTTACACCGGGTTTACTATTCCTGTCCGCGATATGCATCCCTGGTTTCGGTGGCTTAACTATGTGAACCCGATTGCTGTAAATGATAACTAAGCTTTTGTTCAGCCCCCCCAGAATATGCTAACACGAGATAACTAGTACGCCTTTGAGGCCTTGATGATCAATGAATTCGGCGGACGGTCCTTCCCTTGCACGAATTTTGTCCCAGGCATCTTGGACATCTACAAGGATGCACCTCTCAGCTCCAAAATCTGTTCACAGAAGGGTGCTGTGGCAGGTCAAAATTTCATCGACGGAGAGGCATACATTAACACAACTTACGAATACTACAGCCATCATCTGTGGCGAAGCTTCGGATTTCTTTGCGTTTTCTTCGCCATCTTCTTTGTGCTGTACCTTTTCAGCAGCGAGCTCATCCGGGCTAAACCATCCAAAGGTGAGATTCTGGTGTATCCGCGCGGCAAGATTCCTGCGTTTGCGAAGAATGTTCGAAAAGAGGATCCAGAGGAGGTCATTGCATCCGAGAAAGGTGCAGTTGCTAGCGGATCTCGGGACACAACTGCGGCAATTGTTCGCCAAACTTCTATCTTCCACTGGGAGAATGTGTGTTTCGACATCAAGATCAACGGAGTTCCGCGACGCATCCTGGACAGCGTGGATGGTTGGGTCAGACCAGGCACTCTGACGGCCTTGATGGGTGTCACTGGTGCAGGAAAAACATCCTTGCTCGATGTGTTGGCCGACCGTGTCACTATTGGCATCGTCCCGGGCGATATGCTTATCGATGGCCGCCTACGCGACGATTCTTTCCAGCGAAAGACAGGTTATGTGCAGCAACAGGATTTGCATATGGAGACCAGCACTGTTCGTGAAGCTCTAGCTTTTAGCGCTCTACTACGACAGCCTGCTAGCATTCCTCGAGGAGAAAAGATTGCATACGTCGAAGAGGTTATCCACATGCTCGGCATGGAAGAATACGCAGATGCCGTGGTCGGAGTTGCCGGTGAGGGTCTCAATGTGGAGCAGCGCAAGCGGCTGACTATTGGCGTGGAGCTGGCAGCTAGGCCAAATTTGCTGCTGTTCTTTGACGAACCAACTTCGGGTCTGGATAGTCAAACTGCTTGGTCAATCTGTACTCTGATGCGCAACTTGGCCGACCACGGTCAGGCTGTACTGTGTACCATTCACCAACCTTCGGCAATGCTGATGCAGCAGTTCGACCGCCTATTGTTCCTCGCCAAGGGAGGACGCACAGTTTACTTTGGTGAGCTTGGCACAAATATGGAGACATTGATTAAATACTTCGAAGACAAAGGGTCCATCAAGTGCCCTAAGAACGCAAACCCGGCCGAGTGGATGCTTGAGGTTATTGGTGCTGCGCCAGGCTCTCATGCGGATAGAGATTGGGCTGAACAATGGACCAACAGTGCTGAGCGCGCCGAGGTTCGCAAACAGCTAGCGGAAATGAAAGCAGAATTGTCTAAGAAGCCTCAACCAGCCCAGGCTGCAGGTTTTGGTGAATTCGCCATGCCAATCTGGTATCAGATCCTTGTTTGTACTCAACGCACGTTCGAGCAGTACTGGAGATCTCCGTCGTATCTATACGCCAAGACCCTCACCTGCACTGTCCCAGTAAGTTATTTTCCTCCCTTCTGTTTGATTGGACTAACCGGTATAGCCACTGTTCCTCGGATTCACCTTCTATCATATGCCTACCAGTCTCCAAGGACTGCAGAATCAGATGTTTGCAATCTTCATGATACTCGTCATCTTCCCGGGTCTGGTCCAGCAGATGATGCCGGCCTTCGACACGCAGCGCGCTTTGTATGAGGCACGCGAACGGCCTTCAAAGACCTACTCGTGGATCGCATTCATGATAGCCAGTATTGTCGTGGAGCTGGCATGGAATATCGTGATGTCGATACCAGTCTTTTTCAGCTGGTACTACCCAATCGGGTTCTATCGGAATGCAGAGCCTACGAAATCTGTCATCGAACGAAGCGCCATCATGTACGTGCTCATTCTGATTTTCATGTTGTTCACGTCGACTTTCAGCTCCATGATGATTGCTGGAATTGAACATCCTGATACCGCCAGCAACATTGCTCAGTTCATGTTCTCCATGTGCTTGGTCTTCAATGGGTAAGTTATCTGCGAGTGCTTGGGAGTTAATTGGTACTGTTACTAGTGCTGACTAGACTTGTAAGCGTTCTCGCGAATTCGTCTTCTATGCCTCGATTCTGGATCTTTATGAATCGCGTATCGCCATTCACCTACTTTGTGTCGGCCGTCCTCTCTACTGGCCTGTCTGGGAACACTGTGCAATGTTCCAGTATTGAGGTGCTCACCGTATCGCCTCCAGATGGACAGACTTGCGGCAGTTATCTGAACCCTTATATTCAGGCTATTCATGGCACATTGCTGAATCCCGAGGCATCGGTGGACTGCAAGGTCTGCACGATGTCTAGAACGGACCAATTCCTTGCAAGCCTCAACATGTATTACTCGGATGTTCCGCGCAATATCGGTTTGCTATTCGTCTATGTGGCGTTCAATATCGTCGCCGCGCTCTTCTTGTACTGGCTCTGCCGCGTGCCCAAGCGTCGGTCACGCAACGTTACGCAGACCTAAAAAGGTCGCCTTCTTGTTTTTCAGGTTGTGGGATGGTTCGTTTCAGTCAGTTTGTTCTCGAGAGATTCTCTGATTTCTACTCGGGATTTATCAGAAATATTCGCTTATTTTCTTCTTGGCACAGAGTGTTATCTTGCCAATTTATCTCCTGGCGCAGAGTCTTATCTTGCCAATGTATCTCATTCATGTAGCTTATTTCAATCAATGTTGTATTATTTTGTACTGTTTTCCAGATATAACAATGGCTAACCACAGTTAGGGTAGATTGATCCATCACAATCATCCTCTCATCATAGTAACAAAGGAAGGTATGTCCATCTTCTCTGGTATGGCTTCATATAAATATCCAGACATAAGCGCAATTGCTTCATCATACTTGATCCTCAATGCAAACTGGAGGTCTTGCTTGTGCCGCAAGCCTTCGCACTCATTAAGAGCTCAACTATCAAGAATTCGACTTGGATTTGGACCTTTTGTAGCGACAAGAATAGTCGTCAATCTATAATGTAGGATAGATAATTGGGGTGCCAATAGTGTATGCAGTTGTATTTGCTTACAAGCACTACTCGCTTTGGAAACCTTCGCTTATTACTTGGCTGTATCTGCCTTCATCGAACTATAGACCTCGGCATCCTTGTAGAACCAACGACAAACATCTTGAAGCTGAATTTGGCTCCAGATGAAAGGAAAGCGTATAAAAACATTCTGGAGACAGACGATTATGTCTCGTGACAGAGAAAATAAAGACAGAGAGTGAAGAATACACCTAACAGATTAACACCCTATGATAAGATAGTCCTCGATTTTTGTGACATTACATTCTCTTACCTTCACTCTTCGAGTTTGCCCTTTCCTCACTTCATCTCGCTTTCTCTCATTCTCTCTCTCGCGTCTCTTCCACGGACAGATTTCAGTAATCATCCGGTACGGGGCTCACCATATTGGACCGAACGCCATCATGGCCTTCCCACCCAACGACGACGAAATCAGCACATGGCAAACCAAGCTGAAAGCCCTGCGTCTCAAGTGCGAGATGTGTCTGAAGGACGAAATCACTGCAGGCTGTCATAACCCGCACGCATGGAAGTCTGAAGAGGACAATGGAAATGACCCTATCTACACTGATGGCGTCCTCATGTTGGATTCCATCAAGCGATGGAAGGTTGACGGCTCTCCTGACGACATGAAGAAGCACTTTTCCCCAACCACCGGGACCACGTGGAGACCGAAGAACGTGCGCCTATGCGACGCTGGGGTAATCTACGCCCTACTGACACTATCCACGAGCTACAGAGCCAAGCATCTTGCTTATGACTTTGACGCCAGAGGTGAAGTACGAACCTCTCATGTGCCCCGTGCACCAAGCGTGGTTGTTACCCAAAACAACATACGATTCCTGCTTGCATGGAGAGGCGTCTACGTCTTGACTGGTGGCTACAACGACGCAGGATGGTTGTTAGCCTCGGACTACGACATAGATGCTCCTCATCTCGTGGCCGGTCTGGTCGTAGCGCCTCCACACCTGAAAACAAACGATAACCTCAACACAGACATGGCTGAATATGACCCTCCTCAAATGATGGCGTCGGCTAAAGTCAAGGACATCTGGGAGTTTGGCCACAAAACTTTCAATATCCGCCTATGCGGCACTCGCCAGTGGGAAAACAAATGCCTCATATTGTCCAATCGCAAAACCGGTTACCAGACAATCCACAAACTGGAAGGAATTCATCGCTTGATTAGCCCGTCCGCCTGGGGTCGCAGCCCCAATGCCGCCGATTTCGAATCCTTTTGCATGCCCACGCAGTACCCGGCCCGTACAGACGACAACTGGGATCCTGTGGAGCAGAGCAAAACCACAAAGTCCCTGGGCTGGAATTTCTAGCACGAAAGTTGGAGCAGCTTCGAGCCTCCTGGTCTGCCAACCCAGTCTCCAGATATGTGATGGCGAACGGGTATTTCTCGGAAATGGACTTCGAGACCTTGTGTAGTCCATCCAACCGTCAGCCGCCTCCGTACCCGATGGACATCATGGGGGCGATCCAGACAGATGCCGACAAGCAGGCGTTTGTATCTGCTCTCTATTATGAGTCGGTGCTACACGATTTACGCAATTTGGTGGTCAACAAGCCGCCATGCCCTATGGCTACGGCCGTGTGTGACATGCTCTCACAACTGGAAAGCGTTACGCTTATGTACTCGGACGCCGCGACTAAAGAGAAGATTGCACGGGACTTCAACGATGCCTGCAGGTGGGCTCAGAAGCTGTGCCAGCAGAGACTCGAATCCAATAAAATCACCAATGCCATTAGCGCAGATGCCACTGCAGATGCCACCACCGCAGATCCCAGCCCTAACACGGAGGCCCTACCTCATCTCTTTCGGCTACACCCTGGTGCAGTTGAGACGGGACACATTGATGCAAAAAATGGAAAAACCAATAAAAAAGATGGAGAATACGGAAAACACCGGCGCGAACGCGTACGCATGGTAAAACCGAGGTTATGCAACTTCGAACTTTGAACAAGGAACCATTTCCGCTCTCACAGATGTTATTACTGCTATTCGTTTCCTTCCTATGTACTTATGGCTTCTAGCGCAAGGTCTGTTTGAGGAAGATACTCTCAGGCTTCATCTGGGGCACATTATGACGGTTCCTTATGACCGTCGCTGTAGATAGCCAAATATTTGGGGTCACTTAGGAATGCACCATTATTTTTACAAGAACTCCCAATCTTACAGGTGTATACTTCCATAAGCCTACACGTATATCAACAAGTACAACTAAATCCGCTCTAATCGGCCGAGATAACCCAATCCAGACATCAAACCCGAGACTTAACTATAAGAAATCGGTGGATTTTAAACCAGCTCTACTATGAGCTTATATTTTATCGGATCCCGGCTGCTGCCTGTGGTCTGATGTACTGCGCATATATTTACCCTCTATCCACTCTAGAATATATCCATCTTCATACAATTCCCTCTTGCATTTATACTTTAAACCACTATGACAACCAAACCTCTCTCCGAGATCTTCGCCCAGCGAGCAGTCGAACTGCGCGAATTCATCTTCTCTCAACCTGCTTCCAACTTTACCAATAACCCCTGGGCTTTGGCAAATGCCATCGAGGATTTCGCCAATGAAGTCGGACATATGATGATCTTCCGACAACCCAAGGTCGAGGTCGCGCGCGAGCAACTCCTCGCCCAACAACCGGTGCCACGCACAATTATCGAGTTTGGCGCGTTTGTGGGTAAATCCGCGCTTGCATGGGGAGCTATTCTGCGCGATATTCACGGTGACAAGGTGCCCGATGATGTCAACATCTATACATTCGATCCCAACCCGCAGATGGTTGCCCTGACTAGGGAGTTTGTGAAGATGGCCGGTGTTGAGGACTTTGTTCATGTCCTGGAAGGTCCGGGCTCGGACTCTCTTCGGACTTTGCATGCCGAGGGCAAGGTCACCACTGTCGATATGGCCTTCTTCGATCACTGGGAGCAATTCTATCTGTCTGATTTGAAGCTGGTTGAGGAGCTGAAGCTCTGGCGTGTTGGTTCATTGGCTATTGCTGATAATACGGATTACCCTGGTGCGCCGGATTATTTGAAGTATGTTCAGGCGGGAGGCAGCGGGATACCTGGATCAGTGAAGTATGAGACCAAGTCTTTTGAGACCACTGGTAAGAGAGCTGGCCCGGTAAGTCTCATTCTTCTGGATATTGTAGCGGGCTTGGGACTTATGACCGGTTTAGAGCATCGTCGAAGTGAGCACCGTCGTGGCACTTGAGTGAACTGTTACCTAGTAGATGAACTGAAGATATGATTCGATGATGAACATGCTGTATACGATGAATTGGAGATATATAGTAGCAATTGTACTCATCTCATTGGCTTGATATTGAATTGCTATTGATCTAGAACCGCCATATTGCTCTCCGTGACATATTTTAAGAATATTCTTTTCTAGAAATTGTGAATTCCATCTCCATCCAGCCAATATATATTTCCAATTGAATGTCAAGATATGTCTTAACATCAGTCATACAAGCCAGCCATTTAACTAAAAAGTACATTTATTCTTTACATACTAGTATCAAATACCTTGATATTGCATCTATAAAATAGAAACCGTTGAGTTCCCGGGCCGATGGTCGTCTCCCCGCTTATCGACTGGAATAAACAACCTCCTTGTCTAATCCGCGCGAACTCCATACCAACACCTATTTTTGGTGATTGAAACAACTTCAATTATACAGCTCCACACAATTCACCCGAATACCTCGAGGCATACTAATCGCGTTCTCCCCTTGCTTCTCCGGCCACGCTGTCCGTACCAGCGCCACACTCACAATGTACGCTCCCTCTGCTCATGGCATCGCACAGCAACTAACATGCCTGACAATACCAGGGGCGTCTTCTCTTTGATCATTATCAATAAAGCCGGTGGTCTTATCTACCAGCGCGAGTTCCAGGCTGGCCTGCGCAAGCTCTCGACAAATGATTATCTCGTCCTAGCTGGCACCTTTCACGGGTAAGCTGTCAACACCCATCTCTCCCCTGGAATACCCATTTGACTTGGTTTCTACAGTGTCCACGCAATCACACGCTCCATCACACCGAAAATCCCCATCTCCCAACCTGCTCAGTCACCTGCAACCTCTTCAACGGGCACAGCTGCTCCTGCGGCGTCCGGTTACTCCTACCCAAACCCCGGTGTACCAGTCTCCGGTCTGGATTACCTCGAGACCGACAAGTTTCGATTGACTTGTTTCCAGACCTTGACGGGGACGAAATTCTTGTTGTTCACGGATCCCTTGACCGGCAGCGTGGATGGAATCATCCAGAAAATCTACGAGCTCTATGCGGACTTCGTGATGAAAAATCCGTTCTATCAGATTGAGATGCCGGTGCGATGCGAGGCATTCGATCGGCATCTGGGGGCGTGGTTGAGGGGGAGGACGTAGCCCCCGACGGGCGACGGAAGCACGCAGAAAGGGGATAGACATCACGACTTTACGAACTAGATACGTTTTGTTCCTGTACTTGTGTCCGGATATCACTCCGTCTCGTATAATACCAAATCACATAATATATTGCCCTTGCACACTGTAGAACGTACCCGAAAAGAAGGTCGACTCGAGAGAATACAAGACAAAAGCAGAGGGAAACGCCGGGTATGCATCACAGTCATATTCAAATCTTCGGTCGGGCCTTACGCGGTGTCCATCTTGTCCTCGTCCTTCTTATTGTCACCGCTGGACTCGCCGTGGCCCTCCTCGGGGATATTGCCCAGTTGCGTCTTGCCTTCCTGTTCTTCCCGATCGCGCTTCTCCTTCTCCTGTCGATTCTTCTCGTCCTCCATCGATAACCGCAGGGCGAATGCCAGCTCGGGGTCGTTCTCGGCGGCATCATCGAATCCAAATCCACCAGCCTCGCCCTCGCCGCCACCTCCGCCGACCTCGGCATCCTCGCCAGCCAGGATCGGGGTCAGCTGCAGCTGATCGCTGAGAAGATGGGGTCCCGGCGGGATGATGGCGAGGTGGGATCCATCGCCGCTCTTGACATTCTCAACAAAAGCCTCGAGCTTCTTGGTCTGGTCGGATTCCAAATCTCCGAAAGCTACCACATCGATCGACACGTTGTTCTTCTTCATCTTCTTTGCGAGCTTCACGAGAGTCTTCTCATCTTCTTCGATGGGCGAGCAGGAGAATACGATGATGCGTTGACGCTGGGATTTTTCCATACGGTGCTTGAGTGCCAACTAAAATATCATCAAGATTAGCTATTGAGAGCTTGGGATCTCGGAGCTCGGCTGGAAGAACTTACCGCTGCAACCTGGATGGTCGAGCTGAGGTGAGCTGTGCCGTGAATCTTTGTTTGGTGCAGACCAGCGAGAATTGCGCCAAACTCAGGTGTGAAGGTTGATAGAACCTCGGGGCCCTTGCCGCCCATGCTCATGAGGCCGACAGCTGACTGGGCGTTTACACGCATCTTTGCATTGTGGATGATGCTAACGGCATCGACTTGAGATTGCCACCGGGTTGTTCTGTGACAATTAGATGCTATTCAGAGATGCAGATATAGTATGATCGGATGTACTCACGTGTAGTCTCCATTGCGACTGCTTTCGCTGTTGTCGACACTGTAGCTTAGGGTCAGCAGAGTAAGCTAATATGGAGGATGGACAATGACGGACATGATCATAGTAGCTTCAAGCGTCATGATGGCGGAATCTGATGGAGTTAACGAGGTAAAGGAGGGCAGAACAGCGAGTGAATATGAGAACGGCGTACGGGTGATGAAGACGGATGACGAAGGCGAGGTGGAAGCTCTGCATTCTGCCACCGCTCCCCGCCCGGGCACGCTGTTTGTTGTGGTCCTCCTTGCTCCGCACCCTTAGCCCTTGTACTTCGACACATCTCAGTCTATATCCCTTGAACTCTGAACAATGCCTGCCACTAAGCGCAAATCTGACGCCATGGACGTCACGCCTACGGGTAGTCCTACTAAAAAGATGCGCCTGACGCAGCACCAGAAGCAGGCGCTGATGGACAATCTACAACTTGAAAGTGGGTTGAATTGTGGGTTTACAGAAGGAACATGGCATTAATTTTTCTACAGTCACTGAGCGAGCACGTAAACTTCGTGCTCAATATGCCCTTCAGGCAAATGATCTCCGGGCACGCATTGAGCGACGCGTCAATCGGATCCCAGTCTCGCTACGCAAGGCCAATATCGGTGAACTGCTCGAAAAGCACAACGCCGCCACAAACAAACAGCAGGTTGCGTCGCCTTCTCGGAAATACTCGCCTATCAAGGTGTCACGTAATATTGCCAGCATCTCCGTAGACCCAGAAACCACACGCGACGGTAGAGCTCGGAGGGGAAGGTACGATATACCACAAGCCCAACTTGTTTCTCTGACTGACATGATTTGTAGCCACGATGGCCACTTCTCCGACAAAGAGAATGCTCCTGCCGGTCGCGAGCCGGAACTCAAGAACCCGAAGCGTCGCGTGAAGCCAGCCGGAACAGGCGGGGCCTCCCGCGTGGCGTCTCAGGAAGTACGGGGCAACGAGAACCGGATTCTGTCTCCCAAGTCCAACAATTCCAGAACTTACCCCCACTCTCCCTTCCGTACATCCCCCGAGAAGGGTCAACCCTCATATCTGGCGCGCCCCACCTCACCACTAAAACCGTCCAGTCCGCTGCGATCACGCGGCGCTACTGTGTCTACGGTGAGGGATCAGCGACCTCCTCCGCAGGTCCAAAGGACTACCACCCGTGCCGCCACGGGACCCAAGACTATTCGGTCACCTTTGCCACGCCCGGCGACCCGACAGGGCGAGCGCAAGAATAGCACAGGATCTACTGCGTCTTCGGGCACAACAGTAACCAAGTCCACACGGACTGGTACTGGCGTGAGAAAGCCCACAACAGCATCTGTTGCGGCTGCCACGAAGAGGCCGACTTCTCGTATGCAAACTGCATCGATGGCTGTCAAGAATACACCCACTGCTGCAATGCGCAAGACAACTGCTCCGGCTGTGGCTGAACCTGCGACTCGGACTCGAGCGCTGCGCAAGCGGATTTAGGACTGTTTACATGAACGCACAGACATTTGTCTTTGGAGTTGGTTGGGATTCTGTTTCTTTGAGCGTGGGTGATTGCTGACTCTGCAATGAACAATTTGGGTCTGGGTGCTGTCTTTCGTGTTAATTCTTCGGCGTGATATCATAATAGTTGTTTTTCCTTCAGTCGGGTATACATTCATGGCTTTTGTCCGAATATCTGAATCAAGTTCTTTTCAAACCAATACTTTACTGTACAAAGATCCTCGTTTTCATCGGTGTGTAACCAGTCCGTAACAACATGCCAGGGCAAATATGATACCCCTGTTGCTCCAGTGCATGAGTGATTTAATGCAACTTCCCTCTCAAAATCCCGACGGGCTTCAATTCACCAGTGGTTCTCTCGAAATCCTGCGAGTCATGTCTCCCCTGTTGCAAGCTAGAGTAAATGCACCATCCGGAGTTATCGCAAGTCCGCGGCGTTAGTATAGCGCTATCTCCGGTCCGTGATGCTTAAAGCAGACCTGTCGATGCTTATGTATGTTCATTGTCATCATTACCTTGATCATGGCTACTTCCAAACTCACTTGGCTCATTACTGGCTGCTCGTCTGGCTTTGGCCTTTCCTTGACCCGTGCCGCCCAGGCTGGCGGGCACAAGGTCATCGCGACCTCGCGCAACCCATCACGGACTCCGGAGCTGGTTGCCGAGATCGAGTCCAAGGGGGGCAAATGGGTCCAGCTTGATGTGGACAGTCGTGACAACGGCGATGTCATCACCGAGCTCGAAAGACGTGGCGAGCATATTGATGTCCTGGTTAACAATGCCGGCTATTCCATCTACGCCCCCATTGAGACTGTCGACGAGGAGGAGGTGAGAACCCAGATGGAGACTATGTACTTTGGCCCTTTGCGTCTCATCCAAGCCGTTCTGCCCCATATGCGTCAGCGAAAGTCCGGCGTGATAGTCAACATGAGTAGCGGTGCTTCGCTTGACGGTATTCCCACTATGGGTGTATACGCTGGTGCAAAGGCTGGATTGGACGGTATGTATCAAGAGTTTCTCGCCCGGGAAAATGGCTAAATATGAGTTTGATAGCCCTTACCAAGATCCTCGCTAAGGAGGTTGCCCCATTCAACATCCGCACCCTGACTGTCGTTCTCGGAACCTTCAACACCAACATGCCTAACTCGGTTGTTCTGGGCAAGACTCCCCTGCCTGAGGATTACAAGGGAACCTTCACTGAGCAGGTTCAGGGTCTTCTGGTCAATGGGAAGCTCAAGCCCAACGGTGACAAGAACAAAGCAATGCAGGCTGTGTACCAGGTCGTTATTGGTGAAGGAGTTGGTGAAGGTCGTCAAACCGAGAAACTTCTCCCTCTAGGGAGTGATATGACACCTCGAGTGAAAGGAGTTCAGGAATATCTCAGGCATGCTTTGGAGGTATTTGGCTCTGTGACCACCAACGTGGATATTGATAAATAGAGAAGATTGTAAATGTTCCTATACTCGAAATTAGTCAGACTGTTAAAAGTCGTCTTTCATGTAAAACCCGAAGTGGGTCAAAGAGCCCATGACCCATGGGTTGGCACATATGGGCCCCATAAATTCCCTAATTAGGCTATAAACCCGCACCTAAATAGGTATGAAGCTATATAACACCGTTGACTTACTAATAGCGCCATCTCCCTGATACAAAGCTATTATATCTATGTGCCGAATATTACCCATTTCTTTATAGCTTCAATAGCTAGAGTCATATCTGCTGGAATGAAAAAGGAATGCCAAGTTACAATCAAGACGTGATACACTCACTTCCTCACTTCCGACCTATCCGTTCTGATCTCCCCTTGAGACACACAGTACATTGTCGATCTTCTATGATTCAAACCTTAGAGCTTTTTTGGTTTAGCGGCATCGATTAGCACTGTCGATCCCCTGAAAAGTGGACTCTTAATAATTGCAGATCATTACACTCGAAAAGAAGCAAAAAGAATGTCTCAATTATCAGGGGAAACTGACATATTGGACTATAAGAGCCCCTTATTAACTCTGTCCGGGTCGAGATTTTGCATTGATAACACACTACGCGATCTTCATACGGGAACTGTCAGGATGTTCGGTCGATCTATCACGGCAGTGCTGGCGATCGCACTGCTCAATGGTGGCCAAGCAAGACTGTCAAATCAAGGCTCTGGGTCTGAACCGATCGATACATCAAAGTATCGATTTCTGAACGACAAGACCAAATGTATGCTATACTCTATCCATCCCTTCCGTCTCGACTGACAATATGTTTCTTCAGCTCATGTGGTAGCAAGCCTACCAGATGTTCATTACGAATTGGGAGAAATGTACTCGGGGTTCATGCCGATCCGTGAAAATGATGCCTTGTTTTATATCTTCCAGCCGAAGATCGGGGAGCCAAGTGACGACCTCACAGTTTGGTTGAATGGTGGACCGGGATGTAGTTCAATGCAGGGGTTTTTGCAAGAGAACGGCCGCTTTACCTGGCAACCCGGTACCTACGAACCAGTCATTAATGAGTACTCATGGGTTAATCTAACCAATATGTTATGGTAAGTTATTAACCAGGGCTGAGGATGTAGTAAACTCATTGAGATGTTTAGGGTCGACCAGCCGGTTGGAGTTGGGTACTCAAATGGTACGCCGACTGCGACCAACGAAGAGGATATCGCGGCCGATTTCGTCAGCTTTTTCCAAAAGTTTCAAGAAGAATATGGTATCAAGAACTTTCGAATCTTCTTGACTGGTGAAAGTTATGCGGGTCGATATGTGCCCTACATATCCGCTACCATGCTTGACAAGAACGATACAGAACACTTCAACCTCAGCGGTAAGAGTTGAGAATCCCCCTGCATTAAATTGGCGCACATTCTCATTTTATACTAGGAGCTCTGATGTATGATGCGTGCATCGGCCAATGGGATTATATTCAAGCTGCACTCCCTGCTTACCCCTTCGTTAAACAACATGCCGAGCTGTTCAACTTTAACCAATCATTCATGACGGAGCTACAAGATACCTACAAGCAATGCGGCTACGAGGGATATTTTGAAGAGTATTTCACTTATCCGGCCTCGGGAGTACAACCTCCCAAATATATGGACTACTCCGAGTGCGACATCTACAACATGATCTACTACGAAGCTTTTACTCCAAACCCCTGCTGGAGTCCTTACAAGATCAGCCAAACATGTCCACTCTTATGGGATGTCCTAGGCTTCCCCACAGACGTGGCCTATCAACCAGGTCCCACAACCTATTTCAACCGCACAGATGTCAAGAAGGCTCTACATGTTCCAGAGAATATCGACTGGGAGCTCTGTAGCTTTGATAGTGTCTTCGTGAGCCCCAATCCGGGACCAGAACAACAATATGATGACTCTGTGAATCCCACAGAGCATGTCTTGCCCCGGATTATCGAGGCGACGAATCGGGTACTGATCTCGAACGGAGATTGGGACTATCTAATTATCACGAATGGAACGTTGCTGGCGATCCAGAACATGACCTGGAATGGCGAGCTAGGATTCCAGACTCGTCCTACCACTCCCATTCATATCGACATGCCTGACTTTCAATACGGTGCGGTCTTTGATGCCCAAGAGGGATATGGCGATCTCGATGGACCACAAGGGATGATGGGGGTTCAACACTATGAACGTGGTTTGATGTTTGCGGAAACCTTCCAAGCGGGTCACCGACAGCCTCAGGATCAAGGTCGAGTGTCTTATCGTCATGTCCAGTGGTTGTTGGGTGAGGACGATCATCTTTGATAACTTTCTCCCTTCATTCGCTATTATTTAGATGGGTCAGGTTGCCACCAATGGCACGAGCAGCCTTCTTCTCTGGCCCGTGAAGACACCAAATCTGGCGCCGGGGTGTAAACAGGCCGCTCGGGCGCGTTGAGGCCATAACGGGGGTCACAGTGAGTGGCAGAGATATAGGCAGGCCAAAACGACCTCACGGCCATTTCTAGCTGTCTTTCTGGCGTCATCTAGTTCAAAGTAGTAAAAATAGCCTGAAAATTACATCCCTAAAAGCCAAATAATAGGCTTGTTCAGGGTAGGCGTGTCGCAACCATGATCCTACAATATAAGTATCTCAGCAACTACTCAGAACAGGTATGGGAATCATGTTGATTGAAATAAAAAAAGGAAATAAAAGCCGGGGTCTTGTTAAGCAAAAGGCCTGGAGAAGAATTAGAAAAGAAGAAAGGAAAAAAGGGGTCTAGGTATAGCCGTAGCCTGGCCCACAAAAAGAATGAGCATGCTCAGAAATGAAAAGCGAGAGAGAAAGGAAAAACAGGACATTTATGGGGCCCAGAGGGACAGGTATGGGTATGGCTGATCCCTCGAATCAGATGCAGATGAACAAAGAGGAAAAAAAAGGTAGGGCATCCCAGCCACTATAGAGATAGAGAGAAAACAGAAATCAATAGCGACCAAGCGGCTTGTTGATCACTTTTTGGGGAATTTTCATCGAAGGAAAAAAAAGGGAAAAAGAACTCCGTCAACCAGCCCTATCACTCGACAAAAAGAAAAGAAAAAGAACGCTAAGAAGGTCCCAAGAAACGAGAAAAGAAAACAGTCCACGGAGATTGAATCAGACGGATAGATGCAGGATGAGGTTGGATGATGTACCACAGTATTGTAGCGGTGCAGGAAGAGTATTAGGAGATCCAGTCTACCCAGTAACACCCATGGCACCTGCACTCGGACGTGGCCTATATGCCACATTTGATGATTGGCCATCAGGTGGCACTGCAATTGGCTGGCTACCGTTGCTGGTGCTACGGTCACGGTGATATGCTGCAGGGGGAGGAGCGAAATCAAGTCCAGCCTGAGCGTTGGCGCTTGCTGAATGGGAGTGTCCGCTGGGCCCAGGCACATGGCGAACCGAACTCTGCATCTGCCAGGCTGCATCTTGAGATGGATCGGTCTCGATACGCGCGGAAGCTGGACTGCTATTACTTCGGTTGGGGGTGGTGATCGTGAATGTCTCGCCACCGTTTTCCGGTTTTTGTGAAAAGCTGCCTCGAGCAATATCGCCATATCGTTTGAGGATTTCCTTGGTGGTCACTTCGGCATTCTCCCTGAAAAGAGTTGGATCACCCAAGACCGATTGTAGGTCTTCGGGAATCTGTTGATAGAGTTAGCATGAGTCTGACAAGACCTCAACCTGGGCGGCTTACCTCGCAGAATGCATCGTTATAAGCGATCAGGGCATTGACAGCCTCGATGGACAAGAAGCTCTCGTCCACTGTACTGTTTTTGGCATTGGGGTAGAGAATATTGGGCGTGATGACGGTTGCAAGATTGTGAATGTCCATCTTGCTTCCAGACTCTTCATCCACATGCGAGAAGGATGATGTCCAGTTTAAGAAGGCAAACAGAACTTCCATCGTATCACGGTGGGCTTTGGGGAGTAGACAGCATGTCAAGTGAAGTAGTCGCCTCTGTTTCTCTGCGTTTTCCATTTCTGCGACAGATGTTAGCAACACGAGCAGGCCAATAACCGTAACATTAAGACTCACTTTGTGAGATGACAAATAGTTTGTGTAACTTGAAAGTCAAGAGCGGATCGGGCATCTCGCGGAGGAACTTCTTCAAAAGAGCGGCGATCTGCACAGGAGTTTCTTTTGTCAAATCAACTGACTCGTACTTGGTGTCGATTTGCTCCGCGGTATCCTTCAATCGGCGGATGTTGCCGTTCTTTCGGAAGACACCCTCGACAGACATGTCCATCTGCCGCATAGCGCAAACAGAATCATCGACCAAGGTCGGGATGCGGAGCGCCCCAGGGCCAACACCGTGACTTGACTCTGTGCCCTCCTTCTCGACCAAATAGTCTAGACCGACACCGAAGACACCCTTCTTTTTATTGGCCTTCTTGTTGTCCTTGAAGGCACGGCCAAAGATGTTCCATATGGTAGGTTTGCGGGACTCAATAAGAGAAAGAAGCTCTTCCATGGTGAAATGACCCTCTACCAAGGGTTCCATCTGTAGCACAGCAACGTGGCGAACGATGAAATATTCCAAAGCAGTTAGTTCTGAGAAGTACCGCTTGGTTCGGGTTGGCTCTATGAGGGCCTCCAAATTTCCACTCGACACTCCCCGCTGGTGGCCATGGTTGTACCTGGGCATCGGCTCTGTCCCCCCAAGGAGTTTCGTGCCGGCATGCCTATAGGCATTAGGTCGCTGCTCTTTGGCTTGTTCAGCCGCAACAATGCGGGGGATATCATCTAGCGTCAAAGCATCCTGAGCCCCGAAAGTCAGATCGGAAACGGTTTCGCCATTGGCATCCCGTTCTTCGACAATCTGGAAACCGTGACCCCTCGGGTCATTCCCATCATTGCCAGATGACCCTGGTCGCGCACTTCTGCCTTCTGGTCCATCGATTATTCTGGATGCGCGAGCACGTTTGTATGTTGTGGATAGGGTTCGCTCGTTGCGAATAGAGCGCAGCCGACGCATCTCGCCGACGGTCTGCTCAAGGGATGTTTCCTCCAAGCCATCTCGCGAGCCACCGCCATATGACTGGCGTGTGTTTGCCCGGCGAACCTGGGTGACTCCCTGGCCGTCTTTGCGTTCATAATCATTGAGGTTGGGGTCGTCTGGGGCGTAGCAAGTTAGACAAACTGCCGGCTGCATGGGGGTAGTGTAAAAGTGTCTTACCGGATGTATCTGGCAAGGTTCCACCGGATCGAAGAACAGCGAGAAGCCGTGCGAGTGCCACTTTCAGCAAGAAAACGAATTGCTGCAATTTTGAAACTGAGGTGAAACCACCCTTCACAGTGGGGCCAAGATTCATCTGATGGGCGCAAGCGCCGCAGTAGACTTGCTCCTCACTGCCACTCCACAATGCGTCTTGAAGATCAGTAGTCAAATCCTTCTCACATGATTTGCACGAGAGATGAGGTGGCTTGATGTGCCAGCGACTCTGGCCCCACTGAACACATTCATCGTCAATTGGTTCTTTGCAGGCGATGCAACAATCTGAAAGTTGATCGGCCAAGCCTTCCACTCCAGCCATCAGGTCGACTGGTGCATTGTCGTCTTCGCGCTCTGCTAATGCCTCCAGGTCACGGAGGTGCTCCAGGAAGTTATGTAACCCGTCTGGCACAGACTTCTCACGTTCAAGTTTGAGTGCACCTTGTAGACCGATGCGGATAAGGAGTTTGAGGTAATGAGCGAGACCAGTCACCAGAGACAAAAGTTCCTGGGTGACGCCAAGTTTGCGTACCCCGGTTTCCTGGGTTTTCGATAAAAGGGCAAAGAAAGCGACAATCTTTTTGCAGAGAAGTTTGGCTTCGCGGCCGTAGGAAAGTTCTGGTTTGGAAGAATCAGCTACCAGTCCCGACGATATGAAATCAGCTGTGCGAGACTTACCTTTTAACTCATGAGATTTGATATAATCAGCAAGCTGATCGACTGCACCGAAGAGGATTTCCACATGTTCAATGAAGCGCTTGGCTACGAGAACACCATCGATGTAAGCGCCGTTGCTCACATGAAGCAGCATATCCGAGATGCAAGCGGCGGATGATTCTTCAAACGTAGAGAGGGTGTTCCAAATATTGAAGACCTTCTCCTCCATAATATCTTCTTCGTCGCGAATATGCTTGCGCTCATCTTCGCTGGCATCCTCATCCACCGGTGGAGGCTCCCATGTTTGACCAGCAGGAGATAACCGGACATTCCAGAACTTGTGGATCATATAACATTCAGGGTGCCAGTGTTGATTTTGGCCGTTGCGGAAGATCTCGACAAACTGTTTTAGGATCGCAGTGTGACATCCATGGCACCGCTGGGCAAACTGGGTTGAGTAGTGGAAGTGGCAGTATACCTTGCTCTCGTGTTCATAGTAGGAGTCCTGAGCACCGAAGACGGTCGGACAAACGGAACAGGTAAAGTGCTCGATATGATACTTTCGGTCTAACGCTGTGATGTATGATCCACGCAGTGCGCCGCCGCACTCGTGACATAAGAGGTTGAGTCGTCTAAAGTAATCTGTTTCACAAAGTGGAAATTGGACGCTGGAATCTTCTGAATCGACGGGGAAAAACTTGGAAGCAACGATCTCGCCACAGTCCTGAGAGGAGTATGAATGTTAGAAAAGATCCCCAAAGCCCCAACTAGAAGCAACTTACTTCGCACTTGAAACACTCCAGATGAAAAGTACCGCCCAATGCTCGAACAAACTGGCCAGTGAGGGATTCACCGCACTTTTGACACAGTCGCGACGAGGCCCCGGGGGACTTATTTTGACGTCCGTTCACTCGTGAGCGATCTCGGGGTGTTGAACGGTCGCGGAAGCCAGCTTGGTCAGGACCTAGACCACGACCTGAGCGCCCATCCTCCTGGTTGACCGGAGTAATTGGGCTTGCGCCTGCCGTTCGTGTAGATGGTGAATCGAATGGAATTAAACTGTCTTCGGGAGATGTGGGTGTGTTTTTCGTATAGCTAGCCCCATAGCCAGAGGTGTCAACAGTGGGACGGCCGCTGGGGTTGCCTGCAACCAGGCTGGCTGGGAGTCCACCGGGGGGCATCTTGGTCCCCCGTCAGCAGAGATATGGTGGGGTTTGTTGGATTGAGTCACGCCGAACGCTGCATGCGAAGAATCGAGAGTAGGGAACGAGTGAAGTGACGTAGTAAACGAGGTGGGGAGTGTCGAATCAAAGATGCGACACGATCTCGAGACTAGCGGGAAATTGAGGGTAGGCTGGGCGCGTATGGTCAAGAGTCTGGTTCTTAAATTAGAATCTCATGCCTTGGCTGGTTTAACCGGGGTGTTGTTCCCCAGAGTATACTCACCCTCACGCCATGCAAAGACACACAGGGGTCACCGATTTAGTAGTAACGAAAATAATGCGCGCGCAAAATCACTAGGATCGAACTGGTGAGGCGGTATAGAGGACGGTTGTGAACGAAGGGTCTGAAATCGCGCAGACTAAGACGCGGGGGCCGATTTCGAGGGGAGAGCTTTCAAGGTGAGACCAACAGGTATCGGGCGACAATCATCCCAAACTGAAGGCAAATACTACCCAGAATAAGGGGAAAAATTAAGGTGCAAGGGCGAGGGGAAAGGAAGTGGGCTGGGGAGGAATGGAGATGATGGCTTGGGCATTTGTTGCCCCCCCTAATTAGTTCGGGACCCTGGGTCACGTGGTCTATACAATTTCTATGTTTACATTTATATTAGGGGAGTTATAGGGGCATCTTTTGAATATTTTAGACATTTGGAGTACATTTGAGATTCGATCAGATTGGATTCGATTAGAGTACCTGGCAAACAACAACATTGCACTGTGTGCCATATAGATACAGCTTATTGTATATACCGTATGCCAGTGTGCTTTTTATAGAACATTCTGCTCATACAAGTATAATTTGGAATCCAGGTACTTTTCTTTTGTAATAGATATCTTAAATAGTATCAAAGGTCTATATATTTTATCCATGGGACATTGTAATATATTAGGATTTTGGTTATGTTTTGATAGTCGTCTTCAAATGTTGTCTTGGTGGGTATGTATTTTCTCTCTAATATATAACTGACACAGGAATTTTCCCAGGTATTTAGATACATGGTAGTAAAATAATGTCTATATAATTTTGTATTCAAAATTTCCAGGGGAATCCGTGAACTAACAATTTCATCAGGCTGATCATTACATTCAACTATAACTCCAGGGCTGATTACCCGAAAGTGGCTGGAAGATGACGTGGGGAGACATGAATAGATGAAAATTAAAAAAACCAGAAAACATATATCTTGGAGCTATTCCTATTCATACAACAAAGGGAAGAGAAGAGATATCAAAAGCGAAAAAAAAGGAACAAAAAAGAAAGATGGTTGAAGGAACAAACCGTCGAAAGTTGTCCGGTTGATTTCACCCTTCCTCTTCATTACCTCTTCATCCTTCTTTGAACACCCTTGCCTTTGATACCCTTCAAATATTTTCTGAAGTCCCTACACTCTCCACTAACTTTCCTCTATAATACAATAAACTGTGGATGATCAGCTCACACTCACGAGATGGGTGACCAGTGCACTCTGCGCCTCGTCCGAGTACGTGACTTTCCAATCCATATTGGCAAATTACCCGGACCAATCACTAATCTCCGTATTTTATGAAACAGGAGTTGAGACAGGTTGAGCGGAGTGAGCAACTGGGTATGAGATCTCCAAATTTGATCTCTTTGAGACTTTGACGTTTCAAGTTCTGGGAGACTCACATGCTGACCTCGGTCCAGCGTTCACTATTCGTTATGAAGAAAGCAACATTCGTGATATCCAGGCCCTCATCATCGGACCTCCAGGGACCCCATACGAACTGGGCTTTTATGAGGTAAGATCCACCCTGCCAAGGGCCCGAGCACGCTTGAACGGACAATATATTGATGTCTCTAGTTCTCTTTCAAAATTCCATCAGGTAAGATGGTCTTCTCTTTCGTAGTAGGCACTTGCTAAAACACAGAATAGATTACCCAGCAAATCCCCCGGCAGTGAAAATCCGGACCACCAACAAGGGCCGCACTCGCTTTGGTCCTAATCTGTATGCCAATGGGAAGGTCTGCTTGTAAGTGCACCTTGTGGACTATTGAGTTCTCGTAAAGCTCCATACTAACGTTCATCAGGTCAATCTTGGGGTAAGATCCAATGCCAACAATCTGGATGAGTTTAATGAAGACTGAACGTCACTATAGAACCTGGCATGGTTCTCGAGGTGAACAATGGTCGCCTGCACAGGGACTCGAATCCGTTATGTTGTCAATTCAGAGCCTGTTAGCGCCAAACCCGTATAACCTGGAACCAGGCTTTGATGAAAACGACAGGGCGAATGACACGGAGAATATGGAGATCTACAAATCCAAGGTAGGATCGCTATCCAATATCTCACTAGGATAAAGAGAATGCTCACATACCAGATCCGCCACGAAAATCTACGACTAGCAGTCATTGCACCTCTTGAGCAAGCATTCCAAGCCCCGTCCCCTGCCCGCCGAACGGCACCACAGGTTGGTCAGGAATCGAGCGCGGAAGAAGATAGTGAACTTGAACTAGAACCCGAACCCGTATTGCTGAATCAGAGCAAGTTCTACGACTTTTGCAAGCGGCGATTCTTGTGGTACCTTGAGTTCTACCAGAACGCCATTGAGAAAGGTATCGCGGACGAAGCACGGAGACAAGGAACACCATTCATCCAAATGCCCTTTGAGGGCTATGGTAACGCCATGACCGGGGAATGGAACTACCTCGATTTGCAAACCCGTCTGTTGGCTCTTCAAGACCGATTGATGGAAGAGACACACCGCTGGCCCGTCGAGGGTCTGGTTCTGGTCAAGGAGGATGCTGGAATTGCAGTCAAATTGAGGGGTCAGCATGAGCAGATTGTGGCCGAAATGAGCGCTTTTCCCCAAGTTATCGATCTGTCACTGGTTGATGATAACCCGTTCGTCTGGAGGCTCACCTATGTGGGCCGCAACGAGTCCAAACTGGAAGGGGGCATCATCAAGATCAAGATTTACATCAGTCCCCGACACCCAGAAGAACAACCTCGGGCTTTTGTCGAATCGCCGCTATACCACATTCGTGTCTCGAAACTAGGAGTGTTGATGTATCTTCCTTCGCATGCTGAAGAGATCGGGCAACACATCGAGGGTATCATCAACACGCTAGAAGATGACAATCCCCCGTACAACCCCCTCATGACAGTCAACCCAGAGGCAAGCGCTCTGTGCTGGGGTTCGGAACTAGATCGCAGGCTCTACAGGCGCAAGCTCCGAACATCTCTGGAGGAGTCCTGAGGAGCTAGCTCAGTATCCCGGAATGTGCATATTTGCTGAATGTGTCATACAGGAGGCTCTATTGTGATCTTCAGCTTTCGTTATCAATTCTACCTAGCTTGAACTCTATCATTTTCCTGCCATCGCCATGTATTACCCTGCTTGAGTGATATCCTTTGAGATGGCGAGTGCCATTTAACACAGGAAGATCGATATTCATAGCGAAATAGTATCCATAGATATACAGAAAGGACATTTGTAACTTCTTGTAATCATAGCTCCTACCAAGTATAGAAAAGCACACGAACGAGACATGCGGTGCAGCTCCGTAGCTGAACTGAAAGAGATGAACGGTTTGGCATCTTTGAACTATAACCATATGGTCTGTGCAAAGTCTACGCAGTCGTGCGACGTGTGGAGGTTGAGTTAATGCTAAGAGTGTCTCATGAAGAGACCTGACTTCCAAGGTTAGCAAAAGTAAAGAGAGAGAGAGAGAGAGTGGGAATAACCATACCAGGAATTTCATGTACGATAGAAATCATGAATTGTAGAAAGATCGAATGGTCAGTTTAGAAGCTTACCAGACGTTCCTTGGATAGTCTCAAACTTGTATAGGATTCATACATGTAAAGACTGAGAATTCTATCCACTTCCACTCCTCTTAGCATTATAGGTGGATTGATTATCATTAAAGTCTTTAACACCGTTTCAATTCAAAACTTCCCTAGGATATGCTGAGAACTTAGGCCAAAGACTTGCTTGGCGCGACTCAAATGGGAAACCATGAACATAATGGTAGGATTCGGTGGCACTTGGGAATCGGTCCAGCAATGCCCGAGGATGAGGCTTAATGGAGGATCCAGCAGTGAGATTCTCAAATAATCGCAAGCTTTCTTTATTTTCGTCTTTCTGTCTTATTTTTTTTTTGGCAAATGTTGTTCTTTTACCCCAAACTGGCCGTTGCATGGGAATAATGTGTTCATTCCAAGACAGAAGATCAATACTTCATCTCAATATGAAGTTGAAGCCAAGTAGAAGATTGCCAATCTTGGAAGGTCAAGCGCCGCACGGATCACCTGATCTCCACCAACTTCCCCGGCCCCTTTTCACTCAACTCCAATCCCCCATCTTCTCACAAAAAAATCACATCATGTCGGCAAAAAGGCGCACATTGGAGTTAGGAAATGTCCTGGTGGTTGGAGGCTGCGGCTTCTTGGGGTGGCACATTGTCGATCACCTGCTGAATTTCCCCTCCGAGACCGACCCTAGTTACGCTCTGCCGAAGCCCGTCGGCGATGCGCGTTTCGAGTACCCGACTTTGGGATCGCGCTACCCAGATTACCACTCGACTGTCTCTGTCGTTGACTTGCGCACCACCAACAACCGTCTTCCCGGCGCCAAGTACTATGATGGCGACATCACCTCCGTCGACTCCATGTTGGAGGTCTTCCGCGCTGTCAAGCCCGATCTTGTTATTCACACTGCGTCACCATCTATGATTGAGGGCAACAAGCCCTTGCTGCACAAGGTTAATGTGGAGGGAACACGGACGCTTCTTGAGGTCGCTGGTGGCGAGCACGGCGATTGGGGTGGTAAGTGCAAGGCTTTCGTCTACACTAGCTCCAGCTCCGTGGTCCACGACACACAGAGTGATCTGAAGAATGTCAATGAGGAATGGCCATACATCCGGGGTCCTGCGCAGAAGGAGTACTACTCCGAGACCAAGGTGAGTTCTTATCATTATTTTACGCGGAGTTTAATCGGGATCAATCACTAATCAAACCCCTTGCGTCTATCAAGGCCGATGCCGAGGAACTCGTCCTGAAGTACAACAAGAAGTCCCCCAACGAGATGCTGACAGCCGCTATCCGCCCGGCCGGAATCCACGGAGAGAAGGACACAACCGTCACACACAAGATCCTGGAGCATGGATCCCAGGCTTCGGACAGAGTGCTACGAATGCAGCTCGGTGAGAACGACAACCTGTTCGATTTCACCTACGTCGGCAACGTGGCTTACGGCCACCTGCTTGCTGCGCACCGACTGCTCGCAAGCTACGACCTTCACGCGGCTGGCAAGGGCGGGCCCCTCGACTACGAGCGCGTGGACGGTGAGGCTTTCAACATTACCAACGACTCCCCCGTCTATTTCTGGGATGTCACCCGTGCTATGTGGGCTCTGATCAACCGTGTTGTTGAGCCGGAACAGGTCTGGGCTCTGCCCGAGGGTCTCCTTGAGAGTGTTGGTGGTATCGCTGAGACTGTCATGGGATTGTTTGGCAAGACTCCGCGTCTCACTGCCCGGACAGTGCGATACTCATGCATGACTCGCTACTACTCGACTGAGAAGGCCAAGCACCGCCTGGCTTACTTGCCCGTTGTGCCCTTGGATGAGGGCATTGCCCGTGCCGTTGGATACATTGTTGCTCAGCAACAAGCGGACGCAGGAAAGAAGGCACTGTAATATGAAATTAGAGAAAAGGCATCTTATGCTGTATTAATATGACTGTTTGCCCCAAAGAATGCCAGAACTACATGTAGAAAAGAAACTCACGTCAACACTAGTAGTTTTTCTGAATTGCAAAGAATGCTACGAAGCATTTGGGGTTTAAATGATCCTTTTGAAAGAATGTAAAGTTGAGAATGGGAGTTTAGAAAGACAGGACTGGTTTCAAAGTCTTTTAATAACCGAAGACATACCCTATTGCCTTGACTATAGTTCTACCCACACTAGATCAAATACATCTAACTCCTATCCTGGTCCCATCGGCGATACTCGCAAGAATTGAACAGTATGTTTTGATTGGCACACGTTTCAGTGGAAATATTCTGAAACAATTGCATGCACTACTGGAGTGGCTTCCAGATCTAGATACAGACGCTCTCACCATCCGGCTGTTTTACAGTGCCAAATCCCACAGAGATTCCGAGAGGGAGCTTCCTACTATTGAGTCTAACACACGAACGACATAGTAAAGAGGTAGTATGTATACAACATAGGTGAATTATATTTTACATCCGAGTCTAGTACATAATAGGAAGGTGGGCCATTAGTCCCGTGGAGCCCTTTAAAATGTATGTAATTGGTCACATGGGGATTGGGGATATTTTAAACCTCACATCTTACCATGCGAATTTTGATTAAGTAGTTCCGTAACCTGTAGCTCATCGGAGCTAAATCTCAACACAATGTCCGATACTAAGAAGCAATGTTGTGGGACTGATTGCGACAATGAAGCTGGGACCTTGCAATGCCCGACGTGTCTGAAGCTGGACATCAAAGGCAGTTACTTCTGCTCTCAAGACTGCTTCAAGAGGAATTGGGTATGTCACCTCCATATGGACACCTTCTCTAACTAGATTCTAACATTGATCGTATCAAGACCACACACAAGGCAATACACAAGACACAAAATGGTAACCACCTCATCCGGGTGGCATGCACCAGTTACTCATGACTTCTCTAATCGCAATATAGGCAAATTTTACAACCCTTTTCCGACATACCCATACACTGGCTCTGTCAGACCCGTATACCCACTCTCCCCACGACGACCTGTTCCTAAAACAATCAAGCATCCTGACTGGGCCGAGACTGGTATTCCAAAGCGTGAGATGCGCTTAAGCAGGACAAAAATCGACATCTTGGATACAAAGGGCCAGGAAGCTATGCGCAAAGTGTGCAGGCTGGCTCGGGAAGTACTCGACATAACCGCTGCGGCGATGAAGCCTGGCGTGACCACCGATTACCTGGATGAAATCTGCCACAAAGCTTGTGTGGAACGAGATGTGAGTGAGGTTTAATTTTACGTCTGTGTCAAATATGTCAAGTTGCTAAAATGCGAGGCAGTCATATCCTTCTCCGCTTAACTACAACAACTTTCCCAAGTCATTATGCACATCTCCGAATGAGGTTGTGTGCCATGGAATCCCCGATCAGCGAGTTCTTCTGGATGGCGACATTCTGAACCTCGACATTTCTCTCTACCACGGTGGATATCATGCCGACTTGAATGAGACCTACTACATTGGTGACAAGGCCAAAGCGGATCCAGATTCGATCAGACTGATTGAAACGACACGGCAGGCCTTGGACATGGCCATTGAGATAATCAAACCAGGTGTGCCGATTCGAGAGTTTGGTAAGATCATTGAGAAGCACGCAGCCTCAAGGGGCCTTGTCGTTGTCAAGACTTGGGGTGGCCACGGGATCAACACGGAATTCCACCCTCCTCCTTGGATCCCTCACTATGCGAAGAACAAGGCTGTGGGAACATGTAAACCTGGGATGACATTCACGATTGAACCTATCCTGGCTTTGGGCAGCAGCCAAGAAGTATATTGGCCTGATGACTGGACAAACGCTACGGTGGACGGCAAACGGACAGCCCAATTCGGTGCGTACAGACCGTTTATAGGACGGTTACAGGCTTCGGACACTAACTTGAAATTCGATAGAACATACTATGCTTGTCACAGAGACAGGCGTCGAGGTTTTGACGGCGAGACTGGAGAACTCTCCAGGAGGGCCAATCCCCATACCGGAGGTTACAAAATGAGATGTGCATGTAAGTACGGGTGAGTCGAGGATTACATAGTTACGGACGATCTATGTCATTCTGGACTTCTGATTGTGTTATAGTCCCTATCATCGTAGTCTTTTTTCGTAGTCTTTTCGGTTATTCCTTTTGGGTGCCTTTTAGAAATCCCTTGGGATGTCTTTATATATGTACTTTCAAGGGTCTTATGTCCTTCTCAAGGTTATAGGGTGGGGATAATTTCGAAATAGAAATAAAAACAGGCATAGAAATAGAAATCGAGATCTTCCCCTTTCCTGAGCTGATATCAAGAATCACCTCTCAATGGTACATCAGATTTACCATTAATGCGCAGTTTCTTCAGTGTATAGAACTTGATCTCCGAGATCTTTGTCAATATCCACATAGAACCAGGTACATTGGAGATTGTACCCGAAATTTTCGCATTTCCGCACTTCTAGAACGGCGAAGCTGATCAATCAGGGTTGCAGATATTCATGCCCAGTTGGATTGTGACCTCTCAGAGAACTTTAGAATGACTCAAAAGCATTGACCTTCACTGATTAGTAGCTTGGCTCCGGTCTGATGGTGTCTATTTAATCTAATCAGAATCTTTCATTTAGCCTTCAAAAAGAATACAAAACACTCTTTTATATTATCATATCATGTCACTTTTACATGCTATTCGCCATGACATCAAGCCCGTCGCATCGTCTAGTGTACCCCGCGAGCTAGACTTAACATCCCCAGCCGAACATGTTCTAGACACGCAGGTTTCTGTAGATAACTTGGCACCTAGAGTTGGTCAGCCTGTCTTTGAACGGGCGCTGCTCAGTCGGACGACCAAATCACGTCGAGTGGTCATTACTACATTGCTTATTCTGGCTAACGTTGTACAGGTATACTCTTAGCCATCAACTTTCTCCATAAATCGAAGCCCCCCGATACTGACAATTATAGATGACAGTCAATTTTGCAGGCATTGCTGGAGGAAGTGCCTTGAGTGAATCATTGGGTGTTAACGAGACCTATGCGTCGTGGATTGCTGCTAGCTATGCGTAAGGCACAGAGTACCGAGACATTTGGTAATGCACCTCTCATTAACATGAATAGTCTAACCCAGGGTACCTTTGTGTTGGTTAGTGGACGATTGGGAGATGTCTATGGCCATCGAGAACTCGTCTTAGTCGGGGGTGCCTGGCTCACCATCTGTACTCTAGCCAACGCCTTTTGTAACAACTTCTTCGCCTTTGTCACCATGCGGGCTCTAGCTGGTCTTGGAGGTGCGCTCATCATGCCTAACGCGGTGGCTATGATATCCAGTACCAATCCCCCCGGTCGCGTGCGAAATCTTAGTCTGGGTCTTTTTGGTGCGTCGGCACCAGTGGGGGGATATTTTGGGGCTTTGTTCTTGGGTGCTTTTTTACAGCGGACAGAATGGAAGTGGTTCTTCGTCTTTATGTAGGTGATACATTCGATGGACCCCGATCAGAAGTACTGATAATGCCTTGTTGAGAAAGAGCGTGCCTTGGTGTTATCACATTCACACCCCTCTGGGCTTTGAGTCCGCGAGAGCCGCCGGTCGATCGACATGGAAAAATCGACTGTATAGGATCAGCTCTTGGAACAAGCTCGTTGATCCTGTTCAGCTTTGTTTGGAAGTAAGTGGTTGATAGCAACCCCATCCATTGCATATTAACATTTCCAGTCAAGCACCGAGTGTCGGTTGGTCAACCCCATATGAGATTGTTCTCCTGATCAGCTCAATCATCTTATTCGGGGGCTTCTTGCGTTGGGAAAAGAAGTACGCCGCGGAGCCCATCATGCCACTCGACATCTTCAAAGCCCCGTCCTTCCTCATGCTGCTCTTCGTCGTGCTTCTCAATTACATGGCTGTAGGAACCTTGATCTGGTACCAGGTCTTATGGCTCCAAAAAGTCTGGCACTGGTCTCCCCTCCAATTCGCCGTGGGCTGGACTCCATTTGTGATCTGCGCCACGGGCGCTGCCTGTCTCGCTGCGTGGATGATCCCGCGAATGGCAGCACAATGGATCCTGGCTATTGGAACCGTCACGATTTTAATTTCCAATGTGCTCATGGCGACTGTGCCAATCCACCAATCCTACTGGCCCCAGATCTTTCCGTCCGTGATCCTCTTCTCATTTTGCCCGGACTTTGTGTACACAGCTGGTCAGATCATTGCCAGTAACTCCGTTCGTCGAAATCAGCAGGGGATTGCCGGGTCTGTCATTGGCACATTGAATCTCTACGGGAACAGCCTGGGACTGGGGTTTGCATCCACTATTGAGGTGCAAATTGCCCGCCGCTCGGGTAGCCAAATCATGGGGTATCGAGCGGCACTTTTTTTCGGGGTTGCCATCAGTGCCGTCGCGCTTATCCTTGATGTCTGCTTTGTTCGACTGGTCAAGGATGACCGGGAAGGCTGGCACGAGGATGACCACATGGAGGAAATTGAACTGACGGAGCAGGCCGAAGCCACCGGTATCCATCTATCTAATGTCAGCCACTAGACGTCACATTAGAAAACCGGCAAAACATCGGTAGACCGAGCGTGGGGGGGCCGGGCGAATGCCGGGTTGAGCGTGGAATGTAACAAGCCACGAGTGGATAGAAGGTCACGAATCTATTTGTCAAGCTTTTTCAGGTTTTTTTTCGGACGACGTCCGTGATACTCCAGATTGTATCCCCCGGTTCAACATACACTGTTGTTATGTGTAGCTTTTTCCCCACGTTCTTTTGGACCCCTAATCACAATTGCTTTCCGGGGATATGATCTCATTCATGACTTCGGTGAGAGAAAGGAGACACGAAAAGAAGATAAACTGCGGAGAGGCGGGGAGGTTGTAGGCGATTGGCATGCCGTGTGCCGATGTGGATATCGGCTGACTTTTCTTGCTTTGGCTTTGGCCTTCTTCTGGTCGGTTTCTCGTTAGCCGGTTTCTTCCGTTTTGGACTGTGGAGTTTTCGGTCTTCCCTGTTCCCCGTGGCCAGTGAAGTCCGAGAGCCGTTCAAGTCCATGATCCCGTGATCCCCTTAAAAAAAAGTTCCCGTGCCGATAAACACGGGGTGAACTTTCCCCCAAATTCCTTTCTTCCGCTTATCCTATCAGATCCCTAGGTCGCCAGTTTACACCGTCTAGACCCCGGGGATCCCCACACATCAGACCATGGATAAGAACATCATTGGGTGAACCCGAATCTCTCGGAACCCTCGTTGTTCCGTTCCAAGGTACAACCTCAGATGCCGACTCGGCCCCACTTTAAACCCCCCGCGTATCTACCATTCTCGGCGTGGGGGTACCATACCGGGGAAGAGGGTTTTCATTCTTAAATACAAGAATCTGCCCTTGTCTGCTCCCGGATTATTTGTTCAATATCACACAATGTCGGACGATATCTCACGGGAAAACCGTGACCGGATAGAGATCGAGGCCGAGAAAGAACGGAGTGAAAATGTCGAACACATTGCCTCACCAAAGCAAGATGGCATGCCTCAGATGGATCCAGCTCGTCGGATAGTCGTCGAGAAGCAGCTTAAGCGCAAACTCGATGCCCGGTGCAGCCTGTTCGTCGCTATCTACAGTGAGTAACCTTTATCCCAACTGTTCGACCTATACATAAACTTCATACTGACAATCCATTCCGCAGTTATGAATTATTTGGATAGAAACAATATGGCAGCAGCTCGTCTGAAGGGTCTGCAGGAAGATCTCAACCTGAGCAACACCGATTACTCCACATGTCTGAGTATCCTCTATGTCGGCTACATCATCATGCAGGTACCTTCCAACATGTTCATCAACCGCATCTCACGGCCCTCACTCTACATCGCCGTGGCTATGTTGCTGTGGGGTGTGATTTCCACCTTGTCCGGCAACACCAAGACATTTGGCGATATGGTGGCTGTCCGTTTCCTGCTGGGTTTCGTCGAGGCAGCTTTCCTGCCCGGTGCCCTGCTTATCCTCTCCAAGTGGTACACACGCCGGGAACTGACTACCCGGAACGCGATTCTGTTCTGTGGTAACCTCATCTCCAATGCATTCTCGGCACTCGTTGGTGCCGGTGTCCTATCCAACATGCAAGGTGTCTTGGGCCACGCCGCCTGGCGCTGGCTCTTCTGGATCGAGGGCTCGGTGACAATGTTCCTGGCCATCCTTGCCGCGTTCATCTTGCCTGATCTGCCGCACAATGCACGCGGCTTCACCGAGGAAGAGCGCCAAGTTGCGCAACTTCGCATGCTCGAGGATGTCGGCGAGGCTGACACCGATAGTGAAGAACTTGGTGCCTTTGGAGGTCTCATGCTCGCTCTACGCGACCCAAAGATCTATGTAATGATGTTCACGTTTGTTGCCTATGTGGTTGGCCTCAGCTTCAATGCTTTCTTCGTACGTATTTTCATATCAACCGATCAATTGGGATATTTTACTGACCTGCTTTACAGCCTACCCTCACTGGTACTCTCGGATTCGATTATGTTCCCACTTTACTGATGAGCGCTCCTCCTTGGGTCTTCGCTTGTATTTTCTCCGTCATCAACGCATGGCACGCGGATAAGACACAAGAAAAGGTCTGGCACATCATCGGCCCGATAGGCATGGGAACCGTCGGTTTCATTATTTGCATGGCTACGAGCAATGTTGCAGCTCGCTACGTCGCATTGTTCCTGCAGGCTGGTTCCTATGCAGGATTCATTGTATTCTACTCATGGATCAGTTCCTCATTCCCCCGTCCTCCCGCCAAGCGAGCCGTCGCCATTGCCATGATCAATGCCTTCAGTCAGTTGGGCAACGTCGCTGGTTCGTACGTCTGGGACTTGTCAGACAACGGATACCGCTCCAGCTACGGAATCGTGCTGTCCATGTTCGGTGTAACAGTCGCCGGATGCTGGTACTTCCGCTCGATGCTGCTTGGCTTGAACCACCAGCTTGAGGAGAGTGAGCTTGCCGATAATGCTAGAGGGCAGTCGACTGAGAATGATATCATCGATCACCCAGACGAGTCTTTGCGTATGCGCAAGGGTTTCAGATATCTTGTTTAAATGTTTACTATAACCAGGTGTTCCCCTGGTCGTTCATTGCATCTGTCTATGTTAGAATTCCATAGCCAGCACGGACTTTATCCAATCCAATTGATGTTATGCTCAAGTGTGGTTACTATCTCGGTAACCTTGGAACCTCAATTTGGAACCGTGGTTTTCCAAACCTTGGCTTAGATCCCCAAGTATTTCCAAGGTTCCCCAGGTCATGTGCTTTAAGTTTCCAAGGTTCAGCAGAAAGGGGTCTGGCACATTCCAAGGTTGTTAGTGACGCCGGATCGTGTCTCAGCGATGAGCTCTCTTTAAAGAGCAGAATTTCGGGGTATTGGCAGATGGGACGCTTGTGTCTATTAGATCTGTACTTTATGACTGGAAAGTAGAAATATGGTGGTATTACTCATAGCTAATACGGCCTATCTACCAAGAGGGGCATGTGACTCAGATCCCATGACATAGCTGGTCATATCTGCCAACTCCTTTGCAACCCTTCCCTCATCTGATACTGACGCAAGGTCGGTTTCGTTTTGCACATGCGATCCCAATGCATTCGATGAGATTGGGGTCTGATTTGCCGGTTGCATTACGGGGCATCGTTGGCTGGGGAGGTGTCGTCCGGGTTGTTGCTGTGTTGAGCTATGGTTGGCTCATCTGTCGTCGGCTGTGTGCTCCGGTTGGCTAGTCTGCGCGGGTGTGTTGTCAACCATCAATGGCCGATTATATACCCTCATGAAATCATTGTAGATCCGCTGCCAGGATTCGCGGTCCGCCTGTCGCTGCGTCGCATGCTGGAAATGCGTCAGAATCTCTGCATACACGGCAATTTCATTTGATACCGGTGCTGTTCGCACAGCCTCCGCGATAAAACGTAAGCCGATATCATAGGTCAGCGCATCAAGCACAGCTGTGATATCCGCTTCGGTGCGTACGGCCTCATAGGTTAGTGCGTCACGCATCGTAACGATATCTTCTTCGCTGCGTGCCTCGTCAGGGACGCTGTTGAATGAGGGAGGTAGAGTTCGACCGAAAGTTTGGTATAGGGCGCGGATGTGGTCGACCGGGAATGGACCGTTTGTCATCAAGTAAGTTGCGACAGGGTTTGTGGACCAAGTGTGGAATAGTAGCTCCATGTTCCTTGCACTGATTGCCAGGTTGCGGTGCTCCACGCGTTCGAACATCGCCATTCGAGTAGCGAAGAGCATATATGCGGGTGAGACGGGTATCATAGCAGGTAACTGGCTCATTGGACGGGGAATAATGCCACCGGCTGAGGTTTCGGTTGAGGTGGGTTGCTGCGTGGTGGTGCGTCTCAGGGCAAGGGGAATACGCAACATTGACGGTGGCGACGGAGGTGGTGATGGTGGCATGGTAGAGTCATCGTTGGATGAGGATGAGGATGGGTTGTCTGATGGAACGGCCATGGCTGAACTCGTAGCTATTGGCTATGAGAAAGTGAAATGGTGTCACACGTGAAGGATGGAGCGAAAATGTGAGAAAAATGTGATTGTCGTGTTAAGGAGAAAGAACAAACATAGATGCAAGTGAGGAGGAATGTGTGCAATTGTGAAGTGTGGGATAATAGATTCAACTATTTTCGCATCTTCCAGCTCTACGATCCTTCCCTCACTTGCTATGTCCCTTTCCTTCTATCCATTCTATAGTGCACCGTCGATTGTTACATGCCGGCATGGAACACCAAGATTAATCTCTATTGATGTCCTACAAATTCTTAATCAGTCCGTATACACACCTGGGCAATACTAGTTATCCACCTATTTGTTCGATTCCATCATCATCATCGAGAAAAAGAACGAATGGTTCTATTCTAACTTCATTCGACTGTAGATCTGGATCTATCGGTCCTCGCGAACCAAATTGCGGTACTGATTATTAGGATCCTGCTCCTCTTCTTCCGCCGATTGAATTGTCTTCTTCACGCGACAAGGAGTACCAACAGCGACAGAGAACGGCGGAATATCCTTGGTAACAACAGACCCAGCTCCGATCGTTGAGCCCTGGCCGATCCGCACGCCGGGAAGGATAATCACATTACTTCCAATCCAGCAGTCGTCTTCGATAAAGATCGGATGGCCGAACTCAACGAACTTGCGGCGAGAAAGAACGCTAGTATCATGGCCAGCAGTGATGATACTAACACCAGTGCCAATCTGTACACGGTCGCCGATGACAACTAGACTGGTGTCAAGTATAGTAACGCTAGGAATTGGTAAGTTTTGATGAGACACGGGGAAAAAAGGCAGACTCACTTCCAGTTAAAGAAGCAATCCTTTCCAATCACAGTATTGCATCCGTAGTCTGGCAAAAATGGTGGCTCGATGAATGTTCCATCTCCAACTTTGCCGACGAGTTTCCGCAATAACTCAAGACGCTTGTCCCCGATCTTGTCATATGACACGGTCTTGGTGTCCAGGCCGTTGTAGTCCGCGGCAAGTCCCCGACACACATGTCGTGCCTCTTGCAGTTTCGGGATGTTGGGGTTGTACCTAAACAGTCAACAATCCATGGTAAGAATATCGTGGATGATATATATAATGAATGCGACATACATCATGCCAGATACCATACGCTCATAGTCCTCGCACATAGGCACCCCTGCAAGTCCCCGAGCAAGCTCGATGATCTCAGGGCGTTTCTCAATAGCAGCCATTTCGAATAAGATATAGACACAGGAATATAGGGACAGAGACCAGGATCAAGGATATATACCAGGGTCACCGCCACTAAGTGGGGTGATTTGCCGATAATTCACCGATGACGAGTTGGAGAATGCCAAGAGATGGCTTTCCTTTTTGGGTATAACTGCCAGCTTATCTATTTTATCAGTTTAGGGCTTCAAATCTTCAAATGTGAGCATTGGTATATAATTATGAAAGATATTGATTTTCTTGGCGAGATCATAGACATTACAGGATTTCCAGCTTCTATGGATCAAACTTGCGAATACGTCTCATAACCTCCTCCACATCCCCCCAGATTCTCTGTCGATTCCGCAATCCCTTGAGCTCCTCCCAATTGCGTCGGATTTGCATAAATACATGACGCCAGTCAGTATTCACTCGGGCCAGTTTCACCTGGTTCGGTATGGTCGTCGGCAGAACAAATCGGTGCTCGGCAGCTTTCTCGGCAGCATCCTTTGTGTAAGAATCTTCAATCAAGGCCCGGGCATAGTCACGCCGTGCTGTGACTACACACTTTACCTCATCTGTTGTTAGGATTGTCCAGGGCGAAGGGCTGTGTATGCATTCGGATTCTTCCCAGGCTTCCCACAACCAGGGCATTTCTTTGCGTACTAGTCCGTACCACACACTATCTGGGAGTTGAGTGAATGCCCTAGATGTAAGACCTAGACTAATAACATCGCTAGATTCTAAATGGCCGATGATCATGAGCTGAACTTCCGAGGGAAGTGAAGAGAGAAAGTCGACCTGGCTATGGTGAGAGGCGGAAGGGCGGTTCGTCACAAGTTGAGACGACTTGATCTCATAACATGAGCCATGCGAGGAAGGTGATCCTTCGTTCTTCACCGCGGCGAGAAGAATCTCTGGTAGTCCGGGTACGTAAAGGGGATTGGCAACCAGATACTCGCTACCAGGCACATGCTCCCACCACTGGTGCCGTGAACTCGTAACCTCTTTGGCTCGAGGAAATGATCCAAATGCCTTATAGTCAAATTCGGCATTGCGCCAGGTCATGAGGCCTGCGACATTGACACGTTGAAACTGGACTTTGGATTGTCGGCAGAAGATATCAAAGCACCACGGATGGAATGGCATCGCTATTTCATCTGGTCCTAAATGTTCCTGGCAGGTGTCAGCTTTCAAGGCGGTCCATAGACACACTGGAGACAGAACTTACTACATATTTCACATTGTCTGCCTCTAGATCTTGTGTCCCATTTCGTATGGTCCACACTGTTGGGTCTCTTGAATCGCGCGACGGCGTTCCGTCGCAAATTCCAGATAAATACCAATCTCCATTGATCTCCCATGGCTCATGGATTTGGTCAGGCTGCCATTGATTCCTAGGGGTGGGTTTATGCACCAGGAACTGGGCGGTGCGACAGCCTCTCGCCTCCTCGCGTGAGATAGCATCAGCCGCGTAGCCTGACGTTGAACTATCAAAGTATCCAGCAGGCATTTGGGATTTTCCCATCATGGCGCTGAATGGATTGAAAGTTTGGAGTACCCAGTTGAAGTAGATTCGATGATCTTCCGAGTCATCATTTTCATCCGGACTGCTGTCTTCACTGTCTTCGCCGCCTTCGCTCTCTTCGCTGTCTTCCTTGTCAGGCTCATCTTCTCCGCCAAGGCTCATGCCGTCTGATTCGTAATCAGAATCATATTCATATGGCTCATTAACCTCATAATCATCAGACTCATATTCATAGGGCTCATTGTCTTTGCGGGATTGATCGTCAATTTCCTGAACCGTGTGCTCATCATCTGTAGAATCTGTCTCGTCGCATTGTTTTCGCACCCAATGAGGACCAGGCACGTCCAACTCCCCAGATTCTAGGCAAAAGGTGATGTTGAAGACCACGCCACAAAGATGGCATTCGAACTACCAAGCTGTCAGATACGTGTGCCTACCTACTAGCGCAAAGGGTCTGTACCTCAGAATAACCTACACATGTCAGTCATGGACCCATAGACATAGCTATCCACTTACCCATTCTTTTCCACTTGATCCCCAATTTATATGGTTTTGTTATTCTCTCGACAATTCAAAAGATAAAAGAGAAGGGAAAGCGCCACGAGACTTTTTCTCGTATCCGCCCCTTTTTAAACTAGATCAAGCCTGAGGTCTGTGATTGGTCAATCTACGGCTGTCTGCCTAAATGCCATGGCGTTTATAGTGTTCGAATCTTCTACTCGTAGTTCTAATAGAGATTTTTGATTGTTTTATCTGATATGCAGTCAAGGGTCTACAGCCTTGTTATGTACATTAACTTGGTCCACAACTGCATCCTTGAGCGCATCCCGCCGGACAGCATCAACATCAAATGCCGCCTTGCTGTGAAAGATAGTCTCCATCTCTTCAAGACTTTTCCCTTTTGTCTCTTTCACGAAGAAGAAGACAATAATCGCCATGATGATATCCAGGATTGCATAGAAAAGGAAGACATAACTGCCCCACGAATTCATCATGTAGCGTGTCACCAGGGAAAAAAGGAAGTTGAAAAGCCATTGTGTTGATACTGCGACCGAGGTTCCAATCTCCCGGATTCGTGTGGGAAAGATCTAGATGCTAATTAGTGGTTGAATTGGGGATAGAGGAGCATAGTAATAGTTACCTCCGCGGTGTATGGCCACGGCAATGGACCCCAACTGAATTGGTAGATCGAGTTGGTCAGGAAGATCATAGCCACCATGCCAATCCCAGCTGGAGTGGCTTTTGCATCAGGCTCTGGTGTGGTTTCCTTGACGACTGTAACAATAATGAAGCAACCGGCCATCAACAGAGCTGAAATCCAAAGAGTCGGCTTGCGTTCCCACATCTCGGAGAAGAACAAGATATAGATCCCAACCGTGATGAACTTCTCGGCACCAAAAAGACCAGTGATGAGAAGGGACTGATTAGTGTTGTTGCCGACTAGCAGTTTAAAGAACTGAGGGCCGAAGTAAGCAAGGGCGGTCATGCCAGTGCACTGCTGACCACAGAACATAAAAACAGCGAGGAGCAGTCTGTAGCGATTCGCGGGCTCAAGGAGTTCGCGCTTATTGAATCCCTCGGTAGCTCGCACCTCTTCCTCAAGTCCAACTCGGATTTCGTTGAACTCTGCCTTCACTTCGGGGCCTATTGAGTGAGGATTAGCCGTGTGCCCTATCATTCTTTTGTGGGGGTTATTTCGCTACCTTCACTAGCTCGCATCCATTTCAGGCTTTCCCATGCTTCATCAAATCGACCCTTCTTGGCTAACCAGCGTACACTTTCGGGCATAGCACAAAGTCCCAGTGCAAGAACTCCAGCTGGCACCATCTGGAGACCAACGGGAATCTGCCACTGCTTTGAAGAGACGGGCAAGGTGAGCTTCACGGCATAGTCAATCCAGTAGCTCAGCATTACACCCAGTGCAAAGAGCCATTGCATTCCCGAACCTAGCTTGCCTCGGATTTCCTTAGGGGCCATCTCGGCGTTGTATGCCGGGACGACCGCAGTGCCTGCACCGAGACCTAGACCAGCGACAAACCGCCCAATGTAGAAACAGACGAGTGAGTGGGAAGGTACCACTTGCAAAATCACACCGAGGCAAAATACAGTCATGGCAGCCTGGACTGTTTTCTTTCGCCCGTACCGTTCGGACACCCAGAAGATTCCTAGGGCCGATAGGAATGCGCCTACATTCTGCAAGCTTACCATCACTGCACTGACGGTTGTTTGGTCCGTATAGCCGAAATCATCCACGTAGGACTTGAACTCGAGGATACCACCTATCCACCAACACTGTCAGCGATTGTCACCAAATGAACTTTTCTTTTTCACTTACCAACAATTCCAGTATCATATCCAAATAAGAAACCCGCCGTACAGACAAAATATCCAAAGAAGTATGCGCGGAAAGCTCCGAGCCTGGTTCCTGGTAACCCCATACTGCGCGACGTAGTGATTATAGTACTTGCTACAAAAGAGAGGTTAAAAGAAAAGAGAGTCTCATCTCAAGGTCTTTTGAATTGAAGCTCTTCAAGGGATGATCCACAATCCAGTCCCCATACAGCACGCAAACTGTAATGTCGAATACGCCATAGCACGCCATATAACCAAATATGTTGCCTCTCACTGGACAATAGAGAGAGGCCTAAGCTGAGCCAAGAAGATGCACAAATAAGAAACGCCATGTGGAATTTTGATGGACTTTTGCTATTACAAAAACGACCCGTCTCTTCTATAAATTGGCCCAAGAGCTTCCTCCGCATTCCGCCAAGAAACCCCCGGATCGCCCGTTTCGGCCTGTCGTTTCGCTCGTATCGACCCGAATATCTATACTACATGGAGTATATCAATGAGGACTCTATTTACGTAAAGGAAATTGTACACCGTAAATATGAGTGATCAAGGCTTTTTGCCAACTTTCCGTAATGGAAGAATCCGTTCCATCATCACATCACCACGCAGACCGATTTTTGGTAGAATCTCATCCCAGAAAGCGTTAATCCCTTCCCTAGAGATTAACTTGAAGGGTTTTGGAACGTGTAATTCACTGTTGGTGGACTGGTAGTGTTCGAATGCGGCCGAAACGTCACAGTCCAACATGTACTCATGGTAGGTTTTATGGGAGCGTTTCGTTTCCAGGGGTTTCCTTTTTCATGGCCAAAGGCTTGCCGACCTGTTCAAAAACCGCTCCTTGTAGCCCAGCTCCGATTTAATTGAGTTGTTCCAAGTGGGGTCGAGAGCGCGCATTTTGAAAGCGGATGCTGAAGGATGAGGTTGTCAAAATAACAGTATTCAAACTCAGAGATCGTTTCAGAATCGTCGAGTCTGCCATCAGCGCGAGATTTGGTGTGAGAAATTGGGACATTCTCGCGTTCTGTGCGACAGGCAAGACTTCCGGGTGTATCAATTCATCCCTCTTGTCTTCCCGTTGAGCCATGATGTCGCAGGGATTGTTTATGTCTCGTTGAATCGATGGAGCCTAGCTGTGACATCAGGTCACATGCCATGCTTGTATGAGAAGCGCAGAGAGAGGATTTCATTGCAATATTTTTGAAATTCGAGGGAGAATTCCTGTCAAGAGCCATAAGTCAGAGTTCTGAAGTGAAGCTTGGCTCTTCTTGATGCTCGAGTACAGAGGGTACCTGATTCGGAATTGAGTAGAACGTATGATCTGTATCGCAGAGCCAATTGTTCCAGTATAGATTGCAAGATCGTAGAAGATCAGAGTTGGAGATGAGAGGTAGGATTATTTTCGCGCGTTTGCTCGCCGGCCAATACGAAATCTTCAGACTGGATTTTTCACCTATCCTTGTTATATCCTTCACCTCTGTTTCTTCAAGGTCTTTCTTCTGTCACTCCTTTCTTAGAATTCTTAACTTACCTTCTTCTCATCTCCCTCTCCCTTCAGTTGGATTGGCACCTTTATCATCTCCAAGGTAAAGGAAAACGAGTACCTACACTTCCTACTGATAGGCCCAGCTAACTCGTGTTATTAATGCCAGACCACCACGATGCGTATCCCGCTCGCTCCCTCGGAGCATCCCAACCAGCTTCTGCGGAAGCTCGGCGCCCCCCACAATCCAGACCTTCCAGTCAGCTCTGCCTTCGATCTAGTTAGCCGCCAGCGAGGCTGGAAGCCAGGTTCTAAGACTTGGAAGAAGAACTGGAATTCCTGTATGGATAGCGAGTATGACCGGCTCATCGGCTGCCGTGTGGCTAGCCTAGCCACCTGGCAAGAACTATGCACGAAGGTGGGAATCAAAGGCTCCTTCGCCTCGATTACCCAGTGCAAGAATTTAAGTTCCTAATCTCGAACAATTCGGTATCACTCGCTTACTGATGTATGCAGGCACTAGCTCGGGTCCACGTCAATATCGTTGACGTTCTAGATTGCTGGAATTCGGACGCCACTCCAATTCGATTTAAGAACAAGCAGGCCCTCGCCGCATACACCCAGGCCAGCAAAAAGTTCTTCAATCGACACATCGCCAAGCAGGACAAGCTCCTACGTGTTCTCCTCCGTAAGCTTCTTTGAAGATGCTCATTCTCTCTATCTAGCAATATGCCACTTTAGGCATATGATTCCGAGGGATGTTTTTCTTGGACTACAACAATCTCGATATGCACGGTGTAATGAGGGACCTTCGATTTTGAGGTGGCTCAGATAAAGAATCTGACACATTGAACCTCTCCAAAATTGTAGTTACATCTCAAGCTGAAAGAAAAGGGCCTCTGTGGTGTAGAACATTGTACCTTCGCTGTACGCAACATCCCCCTTTCCCTATTGCAGCTTCTTCATTTTTCACCTCACTTTTACCTCACTTTCACCTCACTTTCACCTTCTCTCTTTTTCACTTCTCTTTTCTCTCACCTATCACCTTCATCTGCCATTCATTTCTCAAGATCCTTCACTACCTCCTTATCTCTCTATCCTAAACCACCACCTGCATTACCTTCCTCGTCGTCAAGGTGACTCACGCCAACTCCCTATAATTACTGCTGATTACCCAAGTTAACTTGTGTTGTCGGCTCTAGACCACCGCTGCGATGTCAATCCCATCCCTTCCTTCGGAGCATCCTAACCAGCTTCTACGGAACCTTGGCGCCCAGTACGACCCCGATCTTCCTATCAGCTTGGCTTTTCGTCTTGCCGGCGCCCAACGTGGCTGGAAGCCCGGCTCAAAGACTTGGAAGCGCAACTGGAATTCCTGTATGGATAGCGAATACGACCGATTGATTGGCTGCCGAGTTACCAGCCTCGCTACCTGGCAAGAGCTATGTGCTAAAGCGGGAATCCGAGATTCCTTCACGTCGATTAACAAGTGCAAGAAGTTAAGATCCTAGTCTTTGTAATTTAATATCATATGCTGATTATTGCAGGCCCTGGCCCGTGTGCACGTGAACCTCGTCGACGTTCTGGATGCATGGAACTCGGATGTTACCCCTACTCAATTCAAGAGTAAGGAGGCCCTTGCCAAATACACAAAGGAAAGCCAGAAGTTCTTTGGTCGACAACTCGCCAAGCAGGATAAGGCTCTGCGGGTCTTGCTGCGCAAGCTCCTGTAAGGAATCATTCTTTTGAGATGCACAACGGTATTTCCAGCCATGTGATCCAGAACGCGGACACATGCAGTACAGCGAGCTCTGCAGCTATCCTGGAGTACACAGCAATGGAATGGGGGTCTTTGCTTCTAATGTAGCTGAAATATCTGAAAATCACAGCCATCAAGAGTGTTAAGTGTATGGTATAGACTACTGTTGTAAGTATGTTCGTAGCTATATGTCGTAACTATCGTGGCTCCAATGTTCTCTCCTGAGTGTTGTCGCAGCTTCTTCATCTTTCCTCCCATTTTCACATCTCTTTCTTTTTCACATTTCCTTTTTCTCACCTGCCATCTCCATCTCACATTATTTTCTTACCATCCGCAACCACCCATCTTTTTATATCTCTCTTAATCTGACACCTTGACTGACTTCATTGTCAATAACTGTGAGCGACGAGAAATCCTCTCACATTTTGCTGATTTACCAAGATAACGGGTACTCTCAACTTTAGACAACCAAACAGCCACCATGCTCATCCGGCTTGCTCAGTTGGGGCACCACAACCAGGTTCTAAGGAACCTCGGCGCCCAGCATGACCCGGACCTCCCTATCACCTTTGCCCTTGGCCTCGGCAGCCTACAGCAAGGTTGGAAGCCGGGCTCCAAAAAATGGAAGAAAAACTGGAATGCTTGCATGAACAGCGAGTATGACCGACTGATTGGTTGTCGTGTCACCAGCCTTGCGACTTGGCAAGAACTGTGTGCTGAAGTCGGAATCGAGGACTCCTTCACATCGATCAATCAATGCAAGAAGGTATGTATAGTTCCACTCTTAGGTAAGACTAGTTGTTATCACTTGCTTACTAGGCTAGGCCCTCGCTCGGGTGCATGTCAATATCGTCGACCTTCTTGATACCTGGAACTCCGACTTAACTCCAACACTTTTCAAAAGCAAGAAGGCGCTTGCTAAATACATGGAGTAAAATAACAAGTCTTTTAGCTGAAATATTGCTAAACAGGACAAGGTCCTCCGAGTTCTTCTCCGCAAGCTTCTCTGAATAGTCACCTACTTCCTGATACCCACGGGTGTCCTTTCAAAGGCACACGTTCTTCGAGGCTTACTAGGTACATCAGGTCGAGTCTGAAGCACGGGCAATGGTTTTGATCTTTACAGACAGGATTGGATTGTTGCTTGAGGCTCGTTTTTCTCGCCTATCACCTTCATCTGCCGCTCTTCTCTTACCGTCCTCCTCGTCTTCTCGTGTTTCTCTCATACTAACATCTCTATCACTTTTTTCATCACATTTATCAAATGTAAAGACAAATCCCTTTCTTACGGATTGGCCAGGCTAGCCTTCACTGTCGACTTTAGACAACCGCCACATGTCTACTCCGCTTCCTCCAGTTCTTCTTCCAGTTGCTCCAACATTTGCTACTCTGTAGCATCGCAATAAGCATCTACGAGCCCTTTTTGTCCCCCACGACCAGACACTGGCTCGTGTCCACGTTAACATCATCGACCTTCTGGATTCCTAGAACTCCGATGCCACCCCTATTCGATTCAAGAAGGGCCTTACTACATACAAAAAACGCAAAGATGTGCTTCGGTCGAGATATCGAATAAAGTTATCCTAGTTCTGCTTCGCAAGCATCTTGGAAGGTGCGCAATCCTACGTCTCCTTCATGAAATGGGACCCCTGGGGGTATACCAGGTTCATCTGGTACAGTTGGAAACATGACGATTATCCTGGGATACACAGAAGTCGAGAGAATTGAAACCAATATATTCAACATTGTCTTCCAATTGTAATTCTAAGTACATGTGGAGATTGGGATGTACATAGTCTCTATTAGATATCGCACCTTCCTCCACAACTGGGGCTTTATTGTCGCTTTTCAAGTGCAAATTAGCTGCCGTGATTATCTTTTCCGTGTATAAAGTGAGTAAAGGATCCATTAATATGCAAGAGACTGACACGGCAGGTACGAGTGTGGCTGTCTCAGCTGGCTCAGTGGAAACTACATAATTACCATGTAGTTCTCTCCCATCACTCTGCAATGTTGCTTTCCCCCGGCCTTGCGCTCATAACTGTATTTTCACAGGTCCTTGCCATCTTTGGAGACCTGTCCAACAGTTATACATCCAACACTCGAATCGCCGAGAATGCCACATTCGACTATGTTGTTGTCGGAGGGGGCACAGCAGGGCTAACCATCGCCGCACGACTCGCAGAGCAGAAATAAAAGGTAGCTGTGGTGGAAGCAGGAGGCTACTAGGAGTACATGTATCCCATGGCTCGAGTCCCAGCATCTTCCAGTCTCGGGGCTGGTGCCGATGTCCAGACTATGACCCTGATCGACTGGGGCTTTGTAGTACACGGTGTGCCGGGTGCAAATTCTCGTGATATTCATTACCCAAGAGGGAAATATCTAGGCGGGTCTTAAGCAAGCATTTAGATGATACTAGTGATATTTGCTGATCTGGATCAGGTCCGCATAAAATTTTATGATATACCAAAGGTCAGTCACCTAGAAAGAAGATTGTATACAGTGCTGATCTCGAACAGGCCTTCTGCACAGTCTATGGCTAAGTGGGCAGAGCTTGTCGATGATCCATCTCTTCGAAAATGCATTGCCATTCCTCAAGAAATCCGTCTCTTTTTCAACCCCCAATAGGAACTCGTTTGGCGAATGCTACTCCGCTGTTCAACACTACTGCATTTGATAAAGATGCCCAGCCACTCCAAGTCTCTCACCCAAAGTATGCCACGCCTTTTGCGACATGGGCAAAAGAAGGCTTCGATAATGTTGGCATTGACGAAGTGCAAGACTTCAACAGCGGCTCCTTGATAGGCCATCAATTTTGCACAATGACAATCCGACAGGCGGACGCAACTAGAAGCAGCTCTGAGTCTGCGTTTCTGCAAACAGGATTCAAGTCTGATTCATGGATATTGTATCAGTTTGCCATGGCTAAGATGATTATGTTTGACGATAAAAAGCGAGCAACTGGCGTGGTTATGCAACAAGGAAACCAATTCGTTCCGACGGCAACACGAGAAGTCATTCTCTCTTCGGGGGCTTTTCAATCGCCACAGCTCCTGATGGTTTCTGGCATTGGTCCTGCCCAGGTGCTCAGTACTTATGGCATCAAGTTGATCGTCGATCTACCTGGAGTAGGTCAGAATATGTGGGATCATGTGTTCTTCGATCCTTCTTACCAGGTAAATGTGCCCACTTTGGGGATGCTCAAAAACGATTTATGGTATCTTCTCAATCAGCTGCCGATGTGGCTTTTCGGAGGCAATGGATTCTTAACGAACCCCTCGACGGACTATATCGCATTTGAGAAACTTCCGCCACAATCCCGCTCCGCGTTTTCTAAGACCAACGAAAATGATTTGGCTTGGTTTCCTGGCCGGAAGTCGAGGTGAGACATGTGGTCTACGTTTTGTCTTCAGAGTGTCAGACTGACCACTCAGTTCACTTAGTATGTTGCAGGACCTGCATCTTTGGGAAACTTCTCGAATCCATATGCACAGCAGCCTCCGTTTGGGGAATATGCTAGCATTGCTGCGGTCCCGGTGGCTCCAACCTCACGGGGAAACGTGACTATTCGTTCCGCTGATACGGCAGATGCCCCAGTGATCAAGCCCAGCTGGTTAGAAACAGACACCGATCAACAAGTTGCAGCAGCGTACCGGCGCGCTCGTGGTGTATTTCGTTCTCGGGAAATAGCGTCTGTCATCATCGGCGAGGAGTATTTCCCTGGGAAGGGTTACGAGACCGATGCTGAAATATTAGATATTATCAAAAACACAGTCATGACAATTTATCATGCAGCTTGTACCTGCAAGATGGGTATCAAAAACGACAGCATGGCTGTTGTCGATAGTCGAGCCAGGGTGTTTGCTTACGAGTGGTTGATGCGAGCGCATTCCCGATCCTTCCACCAGGTCATCCTCAATCAGCAGTCTATTAGTGCAGTTCCTAGTTGGTGATATTATTGCTAATCGGCACAGACATGCTAGCAGAAAAGATTGCCGCCGATATCATTTCCAATGGAGCGAAGTGAGAATTCCCGTTTTTCCGACGTATGAAACACCGAGTAGCATGCGAGCTTTTTCCAATAAGAGAAGGGACGCCATCACACTGTTTGAACTATTAATATTCAGTTTGGGTAATAAATCGTACAACGCTATCTTTAGCTCGCTATCAACATGTCTCACAGGCTCGGTGTACTCTACCCGGTTATGCCTAGGAGATTCATTGGGGTATATCTGAATGCACAAAAGAGGGTATAAATGATTCTCCAGTAACTAGACGTTTGTGTTTTGTCAGCTAGTTAGTGATTTGGGATGGAATGTCAATCTGACATAATAACTAGTTAACTAACTAGTTAAAGCAAGGAGCTAGACCTTACTGCCTCAGGCATTAAGATATATGATGCCCTGATATTCGGGTCAGATATTATCATGTGGCTCCAGATGTCTCCATACAAAAATAGTCCTTATGTGGCCGTCATGTCTTTTCAGTAGTCTTTTCGGTAGTCTATATGTCTTGGCTGTATTTGAGCTGTAATATTGACGGTGTAGTTTCATATTTGATCTCACGGAGTTGTGTTCAAAGCAAAGATCAAATGCGGATATATATTGTGGATATGAGAATAGTTTCACTTTGCATCCATTTCTCTAAAGGGAACCTATAATTATCTCTTATAGTAGTGTTTCACCCGTGCACCCATAGGAAGCAGGAAAAGAGTAAAGTTTAGTCGAGTATAAACTCCAGATGCTAGATCGTATTTCCTATTGTGACACTGTAGAAAAGGAAGATCATCCCCAGAACCAGAAACGTATATCAGCTGACTACCCCGCAGATCCGGGGGACAAGTTGAAGAAATTGGGACATTCCGGTATTCGGACGTTTTACACGATGGCTTAGGGGGAGTAGAGTTGGGTAGTGTTGGGTAGAGTCTCTACATTTACTGTCTCTGATATCACGCCAGCAAGGGATAATGTCAACTTTATGGTGTTCAGTGTAATATAGGAACATATATCCATAGCCCCTAATAACACATTGGAGAATGCAATGTTCTCATTGTATGGGGAATTGACAACTACATCCGGTGGCGTCCAATCAACTTGGGGCGTTCTTTTTCTTTTTCTTTTGCTTTCTGGCTGTTTTTGGTAAAGGTATGAAGTATAGGAATCTGGAAACTCCCTATACGGAGTATAATCTACATAGAGACAAAAGTACTAACTGCCCAGTTTATCTATGGAATTAGTAATAGTATTATAGGGATTCATCCATGTTAACAGCCCTGGAGAGTTAACAGAGATGTCATGACGTTGTAAATGGGATGTATACAATATAGCTCTCTATATCACCCCCAAACATAATTTAGATCCTAGATAATCATCCTAAACATTCATCTTCATCTTCATATCAAATCAACAGAACAAGTAAAAAAAAATTAAAAAAGAGGTGGGAAGTACGTGGTGCAGGAAACGCACAGCTCGCCAATCACCGCCCTCGACCTCCTTCGATTCCCCCCTCTCCCATCATCACTCTTAAAAACATTCCCTCGACTTTTTCACTTTTCATTTTTGTGACTTCAGGTCTCAATTTTTGATCAAGTTTCGTTTCCTTTTCTCAGGTCAGCCTCCTCTGGGGTTGACGTTGTTGAAGCGCGTCGCTGTCGCGCCATTCCCCGCAGAGACACGGCTTCCGTTATCCTCCGTCTAAACGTTTCGTGTTTCAGCTTGTGTCTCGACACCTCTGATCACACAAATTCAAACGGATTGATCGACCTTTCTCACGCGAATTGATCTGTACCCGATTCTTACGACTGCGCTATGGACAGTTGATGCTACGGATGAATCAATAACCTCGATTAAGGGCACCCGCGCTGCCCAGCAGACGGTTCTGCTTGGCTTGAATAGTCTTGTTTTATTTTATCTTCCATTTCTCCCTCGACTTCCTACCCCTTGACCATCGAATCCCGCCGGGCCGCCCGAGCGAGCCAGGATGGCCAGCAATGATTCCCCCAAACCACAATTCCTCGCGCCTCCCGCCGTGACGGCGCTCCGCCAGGAGGCTCGGAATATCGACCCGAAGATGGTTCGAACATTGAGCGATAATATGCGAGAGGAACGTGAGGACTTGAAGGAAGCCGCCGAACAGACCTTGAACATCATTGTGGATATGGACCTGGAGGGTTGCATCAAATGGGTCAGCCCATCGTGGAAGCAGGTGGTTGGCTCCTCCCCCGAGTCAGTGGAGGGCCATATGATATCGGAAATTCTGTTGGGCAACAAGGATGTGTTTCGCGATGCGATCGAATCTATGAAGCAGGATGATTCGCGGAGTCGTTTCATTCGCTTCGCCGTCCAGATGGGACCGGACTCTGTGCTGAAGTACTCGCCTGAACCACCCCCAGCGGCCAGAGAGAATCCAGCCCTCGGAGAAGAGGCAGGAGACAGGGAGAAGTCCCAGGAGCAAGAGCATAATCACGATGTGCTCAACATGGAGGGACAGGGAATCATGGTCTATGACCGAACAGATGATGAAGCTGGCCATGTGCGTACCTCAACAATGCTTCGTCTATCGTTATACTGACACCTTTTCAATACAGACCATGTGGATGTTACGACCGCTTACCGAGCCAAGAGAAGTGACAATCGATCTGCCGCCTCTGCTGGTGGAGTCTTTGGGTGTTGGAGCGGAGGTGCTGGCAAATTATCTGACCGAATTGGCCGAGGCTGCAGCGACAGAACCCGATCCTTCCAAGCATCCAGCCCCGACGCCCGTCCTCTGTCGCATCTGTGAACGCCAGATTACGCCGTGGTGGTTCGAGAAGCACTCGGATCTGTGTCTACAGGAACACCGGGCCGAGATGGATGTTCAAATGGCACAGGAAAACCTCAACGAACATCGGCATGTCATTGTCAAGGTCTTGGATGCGTTAGAGGTCCGCCAAGGCAGACCTTTCATCGGCAGCGATGGAAATCCACTGCCATTCCCTCAAGCGGAGTACAAGGGATTAGCCATCGGCCCTTCGACTGCTAGCTCTGCGCCGTCGTCCGGCCCTGTTTCAGGTAGTAATTCAGCGCCCGGCACGCCGCCTCGGTCGCGAGAGCATTCTGCGTCAGGTGCTATTCCAACCCGACCCCGCTCATTCACAGTGCGGAGACCATTGGCTCGCATCGTAGAACTCGTTCTTGACTTGTGCGATACTTCACTGGAAATTAGTATGCCGATGATCAAGGAATCTTCCCGGACAGATGCAGAGGACTTCCGAACGTTGTCACCACAATCTGAATCGCGGATCTCGCAGGTTCTTCAGTGGCAGTCCCCCAGCGCCAACACTTTGGAACAAGAACAGGGCCTGGCCGCGTTGTCGGCAGACACTGAACAAGTTGCCAAGACAAAAGTTGATGCCGTTATACGGCATCGCAAGATTGTCGAATACGCCGAACGAATTCGCATAGAATACACAGTGTTGGTCGAGGAATGCATTGCGGCAGCACTAAGCAAAGCGGAGCGCATAGCTGCTGGTCAGCTCAGCGATTCCTCGTGTTCATCCGATGAAGAAATGGCGCCCGAGAGCACTGTTGACAACAACGTTTCCCCGGACGATACCAATAGTATTGCTGAGGAAGAGTCCCTCTCACAAATCATGAGCCACGAGTTGCAACAGAAGGCGTATCCAGCGGCACCTTCTCCACGGCGACCGACATCTGCGCTGACTCTGTCAATGCGTAATTCGCCAGATCGATCGTTCCTCGCACAATCGGAACGCAGACCATCCTCGGCAGCAGTATCCACAGGCTCCAACAGCCCATTGGAATGCCCCACCCCGCGATCTCATAAGAGTGCTGCAGGACTTCTGGGTACATCGCAACCTTCTCGACTGGGGCTTTCCCTAGCCGAGATTGATGCTGGCGACAGTAGCGATGGCAGTTTGCCGTCTTCTGCCTTCCCGGGAGCTATGCGGACAGACTCACCCTCATCTGAGAGGAGCTTCGATCGAAAACGCCGGAGCCTGGTACTGCCCGGACTCTCAAGCTCTCCTCGTCGGCAGCCTTCTCCCGCTCGAGTTTCAGGCCCGCATTCCCCGTTGCGCATGCCGAAGCCCCGTATCTCTACCGGTGGTGAAAGCCTGCCGTCCCCAGTAGCATCTCCATCTACATACGCAAGTGAACTGGCTCTTCATCATTGCCACCACCATCGCCGGCAGTCCTCGGCAACTTCTTCGGATGTTACGAAACCACCACCCTCCCCACGCCTGTCTTCGATGAGCCAGCAACAACCTCGGCCTGCCCCATTGTCTATCCGCGATTTTGAAATCATCAAACCAATCAGCAAAGGTGCTTTCGGCAGTGTCTACTTGGTGAAAAAGAAGGCCACCGGCGAGTATTATGCGATGAAAGTCCTGAAAAAGGCCGACATGATTGCCAAGAATCAGGTCACCAACGTCAAAGCCGAACGCGCCATCATGATGTGGCAAGGGGAGAGTGACTTTGTTGCCAAGCTTTATTGGACATTTTCCAGTAAGGATTATCTTTATTTGGTGATGGAATATCTCAATGGAGGCGACTGTTCATCACTTGTCAAGGTTCTTGGGGGTCTCCCCGAGGATTGGGCTAAGAAGTATATTGGTGAGGTTGTGCTTGGAGTTGAACACCTTCACAGCCGAGGCATTGTCCATCGCGATTTAAAACCCGATAACCTTCTGATCGACCAAAAGGGTCATTTGAAGCTAACTGACTTTGGACTTTCACGCATGGGTTTGGTCGGTCGTCAGAAAAGGGTGTTGAAGAACCCCGATGAGTCTGCTCCTGATCTGCTGAAGCAAAATTCCTTCCCCCGTGCGATATCGATTGCATCTTCCCGGTCGGCCTCTTTCGACTTCCAGACAAGCGCATCACCCGGCTCTACTCCACTGATTACCCCGGAAGTGTCCGCCAATGCCATCCAGCCATCCTACTTCAGCCTCAACCAAGGTGGTTTGAGTCGGCAAAGCTCTCGTCGAGCTTCGGGATACCGCAGTGACAGCATGGGCAGTGACGGTCTCAATGGAATGTTCAGGACATTCTCCCTTACTGACAATTCCCATGAACCTTCTGCATCGTCGCCGAGTATGTTTTCAACCAGCATGGTTGAAGAAGAGGGCCAAAGTGAGGCTGGCGAGTCTCCTCGTCTTCAACCCCTGCAGCCAACATTCAGCAATCCGATGGCGCAGAATACCCCTCCCCAGCAGAGTATGATGCCTCCAGTGATGGCTCTCTTTGATCCTGAAGATCACGATCGCCGTTTTGTCGGTACTCCTGACTACCTAGCCCCGGAAACTATCAACGGTGTCGGGCAAGATGAGATCAGTGACTGGTGGTCATTAGGATGCATCATGTTTGAGTTCATCTTTGGGTACCCACCGTTCAATGCGGATACCCCAGATCAGGTGTTCGATAACATTCTCCATCGCAGGATCAACTGGCCTGACGACCCAGAGGAGTATACTTCAGCAGAGTCATTGGATCTCATGAACAGGCTCATGACTCTCAATCCTCGTGACAGAATTGGAGCCAATGTGGACGAGAAGTTTCCGAATGGTGGCGCAGAGATTTGTAGTCATCCTTGGTTATCGGATATCAACTGGGATACCCTGCTAGAAGACAAAGCACAATTCGTTCCGAACATCGAGAATCCGGAGGACACAGAGTACTTTGATGCCCGTGGCGCTACTCTTCAGTCTTTTGCAGAGGAGTTAGAAGATGAGAACTCGCCACAGCCGTCAGTCGCCGCTGGGCCCGACCGGCCTCATGATGCACTGTTCAAGGTCCGCTCCCAAGTCAGCTCATCGAAACGACCATTGATGCCGCTCCACATTCCTCCGCACGTTCGTGATGCTCGGGATTCACGAAGTCGGAGACTAAGCGAACCGGCCTTGGCCGATGATTTTGGCAGCTTCAACTTCAAGAATCTTCCGATGCTGGAGAAGGCCAATAAAGATGTAATCCAGAAGATGCGTCAGGAGGCTCTGCAGGCGCAGCACCGACAACCCAATGGATCATCGACCGCTCAGGCGTCGGTCACTTCATCTCAGCCCTCATTGGAAGGGAGTCCGCTGCCCATGTCACTCCAGCGAACTTTGTCACAAAACAAGGGCAATAACCGGCCTTCTTCCCCATCAGGCCTGAGCCAGACAAACTCATCCCCCAGCAGGCCGTCGCAGCCATCGTCTCCCCTCCTAGTTCAGTTCAGCACTGGGGCCAACCAAGAACGGCGCAAGACGTCGGGCTCCTCATCAGCCTCTCACCAATCGAATGGGGCATTCCAACCTTCCTCTGCTGACCAGGGGCGCATGCCCAATCTTAGACTGGGCTCAGTGGCATCCTCTCCCGTCAAGCCCAACCGAATTCCAGCCCATTCCCCCGACAAGACGGGTAACAATCAACGCCATGGTAGCGTCCCAGCGAGCCGTACCCGATCGCACACCATTGGCTCTCAGGATGGAGATGCTTCCTCGTTTCCAAAAGAACCCTTTGTGCCCCATCATCACAAGCGCCGGAGTCAACTCTTTGATATCTCACCTTCATCTTCTGACAATGAGGATCCACGTACAAAAGCACTTTTGAAGGTCCAACGTCGGCGACAAAGTTCTCGACGGTTATCACAAATCAATATTCTAGAAGGGCCCTTTTTCCGGCCATTGGATGTGCTCATTTGTGAAGATCATCCTGTCTCGCGGCTAGTCATGGAACGCCTGTTCGAAAAACTTCGCTGCCGGACCATTACGGTTACAAATGGCGCGGAAGCTGTCAGATACGCTCTTAGTGAAGTTCAGTTCGATATAATCATGACTGAATATCGACTTCCCCAAGTCAACGGTGTTGACTTTGCTCGAATGGTGCGGGAGACGCGCAGCGCCAACAGACATACTCCGATCATTGCTGTTACGGGCTATTTGAAGGATCTCCCGGAGAATCACAACTTCGATGCCCTGATCCAAAAGCCGCCGACTCTACCCAAGCTCACCGAGGCGCTTTCCCAGTGGTGCATGTGGAAACCTCCTCCACCGGACTATAATCCCTCCCAGCCTGTTCCCGTTCCGGGCTCTGGTTCTCGGTCTACCGCCGTGACAACCGAGGACAGCCCTAGTTCCACATCCTCTGGGTTTGTTCTCAATCCTCCCAGCTCTTACCGAGGATCCAGCCGCGATGATTCCGTCAGCAGCAGCGTATTTGGAGATATGGAGTCCTTTAAACCCGATGAGATTCCAGTAATCATAAATCGAAATTCTGATGATTGGGATCAAGCCCACGGTGGATTGGGAATATCCGAAGAGCCAGCAGAACACCCTGGTAGCCCAACTCCCAACGCCGTACCCGTGCCTCACCTTCTCCATGCTGCCTCAGCACCTGCGGCCATGGATGCAGCCGGTGGGCTCACGCCCCGGAGACAACGGTCAAGTGAAGCCATTCGTGCCAAAAGGGAATCACTTGAGAAGAAGCGGTATGAGGGCGCCGAATCGGGTGACGATGAAGACGAAGAGCTTGGTAATTCCCAACCACGTCGCAGCCCACCCTCTCGAAATCGCCGTCCCGGCTCTAAACTGGGGATTGAGATGATGCGGACCAACAGCCGAGGCAGCGTTGTCAGTGGCAGTGAGGAACTCTTGAAGAAGGAGAGGGAGGCTCTTCGGAACCAATCCTCTGGCGATCACGAAGACAGCGATGGCTCTTTGGGTTCCCCGGCCAGTACGAGCCTAGAAGATCATTTCGAGGCCCTCAGCATCCCCGAAGAATCAGAAGGCGAAGAATCAGTCAGTCCTCGTGCGTCCTCTCCCAGGTTTGGAGCATCTGCCTCTCAGCATCACCGGCCATCTCTGGCACATCAGGCTACCTCGATCTATTCCGGAGTTTCCCAGAGTCGTATATCGAAGAGTAGCCCGCCAGTGTTGGGTCAGGGCCAAACCACACCCCCATGGGACTTGCCCCAGAGCGCTGTCTCCCATCAGACTGGCCAGCCAATCACCCCCGAAGTCAAGATCTCCGGCAAGGCACTGGCCCGAGACGCTGATTCAGGCGTGGACGCCGACTGTAGTCCCACACCGGACGCCGACGCTACGCCACGACCTCTTCATCCTTCCCCCAGCCTTGATCCGGAGCAGACGCCTCGTCCAGCGGAGCGACATCGGTCGGACATGAGCTTTACATTTAAAAGATAGATGCCGTGTTCGCCTTTTTTTTTTTTTTTTTTCTTTTCGGGCAAAAGCTTGTCACCTTGCGATATCTTTCTATTCTGTCTACATATTGTCTTCCCTGTAAAGTTTCCTGTGTTTATCTACTCCTCTCTGGATACCTTGTCATATCCACTCTCTCACGTCTCTTATGTCTGAATGTTTTCTTTGTCTTGGAGCAAGGTGTTCCGGTCTTTCTTTTTTACTTTCCATAGGCCTTTTTTTCTTTTTTTTTTTTTTCGGCGACAGTAGTCTCTCATCTTTTTGACTATGTGATTGAAATTCCAACATCAGCCTGACGCTGTTTTCGTTCTTTTTTTTATATATATAGGATATCTCTGAGGATTCCGATGTTTATCTTCTTACATAATCTTGAAAAGGTATTTGTCCCCGCTAGTGGACTTATCAAGTGCTTCACAGCCCACCTCACACATCAGGAATCGCCGGTGATCGTTCCGATCGTAAGTTATGATTGGACACTGGATCACTCGCGATGATCCTAGTCCTAAATAAGACCTCGGTTAATGGTCTGAAACCGTTATTTTTATTTTTTTTCATTGGCACATGGTTACAATGCATATATAACTCCAATAATAACATAAAAGTGCCAAGTCAGGATGAGACATTCAAATAGGGGATTTTTGTAGAATGTGCAATGTGGTTATATCAAACACTTGTAAATAGACACTTGGTATAGCCTATTTATCAGTATACTCTGATTTATATTGTATATATTGATGCAGGGGGACTGTACGGAGTACAACATATAGAGAGGCGTTCTTGGCGTTCACCATGACCTCATAAGCATTAAGCCACTCCAATATACATAATATAGCATATTCCAGTATTACCACTACTATGTACTTCAATTCCATTATTTCCGGGTAATTGTACTCCTTTTAGGCGATTTATTACAACAGACTGACAAAGTCTAAAGAGTCTAAAGAGTCTAAAGAGTCTAAAGAGTCTAAAGAGTCTAAAGAGTCTAAAGATACATTCGCCACCAGGTGGATCGACAAAACGTTGGACCGGTCTGAAAGATAATTGGCATTGCGTATGCAAGAAAATACTTGGAATAGTTGAAATAGTTGGTGTACAACATATTCCGTAGAGAGTGTGTAAAGAGTATGTTATATGCCATGTATACCCCTATTTCCTAATCTCCAAGACAATCTAAATTAATATGAAAATGAAATCTAAACATAACTAAAATAATTAAAAATATAGATCTTCATAAAAAATCTAACTAATCAAAGGTCCAGACTCTGCGTCTACCTCCACTGGACCATTTCTCTTTCTATTCTCTCTCTCTCTCTCTCTCTCTCTCTCTCTCCTCTGTCTCTACTATTTGTTCTAATATCTTTTCTTGTTGAAAACACCTATAATATAAAAAAAACCTCCGCCACATTCCAGTCAAATCCTCCCCGCCTTGACCGAATTCCTATCATAATTGGCCCGGTGCCATGTCGTCCCCCGTGGAGGATCGAAAAACCTATGAACAAAAGGACAAGCGCAAGGACTCGGATAATTCTCCCACTTCCGATGGAACCTGTGTCACTGAGCCCGACACAGATCGCAATCACTTGAAGGTTGACACAAATTATGTTCATGATGAAGATGAGCATCCGCCTATGCGCACACCCTCCGCCCGTCGGGAACAGGCCACTCGTTTGGACGATGACTTGATGCTTCTACAAGCTGAGCGTATGACGTCGCATTCGACCAGCGGACAGGACGATGAACACGATCGCAATTCTATGAATCGCTCCCGTTCGCGTCGTTCCGATGCCGTAGATGAGTTCGATGAAGCCACAAACCCTCTGCACGAAAAGGCTGCAATTTATAAACCCCCCGAGAAACCAAACACCCAGATCGCCGTCTTTGTGAAGAAGCTGCACCAGTCGAGTTTCCTGGTGCGCTATTTGACTTACATTTCCCCCCTTGTCCTCATCCTCTTGGTCCCGTTGCTGGTCGGCGCTCTCAAGTATCCCAATGCCAGTGTGGGTGGTGTAGAATTGATGTGGTTTTCTATTTGGTTGGAAATTGTCTGGTTGACTCTTTGGGCAGGACGGGTGAGTCCAATAAATTATTTCCCTTCAAAGAAACTTGACTGATTAGTTTTTGTCATTTTTTATAGCTTGTCGGCAAGTGTATGCCTCCAATTGTTGGTCTTTTTGCAAGTGTTTTCACCAATAACGCGAAGAAATGGCGCGACATGGCCAAACAGCTCGAGCTTCACGCGGCCCTCTTTTTCTGGTGGCTCGGCGTGGAGATTTCCTTTTTGCCTACAATGAAAAATCATCATGTGGGTGGTGGTAAGGGGACTAAGAGTTGGGAAAATACACTCAACAAAATCATCATTGTCATCTTCGTGTGGACGATCCTGAATTTCATCGAAAAGATCCTTATCCAGTTGATCGCCATCAGCTTCCATATGCGTACCTATGCCGACCGCATCGAAATCAACAAATTCCAGATCGGCAGTTTGACCAAGCTGTACGACTGGTCTCGGTCCACTCTCGATGAGAAAGATGATGCCTTTGAGGAGAAGACCGAGGAACCCACTCCTGCCGGTGTCAAGACCCCGTTGCACTACGCCGGCGTGGCCCAGCGCAAGGCCAAGGGTGCCCTGAACAAAGTTGGAAACCGCGTGGGTGATGTCGCAGGCGCAGTAGTGGCCGATGTCACTGGTCGCACGGCTACTCGCAGCACTGATGCCTATCAGGTCATTCTGGCGCTTCTGCGAACTACCGGAGGCTGTCAGGTCTTGGCACGGCGTCTGTATCGCACCTTTGTGAGGGATGGCTTCGAGACGGTTTTCGGTGGTGACCTGAAAGCGGCATTTGAAGACGGCGAGGAAGCCGAAGCTGCCTTTGCCATGTTCGATCGCGACATGAATGGTGATATTTCCATGGAGGAGCTGGAGGCCGTTTGCGTTGACATTGGCCGTGAGCGCAAGTCCATCACTGCATCCCTGAAGGATTTGGACTCGGTCGTCTCGAAATTGGATAATGTGTTCATGTTCTTCGTGTTTGTGATCGTGCTGATTGTCTTCTTGACGCTCATCTCGACCTCGGCCGCCGGTGTGCTCACCTCCGCGGGCTCTGCTATTCTGGCCCTGTCTTGGTTGTTCTCTGCTACGGCCCAGGAGTTCCTCCAGTCGCTTATCTTCGTCTTTGTCAAGCACCCATTCGATGTTGGTGACCGTGTGACCATCTACGGTAATTCTGGTGATTCCGGTCTTGGTGATGATTACTTTGTGAAGGAAATCACTCTTCTTTACACCGAATTCAAGAAGATGCAAGGCCATGTGGTGCAGGCACCAAACAGCTACCTCAATGGTCTCTTCATCCTCAATCAACGCCGTTCAGGCGCACTTGCCGAGGCAGTCCCAATCATTATCAAGTACGGTACCACCATCGACCAACTCGACTCCCTGCGACAGCGTCTCTTGGAGTTTGTGCGTAGCGAGAAACGCGACTTCCAGAACAACATTCTTACTGAAATGCGTGCGGTCACGGAGAACTTCTCGCTTACGCTCAACATCGTCTTCTTTTACAAATCCAACTGGCAGAACGAGGGTCTACGTCTCCAGCGCCGCAACAAGTTCATCTGTATGCTCATGGTCGCTCTCCAGGAGATTGGCATCGAGGGCCCACGCATGAACCTCCAGGGTGCCAAGTTCGACATCCCCTTCCACGTCAACAATGGCGGCACACGCTCTACCGAACGGGTTCCCCAAATCGACGCCGATGCCGAGGAGTTCCCGATCTCAGGAGAGTCCCACCATCTGCCAGAGAATACCGGAACCAGCAGCAGCAGCGCTGCCCGTCACCCATCGATTCTCCGCAAGGGTATGCACACTGCCAACGCCCGTGCCCGCGGCCCGTCTGTCTCCCAGCGCAAGCACGTCGACTTCTCCTTGGGCATGTCCAACATGGCCTCCAACGATATTATGGGAGATGTGTTTGAGGATCGGGGTGTGGTCGTCGAGGATGTCGTCCGTTCCGCCAACCGCGAGGCTGCTGAGCGCCGCATTCAGGAAGAGAACGAGGACGAAGAGGAGCGCCGGAGCAGCCGCACATCTTCTTCCCGGTATCGTCGTCCCTCCAACATGAGCGTTCCTTCCAATAACGACACCCATCGCCGGTCGAACGATGCCCATAGCTTCCGTAGTGGTCAATCATCGCTCAGTCGCAACCGGTTCTTCCAACACCGCAGCAGTGTGAGTCGCGATCGGGACGACTTGATGGAGCAGGGCCGCTCTGCGGAGCCTACTCCGCCTCCCCCGGCTGCAGTCCATGAACTCAAGGAGCACCCCAATTGATTTGAGATGTCATTTTCAATTCCTCTTGATATCAGATATCATCTTCACTGAACATACTCTGTCAATTTCTTTTTCTTTTATTTTTCATACATGACGCACTGTGTCTCGACAGATCACTTGTCTTTCTACCATACATATATCCCCATATAGGCCTCCAAGCTCTTGTTTATTATTTGGCCTATTTATCATATATAGCATTTAGGTCGAGGCTTAGTGACTTGACCAATAAAAAATGTTTCTTTTCTGTTTAATTGACATCTATCTGAACTGCCACCTTGGACTTTGCCACACATGTCTCAGAGTCTTTTAAGTAGACTTGTCGAATATCCTTTTGAGGTATCTTTGGGGTATTCCTCCTTATTGGTGCTAAAGACAGATGATTCCTATATTCCTATCCCATCCCCATCCAACCCATCACAATCCATCTCAGGTTGTCAGATCAATTAGATCCAGCTCATCCCTACGACTTACTTGTACATGTGCACTGTGTGGACATACTGGGATTGGGAAGGCCTAAATCGGGGTTCGAGATTCCCAGCTCCCGAGAGTTTGCCGAGACAAGACACAAATGCGATTGCGCAGTTAACTTCGCACTGACAAAGTCCCACAGTCCAGAAGCGACGAGCCCGGATTAACAAAGTATGGGATGACTGGACACCAGGAGAGGACACCATGCCTAACCCCCGATACCGAATGATGTCTTTGATTTTATACCAGTTACATAAATCCCCGACTCTAAAGCGGCCCATATGAAGACCCTTTCACGCTCGGTGATTCAACACGCGCATTATCAGCTTCGTAGTCTGCTGATGATCAACATCCATTCCAGTACGGGACTAAGGAGTTCGCCTTCTATGAGCGGCGTCACTCCGTGGTGAGACATCACTTATCCTGTTGCTACAAATGATTGATCTACAAAGTGGCTCCATTCAAGCATGGATTTAGCGGCTTTTCAATGCACTGACGTCCAATCTCGCATGAATCTCACTTCAAACGAACTGTTCCTCATATCTGGGACCCTGGTGAATCCACCTAGACCGCGGTTCCGCCACCGACCACGTTTCAGATGCATGTCTCAAGCCGCGCTTGGAACGGTGGGACTGTGGAAAAGGTTGCCAACAGCTGGGAGGGCTCAATCAGCCGATTGAAATATCAGATTCGTCACTGGCCGGGCGCCAGCTTCTTGCCCTGGCACATGGGTTGATGAAAAGCTCAATCATGGCATTGGAGCAACCAGTTATGCAGCTATATCCGACTCTACGGTTGATATGGTTGACTCACACCATATTCTAGTGTGGACCAGGCAACAGAAGCCCTGGCGCAAGCCATAATTGAGCGTGAGTTTGCATTTTCAGACCGTCTCCGTTGTGTGTCGCTTGCGGTATATCGAGCGATTTGACCATGTCGCCTTGATTAAGCAAGGTCAGATTGTGGAATGGGATCTCAGACTTTGCCATTGGATTCGAATTTCGAGACTTCTAGCTTGCTAGGCAATCTGAACGATGAGCCTTTCATGCGGCCTATTATATAATGTAGAAACCTTTGATTACGGCGTCGAATCATGTATGAAATATTGAGACCAATGCAACGATTTGGAGAATGTTAGAAGTCCATAATAGATACTAGAATTCTGCATGTATTGAGACAAGTTGGGTTCCAGAATAGTCATTGTAAGTCCTGCGTTGCTTCCACGTCAAAGAGATCAGCCTGCTTTTGTGCCCCAAAAAACACTTCACTTCTCTCTCCAACTTCTCCCCATCCTCATTCTCATTTTTATCCTAATACTAGTTTTCAGTACAATCCACCATGCGAGGCGAGGTATGTATGCCCTGCTATTCTGCGGGCTATTGCGTTGACAGGGTCGAGCTGTCTATACACTTCCCTCCCCACACCTTTGGCTCTCATCCATTCAACATCCAAAACGAAACCAAGAGAACAGACACTGATGTTGATTTGAATCTACCAGATTTGTCATTTACATATTGGCCAGGCTGGCACACAGCTTGGTAACGCTGCCTGGGAACTGCACGTCTCTTCATTGTCTACTATCCCCGATATATCCGCTGATCAAGATGCAACGCAGGTATCTACTTGAACACGGTCTGAAGCCTGATGGATATGTCGACTCCGATAGTACCGATGAGGCCGCCAAAAGCGGATCTTACGAGACTTTCTTTACTGAAACTTCCGACGGCAAATATGTTCCCCGTTCCATCTTCGTCGATCTTGACCCATCGGTATGTGATGGACCATAAAGTTGCAGAAAGCCTCACCAGCTGAAACATTGTGCTAGCCCATCGATGAGATTCGCACCGGCACTTACCGTGATCTTTTCCGTCCCCAGCAGCTGATTAGTGGGAAGGAAGATGCTGCAAACAACTGTATGAACCATTCAATTTGTGGATCAAACCACGAGGAGCTAATATACGGCAGATGCTCGAGGCCATTACACTGTCGGAAGGGAGATTTCTGCAGAGGTGATCGAGGGCATTCGTTATGTGGCTGGTACGAACCTGATAACTTGAGCCTCAACCCTGATGGGTCCCAGCTAATATCTCTATAGAGAACTGCCAGTCGCTCCAGGGCTTCTTGATTTTCCACTCTTTTGGTGGTGGTACAGGATCTGGTTTTGGTTCGTTGTTGTTGGACCATCTGACCAGCATGTATGGGCGCAAATCTAAGCTGGAATTCTCAATCTACCCTTCTCCACGTACCTCGATTGCCGTGGTAGAGCCCTACAACGCCGTCCTGTCAACCCACAGCACCATTGAGAACTCCGACTGCACCTTCATAGTTGACAACGACGCCGTGTATGATATCTGCCGGCGCAACCTGGATGTCCCTCGTCCTGGATATGAGCATCTGAACCGTCTTGTTGCCCAGGTAGTGAGCTCCATCACATCCAGCTTGCGGTTTGATGGTGCACTCAATGTCGACTTGGCCGAGTTCCAGACCAACCTTGTCCCATACCCGCGTATCCACTATCCCTTGATTTCGTATGCCCCGGTGATCAGTAGCCAGCGCAGCTCGCACGAGAGTTTCAAGATTCAGGATCTCACTTTCCAATGTGCGTGAATACTGTTCCAATGGGTGTGATTTCTTCTAACTGAGTCGTAGGCTTCGAACCCAACAATCAGATGGTGAACTGCGATCCACGAAAGGGCAAGTACATGGCTGTGGCTTTGCTTTACAAGGGTGACGTTGTACCCCATGACTGCACTATGGCTGTGCACGCCCTCAGGACTAGGGGTACCTTCAGTTTAGTTGAGTGGTGTCCTACCGGATTCAAGTTGGGAATCAACTACCAGAAGCCTATGCGTCGTCCCAACGATGAACTTGCGCCTGTCGACCGTTCGGTCAGTATGTTGTCCAACACCACCGCCATTGCCGAGGCCTGGAGTCGTCTCGATCACAATTTCGACCTTATGTACTCCAAGCGTGCATTCGTCCACTGGTATGTTGGTGAAGGGATGGAGGAAGGCGAATTCTCCGAAGCCCGTGAGGATCTCGCGGCACTTGAGAAAGATTACGAAGAGGTGGCCGAGGAGAGCACTCCAGAAGGTGTTGAGTACTGACTTTTGACTGCTACCACTGACTCTGGACTTGCCTTGTTGCTCGAGCAATCATTGACATGATTTGATCTGCCCGAGCATCTGCCACACTGCTTTTCTGTATTGCCTTTCCTCCGTTCATGCTATTCTAGGGATATGTGTCGGGCCAATCGAAGGATGGAAAGGTTATCAAAACCAAAAACAAATCAAATTGAAAAATCAAATCAAATCTATGAGTAATATTTGACTTTTCGCCTTTATTCTATAACGAACCCTTCAACCCGTAAGTGATAACGCCGTCAAATGCTCCATGCAAGATTATTACTGGTGATACAAGTTGAAGATCCCCTTCAACCGTCAGCTCCGACATTGAGCTCCCGAAGGACTTTTAATGCGTGCTCATAGGTCCACATTGTCACCGCACTTGCCGGTGCTGCCTTGAGCAAACTGACCGTCAAGCCGCGGTATAAACCACGCACGCCCTGGGTGCGGAAAATCATGGCAATACTTTGGAGAACGCCCTTGTACTCCGGGATATTGCGATGAATGTAGCGGGTCCTTGTTGGGCCCTGTACCTGCAAGCGCTTCCGCACTAGGTCAAGCGGGAATACACCCGTCTTAGCCAGTACACTGGCCACAACACCAGCTGCGGCATCCCCTGTACCGAACGGCAGAGCATCCCAGGTCATGACCGGTCTAACCGCCTCGTATGTGGTGAAAAAAAGTCCCATGTATGGCACAATCTGCGCCACAGCAGCAGAACATCCCCGGTAGAATCCCGGTATGCCCTCATGACGAGCGATCTCCACAATTGAGGCACGCAGCGAGCCATACACACGGTCCGGGCCTTGTGCGGCGAATCGAGTGCGGAGAAGGTCAAGTGGGTATGTTATCCCCGTGGCACATCCGCCTGCTACTGCACCCGAGAGGAAGGATTCGACCGGTTGGGGGAGTCGGTAGGGGCCGAGTTGGGCGAGGGCTTGGGTTGTTCCCCGATACGCGGTGAATTGCATGGCGCCGTAGCAGACATACATCATTTCGGCGGGAATATTGCCCTTCCAGAGGCCCTGTGGGGAGAAACTTGCGTTAGGTTATTGAAATTGGCATTGACAGGCAAGGTGGTCTTTTCAACGTACTGTGATTCCCTCTTGCTTCATAATCGTCCGCATGGTGGACAATGTCCCCTTATAAACAGGCCCATCGACACTCTGATGGGAGGCGGGGTCTGACAACGAATGGATTTGCAACTGCAACCTGATCTTTACGACGTCCAGCGGCGCAATACAGAACCGTGATATCAGACCTGCAATTCCGCCGGCCAATACCACCTGCCGCTTGGTGCCTTCATCTTTGAGGTGTTCGCCCCCGGCCGACATGAGTTGAGAGTGCTTTCTCTTACAGACTGGAGATGTCTGTATCGATGGGTTATAAGAGAATTGAAGCATGAAGATCCATGTTGATTTCGTTGAGTCCTTGGAATGTGAAAAACAAAACAACGTCAATTGGCCATTTACGTAAGTTCCGAGCCCCGATGTCATCGACGGAAGAATAACATGTCTGCCTGAGGTGTTACTTACAGCCTGAGGTATTAAACTATTGCCTAAGGGGAAATTTACTTGCCTAAGGCATTCAACGATCAGTCCACAGGAAGCCGAGGTAATTATAGTTCCACTCCATTTGTCCCGGGTGCTCAAGGTAGATTTCCCCCCATCTCTCCCTTTCACTGATGATCTCTTCTTGAATTGTTCACAGGCCCTTCATGCATCGTCTCCGAACTTCAGTTACCCTCTGGCAAGTGCCACGAGCCTTGTCATGCTCTACCCCGCGCCGTAACTTGATAGCTGCCTCTAGTAGGTTCAACAACTCTGTACAGCCAGACTCTCATGACAAATTGGATCCCGTTGCCCCGAAAATCGAAAGTCCACTACCAATACCACAAGAATCCACGAACTCCAAGGACGATGTGCAAAACTCCACCCCTCAAGTGGGCGGAAGAAGCAATCGCGCGGATGGCGTCCTTCAGAAAATGGGCAATAAAGGATCAGTCTGGGCTGGAAAAGAGGAATTGTACTTGCATATGGACAAAGGCACAACGATCAAACTGCCATATACTTACCTGCGCGATTCATGCCAGTGTGGAGTGTGCAAGGATCAACACTCGAAGCAGCGCTCGTTCCGCACAAGTGACATTCCCAAGGACATTTGTCCAAGCTGGGTCAATTGGGATGGGAAGAAGCTTTCAATCAGGTGGGCCAAGGACATTGGGGAGTCTCAGACGGCGCATGAATCAACCTGGGACCGTGCCTTTCTGAAAAAACCCATTTTCAACACTCATCGTCAGCACTCGAACCAGAACAGCAAGCCGGTCATGTGGGGACGGGCCCAAATGGACAAAAGTCAACATTGGGTATCTTACTCGGATTATATCGCCGATGATTCCAAATTTGCCACAGCGATGCACCAGTTGCAGCGACTGGGCCTTATTTTTGTGAAGGATATTCCAGACTCACGATCGATGGTTGAAGCCATTGCAACACGAATGGGACCACTACGGAACACATTCTACGGATCAACATTTGATGTCCGCACTGTTCCGCAGGCGACAAATGTCGCATATACAAACCAGTTCCTTGGATTCCACATGGATTTGATGTATATGAATGAGCCACCGGGATACCAGCTCCTCCACTGTCTGGAGAACTCATGTTCGGGGGGCGAGTCGATGTTCGCAGACACATTTTCGACTGCGAAACTCATGAGTGAGAGATACCCAGAAGATTATAAAGTGCTTCGCGAGCAGCGGTTGGGATACGAGTATAGGCACGAGGAACATATCTATTACAATGAACGACCTCTCTTTGAGCATGACTCCAATACAGACGACCTGCGCCATGTCAATTACTCGCCCCCCTTTCAGTCTCCCCTCCCACCACGCGATGGGAAAGACCATGATGCTGGGTCCGTGAACAAGCTACGAGACGCCCTTGCGACCTTCACTTCAATTATTGATAATCCGAAACACACCTTTGAGCTGAAGCTCAATCCGGGTGATTGTGTCATCTTTGATAACAGACGAATTGTACATGCCCGCCGCCAATTCAATGCCAGCACAGGATCTCGCTGGTTAGCAGGCGCGTATGTGGATACGGATGCTCTGCTATCCAGGTTCGCCGTCTGTAAACATAAGCATCCACATGTTTGGACAAAAAAGGCCAAGAAAGACTTGGTAGCCAAAAACACAGACACTCACCAGGAAAGAAGCGAAGCATCAGAAGAAGAAGCAAGAGGCCAAGAGAGTGGCTGAAGAGGAACAGAGAAAGATTGCGGGAGAACCAGAGATTGATCAGATTCACGAGAACAACACAGAAGGTACAACATAAGGACAAGCCAGTTCAGAGGACGAAGATCGATTAACCAATATCTGAATTGTGCTCCAATGCCAGCACAATTTCCTTCACTCTAGCAGTTGATTGTATATACGAATGTGAATATATCTGGAGTGTTGTACATATAAGGAACCATACGTTATAAATATATTGTATTCGTATTCTGAAACCTGAGCGCAGCTTTGGTGCAATCACTCAACACAGTCATTGGGCTACAAGGTAGATTGAACTGCCAGTGCAAGCTTCTCAAGAGGATGTGTTGTATCCGTCATGGTCAACAGGAATGATCTGTGGCAATGGATTGGTTTGATTCGATGCTGCTTATCTCAATGTATAGCGAGGGCGTCTCCCGCAACAATGCAAAGGATACGATCCATATGATCAGACATGCATATAAGCCGAATCAAGACAAAAACGTTTATCATTAAGTTAGACTTTTAGCATCTATCCCCAGAGACAGGGGGGTCATGGGTATCGTGCAACGAGTAACCAACCACTCAAGCAGCGTTGGGCTTGCTGACTGAGTGATCAGTGAGGAAATCGGGGTCGTTGTTGATTTCCTCGCGAACCTGTACCATTGAGTTAATAATCGAATCAGATAGCCAAAGCAGGGGAGAACACGTACAATATCCAAGCCACCGACCAATTCTCCATTCACCCACAATTGAGGGAAAGTGGGCCACTCAGCGTACTCCTTCAGACCCTGGCGCACATCCTCATCGGCCAAGATGTTGAAGAATCCGTACTTAACACTACGCTCGCGTAGAATGCCAACCAGCTGCCGACTGAATCCGCACTGTGGGCTGCTTGGGGTTCCTTTCATGAACAGCATAACAGAAGCTGCCTTGACCAGTTGTTCGAGGCGGGCAAAGAGTGCCTCTCGGGATTGTTCGGGTGTCAGGGCGGGAGCAGACGCGACGGCGGTTGCGTTCGCCGCATCAGCGGAAGGCGGATCAGAAGCGGTAACAGGAGCCTGAGTAGCAGTGAGGGGACCATCCTCACGAGGAACGGCAGACAGCGGCGGGGGGATATTAGCCTTCACACCGTCCATCGGAGCGACGGCACCGGCGACATTGCCGCGGCCAGCGTGGCGCTCGACAGCGTCACGAACCTTCACGGCATCACTTCCACTGATTGATTCCAAAATCTGGCCGCTACGCAGGCACACGACGAAGGGCACGGCAGAAACGTCATACTCCTCTGAGATATCAGGTAGCTCCTCGGCGTTGATGCTGACAAACGAGATGGTGGGCGGGGCAGTGGCGGGGTACTGCGAAGCGAGGGCTGAAAGCACTGCGCCCATCTGGGCACATGGGGCAGCCCATGGGGTGTGGAAGTATAGGACAACCAGTGCAGAAGGTGATAGGGAAGAGAGATGCGACGAGAAGTCGGCCTCAGATGTGATTTCGGTGAGTGTCGACATGGTGGAGTGTGTGTGAAAGGAGGATGCAACGACTCGAACTGATGGCAAAGCCGGAATCGGCGATGAGAGGTATTACTCAGAGATAAGGTCAAACAAGTGTCAAGGTGAGGCCAAAATTGAGAAGCGAAGAAGATGTGTCAGAGGAATGGCGTGATGGATACCATAAAAACAAGCCCCCCTGCACGGCGATCCCAGATTTGCCGGTTATCAGATCGTTTGGCGTCTCTGGCGTCTCTTGCGTGCCGTATGTCAGCCGGAAAAGATATTTGCCGGCAAAGTTATTTCCCAGGTACCACGTGATCGCGATCTCATAGAGCACGTGACCTTATCGCCTATCATCATGAATTTCCATGCGAGTTCAGCCAGGAACCTGCAAATCCGAACATTGAAGCCAACATGGGAAGAGATAGGAAGAGAAAGCTTAGCTCGGACGACCCAGTCGGTCAACCCACGCCTCAAGGATTCGGCGTGGCCGATACCTTGTCCCGTCTGCAGAGCGATAACCCGAGCAGCGAAGGTTCGAATGGCAGCCATGCGTCAAAGAAGCGCAAAAGAGTGGATGGCGAGAAAGTCAAGTACCCAGATCTCACATACGCCAATGGAAAATTACAGGCACCTATCCGAATCGCCGATCTCCAGGGATTGCTGCTCTATTGCTTCGGTGATGGCATCGCGCCCCAATGGATCTCCATGAAGCATTCTGGCCATGTGCGCAAGGTGGTTGTACTGATGGTACCTGGCCTGGAAATGGGCATGTTTGATGGGACAATCCCCGTGCAGCAAAAGTCAGCCACCGGAGAGCAAGAGACAAAGGAACCCAAGTCGAATCCGCCGGGAGCCACCGAGGAGGAACCCAAAGACGAACACACTGCCGATTACGAACGATGGAAACAGGGCCTCCCATTGCCAGATCGCTCGCATCGCTTCAATCCTCGATCCCTCACACGCGAAAACCTCCCTGAACCACTTCAGCCGCTGGCTGACATGTTTCCTCACATCTGGCCCGTCAAGGCACCAGGGGACAACAAATACAACAAGGTCCATTCGCCACTGCAGGCCATTCTCATGTCCTCACCCCCGAAGGCCAAAAGTGATGACTCCCATAAGGGCGCACGGCCCGCAAAAGTTGAGAAAGGCTTCGTTCCGAAACGAACACCAATCACAACTTTCGTCACTTCACGCGAGGATCTCCTGGAAAATGACTTTATTCTACATCCTGTTTTCTTCACCTCCGATGAAGAAAAATCCTCCCAGGTGGAGGCTCGTCAACGGAGCGGGCAATCGGCGGAAGATGGATGGGTGGATACTCGAGTTCCAACCCTGGAGTCTGCTCAACCACCTGATGCTGAAATTGAAAGTGGCAGCGTCACTGTTGGTCGGGATGTTTTTGCGCTCGACTGTGAGATGTGTATTACCCAGGGGGGTCAGTCCGAACTCACGCGCATCAGCATGGTTGGCTGGGATGGCGAAGTCGTCCTGGATGAACTGGTGAAACCAGCACGGCCGGTAATCAACTATCTGACACGTTACTCTGGGATCACCCCAGAGATGCTGGAACCTGTCACCACGACCCTTGATGATATTCAGCAACGACTCTTGACTCTTCTCACGCCGCGTGCGATCCTCGTGGGACACTCCCTTAATTCCGACCTTACAGCACTCAAACTTGTCCACCCTTTCATTGTCGATACCAGCATCATCTACCCGCACCCGCGCGGTCCGCCACTCAAATGCAGCCTGAAATGGCTCACCCAGAAATACCAAAACAAGCAGATCCAAAATGGAATGGCCGGGCATGACTCCATTGAGGATGCCCGTGCTGTTCTTGAACTTGTCAAATTGAAGTGCGAGAAAGGCGAGCGATGGGGCACGAGTGAGGTTTCCAACGAGAGCATCTTCCGTCGGCTGTCGCGCTCTACTCGACCAAGTCATGTCCCTCGCCCTGGCGAAGAACGAACAGGGGCCGTGGTTGACTGGGGCAACCCGGAACGTGGGTTCGGTGCCCAGGCAACCGTCTCGATTGGATGCCGGGATGACGATGCAGTCGTCAGCGGTGTCTCAGCGGTAATCAACGGCGACGAGTCCAATCCCTCTATCCCGGCTGGTGGTGTTGACTTTGCCTGGGCTCGCATTCGTGATCTTGAATATCTTCGTGGTTGGTGCAGCCGTCTCCCCGACCCCAACAACGCCAACGAATCCACAACCCTTTTCCCTCCTCCTGAAGAAACCACCCCGACCACAAGCACCGGCAATGGGGATTCCACCGATCTTCCGCAGCTTGAAGTCTTGACTGACACTGTCACTCGGACGGTCTCTAACATCTCGCGCATTTACGACTCTCTCCCCCCTTGTACCCTTTTCATGGTTTATTCTGGCACAGGTGATCCACGTGAAGTGGGCCGTTTACAGTCAGTTCACAAGAAGTACCGCGAGGAGTTCAAGTCTGGCAAGCCATGGAATGAGCTGACATACAAATGGACCGACGTTGAGGAACAAGCTCTGAAGAAGGCCTGTGAGCGTGCTCGCGAAGGTTGCGGTTTCATGTGCGTCAAATGATTTCGGTGAAGCAAGATATGGGCATACAATGTTTTATGGGCCAAGATGATTATTCCACCCAAAGATGTTCCGGGTGGAAAATGGGATATGTAAAACCAGCTCCAATAAAGAGCAATTGATAAAATTCAACCTTCATTCCTCATGTTCCTACATGAAGTTGAAAGTCATAAAAACACTTTTTATATCTTAATTGTCTCGTATACTCGTATACTCGTATGAATATAGAATATCGTGATAGACCCACCGAATATGGTGGGGCGGAAGGAGATTTCTCCCGACACCCAACCGAGACCAACCTCTCGCTCTCGCAATGAATCCCTTTTCACGAGCAAGTGCAGCCTGGCATCCTGTTGGCCTTGCGTCAGATTTCCCGAGCATCGATGATGACGCCCGCATTGTGCCAAGATGCAAGGCTTTCAATATTCCTAAAACAAATGGGGCTATGGAGCAAGTCGAGGACATTGACTTACCAGGCGAACTGAAGGATCAAGTCCTGGTGTTCAAATACAAGGGCAAATATCATGCCATTGATCATGTGAGTCAAGAGACTTCTTCTCATCGGATTGAGCTCATCCTTTCTAGCAATGTCCCCATTCGTCATTCCCGCTTTCGCGGGGCACCCTCTTTGATATTGAAGACTTTGGCGTCGTGCTCAGCACGGGTCTCACCTGTCCTAAACATGGTTGGTCCTTTGATATATTCTCTGGACGTGCCGATCGTGGTAACTACCAACTCAAGGTGTGGGAGGTGCAGCTACGTGACTCATCGGAACCTGGGAGTACGGACCAAGAGGTTTGGGTGAGACGGAAGCAAAGAATTGGTTAACATTGGCCACTCGTTTCTGGACAATTATCATAGAAAGGCCAGCCAGGTTCAGTTGACCTGGTTCCTTGACACCAGTGTTTCTCACCGAAATGGATGGAACTGGCCCCCAACCACGCAGATCTCTCTCAAGTGATTAAGCTATTCAACTCGTGTGTTGTTTATCCAACTATCCATGTTAAAATATTCATATGGTTGGGGTCTCGATGCAGGATTGGGATTTTGGCTCGAATGTGATGCATATATCAACTTTATTACGCTTCGACAGGTTCACTGTTTCGAAAAGGGGCCAACGAGCTTGAAGCTGGATATATTATTGTGATTGTATGTGTTAAAATATCTGTTTGTTCAATTAGGCCAAGAAGGGGTTGGTCAAGAAATATTTCCAAGTCATGGATATACTGAGTTGAAGTTTGAATATTTCTTGAGATAATATAAATTCAATCTGGTTCTCTGATTATTCTCTTATTTCTTTGAATATCGACTATATAAATAGTGTAAGCTTGAACCTGGGACTGGCCTTAGGCCATTCAGGTCGGGACCTTCTCAAGTTCCGATATATATCTCCCTTCTCTTCTTCCCACTTGATATTAAATACTACATATTCTTTCTATCACTGAGAAACATTTATTCAGACATTTTATTCAGACATTTTCTCTGTAAATCCAAAGTCAGCATTGCCCCGCTTCTCCTTCTCAGCCTGAGGTGAATGTGAAATTTGATTTACTGTCAAGCGTGAAGTGATCTCTGAATAATGGAAGCCATTGGGGCAGCTTCTGCCATCCTCGCAATTGCAACAGCTGGAGTACAATGCTCCGTGAAGCTTATGACTTTTGCAGGACAGGTCAAGACAGCGCCAGAGCAGATAAACATGGTCGCTGAAGAAGTGTCGCTGAATGCCAGTATTCTACAGCAACTGGGCGAACTGGCAAAGGAAAATGTAGAAACCAAACATTTAACATCAGACGACAAAGACAATGGCCAAAAATATCAAGGCGAAATCGGTTCATACGAGATCAAAACAGAGTATCTTCAAGGCAGCCGGGCTGGAAACGGTGATGCATCTAGCGAAAAAGTGCAAAGAGGTATTCGAGTCCCTAGACGCGTCTTTACGCACAGCCAGCAAACAGCTCCATGCGAAACCCCGGATATTGGGCAAAGTCAAGCTCAGTCGCGCGGAAAGGTTCAAATGGCCGTTTCTACTCCCGGAGATTGATACGATGCGGAACGAACTTGGAAATGTCAAGGGGGCTTTGATGTTGATGCTGCAGGTTGCTATGTTGGTTTATTCGAGAAGGATGGGGGAGTGAGTCACTCGTACTTTCTCCTATAGTTTGAGATCTACTGCTAATGTTGACAGATATGGTGAAAATATTCAGCGTACAGCAATTGTGACCTACTCCAGAGAGGATCAGGAGTTGCTAGTTCGATCTATTGTTGCAGCGCAGAAAGCCCAGGAAACTTCAGACGCTTCCAGTGTTGGATCATTGGAAACGGAGCGACCCATGTTCTCCCAACTATCGTCCCCGAACCAAGACCCGGACGGGGATTCTGGACAAAGTGAGAGACCAGTGGGTGACCGAAAGTAAGTCGATCTTGTCGGTTATGGATTTCCTCAACGAAATTAACGCCCTTGGAGCAGGGGGACACACCCCAGCCCAAATAAAAATATCCACGATGAATCATCTAGGTGTGTATGCTCCTAGAGACTCTTTGATACAAGACCCTGACTCAAAGCAAGTGACAGTGGATCTGGTTCCAGCCGAAAAAGTGATTCCAACCAAAGGCAAGACCACGTCCGACGGGATGATATAGTGATATTCTAAGCCGTAATTTCCGCTAGGATATCAATTTCCAGACAACCATCACCCTGGCAATCACACCTCTTCAGCGTCAAGCTCATCTCTCCGAGAGCGTCCATTTCAAACCATCAAATCCACATCACCTATGATACCCGCATCATCAAACTCTCAAGTTCGATGGTCGAATCTCAGCTCCAACGGTGGACGGCAGCCTTAGACACGACCCTGCTGGATCAGATGGCTGCTCTGAATAGCAATGAATTTCAAGCGCTAGATGCGGCAAGTGATGATAGCGACTGGCTTAATCTGCAGGAAGAGAGGCTTGAGTGGATCCGGTTCAGCGAGTACAGTACTCTAATTCAGGGCATTGAACATATCAAGGCCAGGACACTTACTGTGATCATGAGCGGGGTGCCTCGACCGACTCCACGGCCTGAAAAGAAGGAAGAGGCACGGATAACGTGGATCAGGGTATGGGAAAAGAAGCTCTGCCTAGGATTTCAACCGCTAACACAACTGGAAACAAGGTTCATCGAGATTATGTTCTTCCGAAAACACTCGAAGCGTTCGGATTGCCATGGGATTGGGATGAGGTAAGGATAGAGCCATTTGTGTGCTTCCACTTTTCCATTTCAACACTGACTTCCCGCTCAAAGGATACCAACTACAGCATCATCAAGAAATGGATCGCCCATGATTTCCAAGACGAGCCTTTTGCTCATACCCGACGATTACAGGATGAAATACCAGTACAGGCCCCACCCACTTACCGAAAGAAAGATAGAATGTTTCTCATCCGCAAGCGGTCTCCTGCACGAGTCAGGCTTTTTGACTCTGAGAGGGAATCTGAGACGATCCTCGATCGAAAGAAGGCGGATGATGGAAATGAAGAGAAGGGAGAAGCGATGGACGAGATGGAAGAGAAAAGTCAACAGGCCGAAAACGAAACAGATGACGGCGAGTATGATGAGGCATCAGAGAGCGGTGATGCAGAAGGCATTGTCGATGCTCTATTGGCCAGATATACTGTGTGATTGTATACCAACTAGGGCTGTTTGGCAGTTTCGGCCATATTCCTAGTTGCTCCTTTACGGGAGCGAATAACCATATTATTTTCAATTCCCGGCACAATTGGCTTGGCAGTGACTCTAAACCAAGTGTACTAGGTTCTAGCTCGGTGTGTTGTATAGATGGTATATGATGCATCTGGGGTCTATGCCGTTTTCCTTTTTTCAGCTATTTCAATTATGTTCCTCTCAACCATTCGGTGTGCAATTATGTGGCTAGTTGTAGTGGATGCTAAGAACCAGGATGGTTCAGCTTATGATGTCGTGATCGTTGGTGGAGATACAAGTGGACTGGTCGTCGCTAATAGGCTTTCAGAGATGAGAGATTACACCATGGCAGTGATCGAAGCTGGAGATTTAGTCCTCAATAATGATAATGTATCTGCCGTGACGGGCTACGGTCGAGCATTTGGACAGAAATTGACTGGTCCTATCTCTATGCTGGATCTCTTTGGGTACACATTAGATCTAGACCAAGCCTGACGCCTCCATAGAGCTATTTCAAACATCGCAACTACTCGTTGGAAAGAAAATATTCCTCCATCCTAATTTGCCATCATGAAAGCTTTCTCCTTACCCGCGATGTTGCATATTTGAATAGATCTTATTACAGCCACTGGTTACAAGAGAGGAAGAAGGAAGAAAAGCTAATTCATCACTCTATGGAAAGGCACGGTATTTATATCCTGAGGTCTAGCACGCAATGGGAGATGGTATCATCCAACAAATACTAAATCCCCCGTGCATCAAGGGCACCGCGCAATGTCTTTTGGAAACCAAAGACATGTTCTGGCCCTAGCATAGTGTAATGGGCACCCCCGACGTCGTGGAAGTTTGGCGATGACCGCGAGAAATTCTTCCACTGACTCAAATGCTCACTCAGCCATTGGGCCTTCGATGAAGCCGCCACAGCCAGAGGATTGCAATAGAAGACATCTATACAAGCAATGGAGCTAGTGGGATCATAGTCCACAGCCATGCTTTGTAGAGCAAAGGCTAGGGTCGCCCATTTCGTCAGAGCATCAGGTGACAGGGCCAATTCGGCGAGACGATCTTGATTGGCTTCCGTCATGACCTTGGCGAGGGCTGCTTCCCGAGTTGCACCTTGCAATTCCAATGCCAGCTCCCGCGCCCGATCCTCAGTCATGAGATCTAAAAAGTAAGAGAGATGAAGCAGGCACTCCTTATAGTCCAGCTGTCGCATGCGGGCCTTTATATGGGGCGGCAGGTTGAAGGAGCCCAGAAAGCGCACCTCATCCCCTTGGCTCTCCAGCACTTTGCCCACCTCGAAGGCCAGCATCGTGCCGTATGAATATCCGGCCAGAGCATACGGTCCATGCGGCTGCTTTCGCTTGATCGCGGTGTGGTATGTGCTGACAACTTCCTCAATTGTCTTAAAGGGCTGTTCGCCTTCGTTGAAACCCCGCGCCCGTAAGGCGTAGACCTTGCGATCCACCAGGAATTTCGCCAGGTTGAGGAAGACAAGAACCTCACCCACTCCTGGGTGGACAAGCCACAGCGGTGTCTTGTCTCCCTGTGCCTGTAGCGTCACCACAGGATTATACTCGTTTGGTTTATGATGACCCTGCTGGTCCTCTAGGGCGCTGGCAAGGTCGCGCACAGTGGGATTCACCATCAAGGTGATTATAGGGATTTCCTGGGACAAACTCAGGTGCTCTTCAATGCACTTCTTTAACTTGATGAGCTCCACCGATGTGACGCCCATGTCGAAGAGAGAGGACTGTACGTCAAACTCCTCCTCGGGCAGCTCAAGGGATTTGATAAAAAGATCGAGCAAGCGTTGCTCCAGCTCGTTCGCAGGATGAACACGGGCTGTCGCCCGGTGTTGTTTGATTGCGTGAGAGTTAACCTCTTGATAGGTATTGTAGTCGCCCTTCTCGAACGCCATTTTGATCTTGGTTCGTGACAATTTGCCGAGAGCGGACTTTTGCAGCTGCGACTTATCGAGAGGCAACACCTGTGGTCGGGAGCCCGTGGACATCATAGCAATTTTGGAGATAGCATCGGCCGCTGTAGCTCGCGCCACAGTGTCGTCGGGGGCATAGCTTGGCAAGTACACCACGCAAATGACTTCCGTTTCACCACCCGCAGGGAATGAGGAGAAGCAACAGGTGAAGCTTGGGATTAGACCAGGGATTTTGCCTGGCTCATCTAGCGCAGTCTCAATCTCCTGCGGGCTGTACTTGACGCCGTTCACGATCATGGCTTCTTTAGCCCTGCCCATCATGTGGAGATTGCCTTGGTCGTCAATGGAAGCCAGGTCACCTGTCCGGAACCACCCGTCGCTAGTGAACGACTGCTCGTTCGCAGCTGGATTGTTGAAGTATCCCTCGAAGATGATCGGCCCCGTCAATTCGAGGTTGCCCACGCCCCCAACCGGCGCGATGGTATGGTCTGCGACGGTGGTGATTCTCATGCTTAGACCCGGCATGCACTTCCCCGTGGATGCAAACTCCAGGCCTCGTTCAAGATCGTAGCGAGGGAAGTCTAAGTTGTAGATAGCACCGCCGCATGTCTCGGTCATACCAAAGCCTGTAGCAATCACGGTCTCGGGGGCACCGTACTGAGCAAGGAGTTTTGCCACTGCAGCACCGGTCTTGGTTACATTTGCCTCACCACCCGAGGCGATATACCGCAGACATGTGAGATCCCAGTCGTATGCGATGCAGCGGTCTCCGTGGCCTTCGAGGGCGGCGCGTATGCGAGCGAGGAAGAAGTTGGGCGCAAAAGTGCGGGAGACGCGATGCCGGTGAACAATATCCAAAAAGGCGGTTGGATGCGACAAGACATCTGGCGCTTGCACATGTACCTGGTCTTTGTGTGCAAAAAGGGCTTGCAAGTGGATTTCCAAGATGGCCGCAACGTGGTCGCATCGGACCCAATTCAAGAACGAGGTCTCATCCGGTAGTGGCACCACCTTATATTTGCTGGCCAGTGCCGTGAAGATCTGACCATGGGTAAGGATAACTGCTTTGGCATGGCTGGTGCTGCCAGAGGTTAGCATCAGGATGGCGATGTCCGCGGGCTGGGCATCGCGATATACGTTGCGCAGCTCTGCGGCCGGGGCGTTGTCCATCTCCAGCGACTCCACGGCAATGGGCGTGATACCATCTTGTCCTCCAAATTCGGACAGCTTAGCAGCCGTGGTCAGACAGCTGGGATGCTTCAGGGTAGTATTTAGGTGCTCCAAATGCGATATGCGCGCTGTCAGGTTGTTAGACAGCGAGGTGGACATGGCTGGGATACAACCAGCCAGCGTAACGGCCCAGAACCAGACGATGCTTTCCCAGTGGGTGTCCAAGTGGATGAGGACCACCCGGCCTCGACGGAATTCTTCTTGTCTGCATCGCAGTGCCCATGATGCCTGCTGGGCGGTCTCCAGAAGCTGGCCATAGGAGTATGACTTGGGCTGGGTGGTGTTTTGGGGTGGATAGCAGATGATATTCCCGCTACCCTGTGTGTCGGCGACTGCCTCTAAGAGAAGTGTGATATTGGTAAACGCCATCTTCCAATGTTTCGTACTGAACTGCTTGGTAACACTCCGAAAATAGTGTGTTTAACCGAAGGAAATTATGAGCAGCGGTGAATTATATGAGGCTTGTATAAATGACATATATCCAAACCCTCCGAAGTATCAACTCAGCTACCCACATAAGCCTTGCAAGTCTCATAATCGGTACATGCTTGACCGCAATCTGAATCTGGCATTCATGTAAAGCTGCAAGGAGCCGAGAGCAATATATTCATTTTTATATTCTGTGTCACGTCTGCACATATATCAATTCAGAACCTTTCCTCCCGTCACTGGTGTTTCTCTCTCCAATCACACAATGTATGACCTCGACAAAGTTAGTCTTCTTCCCTTTACTTTATCAGAGCCACACTAACTGATATCTAGGTCATCATCATTGGGGGAGGGCCCACCGGCCTCGCAGCTGCCATCCGCCTGGCTCAACACAACAAGCTGAGTCCAGTCATCTACGAGCTTCGTGATCCAGATACTGCAGGCATCGGAGGATCTCTGGGGATTCCTGCCAATGGTCTGCGCTGCCTACACCGACTCGGGCTCTGGGACACGATTCTCCCCCACAGTGTCGATATCACCACAACCGTCCTACATTCCACATCCGGCAGCGTCCTGAGCGAAGTTGATGTCTCCACGGAAGCAAAGCAAAAAACTGGCTTCGGGTATCTCCGGATAAATCGGGTGGATCTCGTCGAGTGTCTGCGGGACGGCACGCAGAAATACCAGATCCCCATCCACTACAACAAACAGGTCACCGGCATCGAGGAACATGGGGACTCTGTCACGGTAACCTTTTCCGATGGCACAAGTGACACAGCCTCCCTCCTCCTTGGCTGCGATGGAATGCACTCGGCGGTGCGCACGCTGCACGTCGATGCAGGGATTACCCCCGTGTACTCTGGCATTGCAGCGATATCATCGATCGTGGACGACGTGATAGATCGAGATCCCAAGGACGCGGGATGCCTGCACTCGACAATTACACCTCACGGAATGCTGGCCACTGCACCGTGTGCCGCCAAGCAGGTCTTCTGGTTCTTCAGCAAGGAGGTGCCTCTTCCGACCGGCAGCTCCTCGGCCGATGTCCGCGATGGCTGGTCACTTCACCGCCAGAAAGAGCTGGCAGACTGTCGCAGCTCACTGGCGACTGTGCTAGATTGCGTGCATGGAAAGTGGGGCCAATATCTGCGCCAGCTAGTAGACACTAGCCGAGATTTGCATTTCTACCCGCATTATCGCCTGCCGCTGGGTGGTCGGTGGTTTGTGCCCTCAGCCACGCCACAGGAATCACCTCGGGTGTTGTTGATGGGAGATGCCGCGCATGCCGTGCAACCTCATGCCGGACAAGGAGTCTCCCTCGCGTTTGAGGATGTGTTGTTGTTCTCCGGACTATTGGAAAAGTATCAAGCTGGTGACTATACGGATCTGGGGGAGGTGTTTGACCGGTTCGATGTGATCCGTCGCCCGCGCATCCAGCGCATCAATGAGGTTGCATTACACAATGGCAGGATGCGCCGTAATCAGTCACCGTGGGCGGTGTGGTTCAAGGAGTGGTATATGTGGATTATGCTGCACGTCAATCGGTTCTGGGGTATGTCTATGTCTGGGGTGTTGAATGGGGATATCCTGTATGACGTTGAGACGGAACTGAAATAGCCCTATTTTATTTACATCTAGGCCTTGAAGCTTGAGAAGGCAAATACAGAATTCTACTACTTCGTACCTCTCATTCAAACAGCCAAAAAAAACAACTCTTGAATCAACAGATTAAAATGACTATCTCAACGCATCCCCAATTGGGGTGGATTGGCAAGTGTCGCTAGCATGTAATACCATTTATCGAACCCTCACTAACACGAGATTCTTGTAGGACTCGGAAACATGGGTAGTGCCATGGCGTCAAATCTCCAGAATTATCTTCATGCTCAGGGACAACTGCCATTGCGGTTCTGGAATCGCACTGCCTCTAAAGGCGAGGCTTTGACGAGTCTTGGTGGAATTCATTGCGACTCCATCGCGGACGTGGTCAGGGACAGTGGGATCATCTTCATCTCGGTAGGCATTTCATACTTGTCATCTTGTCTCGGATTTCTAATCACACAATCAGACTAGTAACGACGAAGCACTGCAGACCATCGTTGCGCAAATCATCTCGGCTGGAAATCTGACCGACAAGATCATTGTGGACACAACGACCGTCCTTCCAGATACAAGCAAGGCTGTTTCAGCCAGGTTGGCACAGGAAAATGCCTTTCTGGTGTCGGGTATGTTGATCGATTCTGATTTTATTTTATTTTATACTTTTCTAAATTCGTTCATCACACTGATGTTGTTCAGGCCCTGTATTTGGCTCTGCCCCAATGGCCGCAGAGCGAAAGATCCTGATGGTGGCTGCCGGAGCTCGCTGCACGATACACCGAATATCCCCGTACATCAAAGATGTGATAGCTCGTGATATGATTGAGGTAGCAGACGAGCCAGAAAAGGCATCCCTGCTGAAAATAATTGGGTAAGTATACTCCGTATTCTGGGCTGCAATATTTGAGTTTCATAAGGGCTAAGCAAAATGCAAGGAACTTCCTCGTATCCGGTCTGACGGAAATCATCGGTGAAGCTCAAGTCCTTGCGGAAAAGAGCGACCTGGGTACTGGGGTAGTCGAGAAGTTGCTAGAAGCCCAGTTTGGACCTCTGCCGACCATGATTTCCAAGCGGTTGACCCAGGGCGTATATATGCCGCCCAAGGGTGAGGTCACCACCCAGACACAGACTGCGATTATGCTGACCTCCTGATAGGTACATCTCCGTGGTCAAATCTAGATCTGGCTCTAAAAGATGTTCGCCACGCCATTGAATGTGGCGCTGTGGTGGAGACTAAATTGCCAGTCGGGGAAGTCGTTCTGGAGCATCTCAAACGTGCCAAGGTCTTTTCTCAGGAGCAGGATCGGCAGTTGGACTCGGCGGCTTCGTACGGTATCATTAGATGCGATGCAGGTCTAGACTTTGAGAATGAGTTTGTGAAAAGGAGGGATGCATAGACGTGGCGTTAATGTTATGCAGCCACCTTGACATGTCCATTTTGAGTGATCTGCACGAGACGTGAAGAGCTGAAGAATTTGACATTATGCCGGCCCTTCTGCAAGACTGCATGGCCGGGACGTACATGTATTTGATAGGTCACAGTTAGGGTAACAATACCGCCGATCTTATTTCTACCTTTCTCCGTCGAATTTGTAAAATAAAATAATTATTTGCAAGGCGATGTCTTATGATGGTATCTTGTCTATCCTTACTCCGTACATGCTCAGGGATTTCTCACTTGCAATTGATCATTCCCGTGGAGCGATGGACTTGACTAGACTCGCCACATCTATCTCTGAGGCAACGGAGCTACTCACCAGCCAGTCGATTGACCCTCAGCAGCGAGCAGAGCTGTCGCGGGCCTGCGAGAGACTTTCTGCAATTATTGACCAGCCGAACTCAAGATTAGAGAAAGCCACTATCGCGGTAATCCCATCTCCGGTGTACAACATAATATGGGCTTTCATTGTATTGACGCCGAGTAGACAACCCCAATCGTAGCCGCCCGTGTCGCCATCGATATTGGAATATTTGACTTTGTCCTTAATTCGCTAAAAGAGGAATTCACGAGCGACGAAATTGCATCGCATACAGGTGGAGATACATTACTTGTTTGTAAGACAACCATCCCCATTTCCCATAACCCACAGATAACTAATCCAAATGACCAGGCCGTATCTTGCGGTCATTGACAGCGTCTGGTATATTCAATGTCACACCAGCAGGGACTTACAAACCCGATCCTGTGGTGAAGGATCTTGCTCGGGGTGGCTATTTAGCAAGCCGGATCGTGATGAACTTGTAAGTCTTTATGCATATCCAAAGAATTACGGTATCTTCCGCTATACTAACTCTTCATGCATTATATCAGTGACATTCACTTCCAAATATTTGCCAAACTTCCCCAATACCTAAGGGAGACCCAATACAGATCTCCTGCAAACGCCTACGCGGGACCCTTTCAATATGTCTTTGACACAAACGAGCATTATTTCGACTGGATGAAGTCACATCCGTCTCAACTCGATGCCTTTAATCGTACAATGCAGGCCGGTGTTGTACGTGACAATTCTGCGCGGTGGACCCAAATATTCCCTGTCGCGCAGCGATTCCAGCAATTCATGAGTGCCAGCTTTCCTGTTGATAAAGGGCTTCAACTAGTGGATGTCGGAGGTGGCATCGGCCACGAAATCCAAATTTTGCTTGAGACGCTTCCATCTCTCCGAGGACATTTTGTTCTGCAAGACGTACCCGGCGTTATCCAAAGCATGCTACCGGAACTCCAGAAAACCACGGTCCCCACGCAGACAGTACAGGCCATGCCTTACAGCTTCTTTGAGTCACAGCCCGTAACAGGCGCACACGTCTACTTCCTGGGCCGTGTTCTTCACGATTGGCCGGACAACGAGGCACGGAGAATTCTACATCACATTCGAAACGCAATGGGTAAAGACTCCCTGCTCCTCATTCACGATCGCGTGTTGCCAGATGGTCCGGCGAAGGTCCATCTATCAGACACCATTATGGATTTCAATATGATGGCTTTATGTTCGTCGCTAGAACGAACGGAGACGCAATTTCGAGACCTGCTTGTCTCCGAGGGACTTGACATGGTGCGGGTGTGGCGGCCAGCCACTGCTGGTCTTCATCGACAAGCGGTGCTCGAGGTGGTCTTGGCGGGTTCTCCAGATGATGAATAGGGATTGTTGGGCTGAGCTACCGTTTCAATCTGCATGATAGGTCATCAGTGTGCCTCGACACCAAATATAATGCCAAGTACCTAGCAGCAGTTGTAGCTCATACGGAATCAATATGATTGGATAACAGCAGTGTAGGGTAGGAGTTTGTGTAATAGATGAGCTGTTGAGAAGCCAAGAACTGAGTCCTGCGTTATGCAATCCATTATGCAGTCGGGTCCAGTGCAAACAGAATCAATTACCATTTTGGATAGATAGTTGCTACGTGGTTATTATTGCCAGTCTGTCGCTTATGATTCTCTGAGATTCGATAGTTTCAATTTCAAAGATCATGCACCATAGTTCCTTTCTGGCTATCATACATATCTCCCAAGCGATCTGTCATGAGTTCTCAGACTTTGAATGCAGTATATTTCTTCCTTTTATTTCATTCTTTCGATAGAACATATGCAAGATGTGTGTATTAAACTTGGCTAGACTAAAACTCCCGTTCAATTGCAATAACAGATAGTGATGCATTCGATTATAAAACTTCTACACCTTTGTCGGAATATATCGAAAACTATTCTGACATTTTACTTGCCCACACCATACATAAATCTGTATCGTTTTCACAAGTTGAATGCGAGTAAAAATAAACAGAGATTTTCGTAAAATTTCAAGTAGAATTCGATATCAATAGACATCACCTCCATTGATCTCTACCCGATCAAGCCGCTCGGACCAGCCCCAGGGCTCCCTGTTGAAGATTGACGGTCATCCCATTTACCACATCAACACGGAACTTGTTAAGATCCGACTTGAGTTCCGCCTTCTTTATGCGATCACACGTCAGCTCGCCACGTTCATCTTCACACAGTGTTTTCCCGTTTGGAGCTATGTCCGTGGTCCCATCCACTTTACGAATGACTCGCATGCAGAACTCCACTGAATCGGTCACGTCCTGTTTACTCAGCTTTCCTCCACCAATCTCCACAGTCCCTTGGATGACTGGAATAGAGATTAGCAAGGGAAGGAAATGGGTAAAAGAAATGGAAAGAGACTTACTAGGTCGGAAGAAGCTAAAGGCACGATCAAAGTTTTCCTCCTCATACTCATTCAATACAGGGCGCTCCTGTCCTGTGATTTGCGCATATGCACTAGTGACCACCAGGAGAAACCGTGTATAGGCCTCTCGGATCTTTTCCGAGTGCCAGGTGACCGCCGTCTGTTCGGTGCAGTCCCCCTTGATTGACGCACAGATAGAGGCGGCGGCAGAGAGCGCTCCGGTGAATGCCAGATGCACACCCGAAGAGAAGAGAGGGTCGATGAAGCACCCGGCATCTCCAACTATGCGGATGTAAGGACTAGCGTAGCTTGAGGCACTGTACGACCAATCGGTGGCTGATTTGACTTCCGATACGAGTGTGGCGTTTTCCAGCAATTCAGAAATCATTGGAGCGTCTTTCATGTGCGTCAGAAAGAAGTCGCGCGTTGTAGGCGACGCCATCTCTTTCTTCTTAGCTGTGAAGCTGGCCTGTTGCATGACCACGCCAACGGAGGTTGTGTTGTTGTGAAGAGGAATAAACCACGCCCAGCCGGATCCATCTAAGAGAGCACCCAATTTTAGCGCCCTATTTCAATGTCACATCAATCTGAAATTGCGTCGACATAGTTACCTTGTAGCCGGGGGAAGAAAGGGCCCCCTTCTGCGGGTGTACCCTTTCCATACGTTCCAGCTCCCTCAAAATATCCCCAAGTCGCGATATTCTTAAGGCCTTCGTTATATCGGCGGTTCTTCATATACTTGGTACTAACCAAGCCTGCTCGTCCACTGGCATCCACCAAGTACTGGAATCGAACTGTACCCCTGGCTGTCTTGTCCTTGCGTGTCCAGGAGGCAGAAACGGGCCGTCCTTGCTTGGAATTGTCATGGCCTTCCTGGCAGCCAGTGGGGAGGAACTCAATTCCATTGACTTTCACTCCATCGAACACTTTGGCACCACTAGCTCCCGCATGTTCGAAGAGAATCTGGTCGCACTCGGACCGAATCACATTCCATGCATGTCCACCAAATGCAAGGAAGTTTGTGTCTAGATAGTGCTGAGTTAGTCGTGCCTTTGGGAAGATCATCATGGTAGTTCTTTACATGCTGCTGGTTTGCTATTATAGCTGAACGAAGCTCCATTCTGTAATATGGTTAGTTGGCCTTCGAAACACTTTCAAGATCATGCTGACCTTATGAATGAATCCATGGCTTTCAAACTTGTCATACACGTCAATGAATTTCAAGAACTCTCGTGTGGACGGCAACAAGCTCTCGCCAATGTGGTATCTAAATTTCGAGTCAATCGTCCGTTCTTTAGAAAAGAGATGTGGCTTCACTCACCGAGGGAACACATCGGCTTCTAGCAAGACGGTAGAGATTCCTTCCCGTGCCAGCACCGAAGCAGCATATGACCCTCCTGGCCCACCACCTACCACCAGCACAGTACATTCTTCCGGAATAGACATGGTGACTTGAGATAAAGCAAATTTCAGATTTCAGGATGCTGATATAGATGTTGAGTAGGACTCGAGACAATCCAGTAGATTTTAAACCCAAACCTAGCGGGAATTCTCTCTTTTTGAGACAGGGATATTCATGTAGACTGTAAATATATTTTTTAATCCCCGATTTCGGCTATCTCCGACAAGATCGTGCTTGATCTGATCCCTAGATTGCCTGTTTGGGAGATACACTCATCAATTTCTAAAAGAAGAAAATTAAAGTAAGAAAGCACACCGATATAGCTAATTAACATGAAATCTTAATCGTAGAGTCCTTGCATAGAGATAGGCTGCTGTGTTACTCCGATCGTAGCTTAGAGCTTTATGCACATTGCTCCGCGACCTGAGATTTGAGATGCTTCATTTATAACTGTAAATACGAAAGGAAAATATGATATCACAAATCTGCATCTAGAAGGTTTAAAAAACAGAAATTACACACCGAAATTTGTCTGCACAATGTTCTTCATCTATGCCATGTGGTCTTCAGCTTAGAAATAGCGGTATGTTAACATGCAGCTTCATTATGGAACATGCATGCTAGTTGTTATCGTGACACGAACATCCAAATATGATAGAGATTTCTTTTGCTAGTTATACAATCTTGACCGTTAAATTGTTCAATCCGGTGGATTCTGAAATATGTCTATACTTCAATACACTGGAATACGAACGAACCATTTCATACATATCTATCCGCAAATTCCAAACTCACTATACTTGATTTAGCACGCTCGTAGGATGGCATATTGGCACATCGACTCATAGATACTCTATCTTTCAATTTTCCTCAACAGAATTTTCACCCCCAAATCTGCCAAGTTGTGCCTCTTGATCTTGAAACCTGCCGGCAGACTTCCCTGCAATTTGATCTCGAAATGAAACAGCAGATATGCCAGAATGAGCCGAACCTCATCGGCTGCGAAAAAGCGACCTGGGCTGAAAAAGGACAAACGATTAATATGAATATCTAGATGGAACCTGCCGAGACGATGGAATATCAAAAAGGGACAACATACCAGACGTGTTTTCCATCTCCAAACTGAAGATAATGAGGATTTGTAGAAGTATACTTGAATGCCTCAGGTGTTTCGGAACTCTTGGCAAGGTCATAGAATCGAAGACCATCGAATTCAAGGGGGTTCTTGATATATTTTTCATCAAATAACATGGCCGCGTTCGGCGTTAAGAGAACTGTCCCCTTAGGAATTCGAAGACCATTCTTGAATTGAAAGTCCTTCTTGACCACACGGGGAGTTCCAGCGTGATCAAAGCAGTTGAACCGATGGGACTCCTTGATAAAACTATCCAGTCTCTTCATCGACTCAATCCCTTCTTTGGTCCAAGTGTCATTGTGGGCTGAAAGAGTCGATACGACCTCTTGTCGGAGGAGATCTACATATTCTGGCCTGGCGGCAAGCTCGCAGAGACATTGGACAAGGACGACGGTAGTGTTGAAACTGGCCCCGAACGTATTGGCAGCAAGTAGCTGGGCAATGTCCAGCTCATTATGACCACTATTTGTGTCCTGCTGGGACCATCGCCAGAACCAATCTGTCAAGTCCTATATGCAAGGTTTCAGTAATGGGAATGCAACGGCCGGGGTTTCTTTGAACTGAAAGGACAATGAAAGGAGAAAATCGATACTTACTTCGGGCTGTCTCCCTTCCTTTGCCATCTCTTCCGACTTGATCTTTCGTCTGTTGATCAGATCAAGGAAGAGGCTCTGCATTTTATTTGATAGCATAACAACACGAGATGAGCGTGCTATAATACTTTCAGCAATACCATAAAGGTCAGCATAATGAAGATACCAAGAAGAAGGGAAATCCAACTTACGGCTTCAAAAACTCCGGAAAGCTCCTGATATATGGTCCCCCAATTATGATTTCGGCCGTATAATCACAGAAAAGATCGATGTTCGCTGGATTTCGGCATCCATCCCCTATTAGTAACTTTGCCACAAGTCCCATTGTAAGACGTCTGGCCATGGTATAACAATCCAAAACATTCCAGCCGCCATCAACCTTCATATGCTCCTTCACCTCCTGTTCGAATGAGTACTCGAGTTCCCGGATGAAATTTGGGAAATATTGATCTGAGGATCTTGTGCGGCTTCGGGACCAGGTGAGGGCTTTACTCATCATTGAGCTTGGAATTTTATGAAATAATCCGGGTGCCGTAAACTTGGACTGGAAGAACTATAGTACACTTGACGATTAGTTTATTGTAACCATTCATGTGTAATATAGTCACAGATTGGATGGTAAATTACCTACCCCTTGTATTGGAGCTGTGGAAGACAGGTAATCATCCGGAGCATTGAGATACTCCCTGATCATCGCATCGTTGCAAATACAGACATCCCAGCCGGTTGGTGTGGCCACTTGGAATGCAAAGTCTCCATGCTATGTTGACAAAGTAAGATATCTCTCCATCATGGAAAGGTGAAGTAGAGCATATTCACCAGATCATATCCTTCTTGTAGCAACTGAGGGCCACATCTGCCCCAACGACGGGCGGCCCTCCACGATTCAAATATCCCTTCTCCTCCCACGACGGGAACATCGACCTAACATGGTGGAAAAATACATCAGCTAGGTCTCAATATCAAAGAAGTGATATGGCAAAAGTAAATGGGAGGAAAATACACACCCATGATTGGTAGTATTGCATCCACCGACGGATCACCAGTAGGATGATAGTTGCACTGCCTAGAAAAGCGAGTGGAGGATCAAACAAAATAGTAGATAATGCCATTATCAATCCCTTGGCCTAGTAAGATGGTTGATTTCCCGGGGCGAGGTTGTTCAGGAATTGAGGGATATGAAGGGGATGTCGAGGAACAGCGGACATCCATGGATAGCCCCACACAGGCCTTGGGATAAAAATCAGGCAGATTAGCTCAAGGTATCAGCACGTCCGGTGGAAGCTAATGTTGTAGAAGGGGTATAATCCTTGCGTTTTCTCGGGGTACTGGAGCAATCAAATTTTAGTGGTATATAGAGTTGATCACACCTGCAGCTGGCACCGGCCAGACCTAATATTACATGACAGATATTATTTGCACTCCCCCTTTTTGCTAAGTCGCATGTCTGCTGAAACTACGAGTAGTACCATTGAGATGGCTTTCGCTGCTTGCTAATTGATTTATTATACCCTAAGGTAAAATCTAAGAAGATGCTAGGGGTGAATGGTGGACTTAGGAAATAGACACCGAGGGTGTATCGCAGAGGTGAAAAGAATTAATGACAACTCCTCTGAAAAATGTATAGAAGCTAATATACAGGTTTATAGGTCATATAGCCCTTGGCAGGACAGGAACTACACCTAGATTGCTGTAACAGTCTCAGGAGCCCAAGTCACATGTGAGGAGCTGTGTACTTCACGCCTAAGATCGACAGTAATCGTGCCAAGCGCCTAACGCTTTTTCTAGAGAAGGTAGGTCCCACCGATAGTAAAAATCAATAAAAAATATATTATTACCCGTTTAGGACTAGATCCGTTTACTAAGCCCCTCTATAATATATTACCTGTTTTACGATTTCACCTTCTTACTTTCTCCACTCTTCACATCCACGCACATCATTTTACTACCACGTTAAACTAGTTCTTTATAGACCTCATTAAAAACATTTAGAGGGCCGGCATCTCCCGCCCTCCGCCCGACCCTCCGCCCTTTAAGGGCCGCTCGAGGGCGGCCCTTATCGGCCCTAACTCTATTCTAGGACAAATACCTTAGGGTATTTGGATTTTAGGTGGTTTGATTGGCTCCCGGAAGGTGGGTCTAGCTTAGGTATTTGGTGTTGTAAATACCTGACTTCCTATGCTCCGATTAGTCTAAAGATTTGTAGAGTTCTATTTTACCTATATAGGAGGGTGCTATCAAAATTTGGAATCGATACCTACCCGGGAAGGTGGTTAAATATTAAGTTGAAAATCGATCTTTTCTTTTAGTGGGGTGCGACCGTAGATTTCAATACGGGGTCCCGTACAAATCCGTATCTATCTTATCTTCGAGTGCATGCTTATCATTGCCTTGTATGGTGTTCCCATCAGGGATTCGACATACTGGGCCTGAGCTGAATAGTACATGCTCTGATTACGACAACAAGGGTTCGCCAACCAATTGTGACAATGCCCGAGATGATTTTGCAGCCGTCTTAGGCTCAGACCACACCTATCTGATGTTACATTTCTAGCGGAGCTGAAGGAAGACGGCCGTCTACCCTAGACAGGCCCCGAAATAAGACATTGTATGGGAACATCATACAGGCATCGAGCAAATCAGATAGCATCGCAACCCTTTCCATGATTTACAACGGCCCACACCTCTCGTGCTAAATTCCTATTGCTCAACGCAGACAAGGCAGATTTTCTCTTGGCTTGTGTCTGCTCGTGTTAATTCTCTTGAATGATGATGTTCTCCCTTGGGCACTCGGGGTAGTCAACTGATATAGATCACTTGTTTCCGGTTGCGCAGTCCCTCTTTCTTGTCAGTCTCTAGTATCATGTCGGTGAATCTTGATGATATTCAATTTTACCGTGGCCCATCCAAGCCCAGAGCTCAACCTTGGCTTTCGACAGCAAGCGGAACATGTCTGGTACCCCATTGTCGGCTCGGCCACCTGAATTTGCAAACGACTCGACCCCTTCGGTGATAGACCACTACGAACCCCTTTCTCCAGTCCCTCATCCAGATAATATCACACACCAGAAAACACTTCAGCCACCAAATATATTTGATATTGAGATGAGTATGATATTAGAAACAGTGCCAACAACCGAAGATTCCTATGAAAGCGGTGCCTCTTTTGCACAAACGCTTAGCTGTCATCTCCAAGAGCTGTCAAGCAAAGGGGTGTCTGAAAATCGTAAGTTGAAGCTCCGAAATGTTCTTCATCACAGACTGCTAATCATTTCTATCTACAGCGGCATCGCGTGCTTTACGTGAAACGATTGAATTCGACAGTTCAGGCTTAGTTCCAAGGTACCATTCATTTTGCAACAGACCATCGTCATCCCCTGCTTTGAATATTCCGAAGTCCCCTTCACCAAGCATAGTGGATTGGTCGTCTATTGGTTCGTTAGCTCTAGAAGACACCCAGCAGCAACAAGCCCATCTCCCACGTGCAACCGCCGAATCTTCCAGTCCAGCCAATATCGAGGAAGTTTCCAATAGATGTGGTACATATCGTGAAAACTCTTCAAGCACTCCGTTCTCTTGTACCTCATCCTACCAAGGTCTCGCCTCCAGGACAACAAACGGGAGAAGCGCATCCTTATCTTTGCCGGATGATAGCCCTGGTGGCCGTCAGATTAGCCACATCGGATTAGAGTCGGATTCCTGTCCTACGAGCGTTGCTGTGGCAGATAGTCCCAAGCCAGCCAATCCACTACATGTCAACACACCAGATTTGGCCAATGTAGAACAAGCCACCAACTGTGGTCATGATGTTTCTCAATCAAGAGCAGCTAGTATCTCGGCAGGCACTCCTCCAATGCGCGGGAAGAGCAGAGAATACAGACAGCCTTCTACTGCCACACTATATACTGCATCTAAAGAGCGACGTATGTCTGTCGCTATCGCTGTGGTGATACCCCCGCCACGCCCACACCATTTACGCGGTATGCGTTCGAGCGCAAAACCTGTTTTACTAGATGCCGACCACAGCGACAACAGCAAAAGCTTCGATGATACCTCGGACGAAGTCTTCACAAATGAGTCAATTGAATCAGAATCCTCGGAATTTGAAGACCACCAAGGCTCTATGGAGGCAGACGATCACTCAAATATGGCCGCTTTATGTCATGCTAACGACAAGTCCCTGAATTCCTCAACAAGCCATCGCGGGTGTAAAGATATTATTGGGCGGGCAATCCTCACCATGGAAACCCTAGGGCGTGATCCCACTTACTTTTTCACCTTTACGCCCGACAATGTCCGCTCGACGCCATATAAGCCTATCCAAAGTTCTCCTCGTGAATCCGAGAGACCGGCTAGAATTAGAAAGATCCAAGTAACCAGAGGCTGTTCCCACGACAAAAGGAAACGTCAGCTATATACAACCGACGAAGACCGTTTACTCGTGAAGCTGAAGGAAGAAAGGAAGTTAGCGTGGGGGGAGATCACGAGTCACTTTCCTGGTCGCAAATCATCATCATTACAGGTACACTATTCTACCAAATTGAGGCCTAGAAAAACCAATAAAAGTTGCCTGCGAAGCCGGAAGGGAGCCAGAAACTGAAAATACATACTCTTAAAGTACTTCTCGTCTTTGTACCCTCGCCCCCTTCGAATCTATGGATATCCAATCTTAAAACAGAGGACTTGCCATTCGACCAAAAAGCAACGCTGCTTATTGGTGTCAGGCTTATATCTCAACATCCAACAGTACGTCAATGAGACCTACCAAGAGTAGATTTATATCACGACATATTTTTGTCATCATGGGCGTAGAAGAAGCTCTAGGGCAGACGCAGTGAAGACAGACTTATTTCGTTGCCAATATACAATCAATCTATATGCCGAGACCATAATAATATCGGCCGGGTCGTTATAATGTCAAGAAAAAAAAAAAAAAACTGATGAAAAACGCCATCTGGCCGAATTCCCCCCCCCCCCCCCCCCCCTTCCTCTGGGGTATTCATTGGGCTCTCCAGGGCCTAAAGAGTATGAAGAAGGTGAGGCGAGCAGATCCTTGCTACTTTTCGTCCGGCGTGTGACTTTATGTGCGGCCCGTAGTCGGGTGGGTGTCGCCAGGGTGAGTTTAGGGTGAGCGCCGCTTTGAAGTCGCGAGACCGGGGGTGACAAGGGCGAGTGCGCTATAGACAGGGTGAGAATCTGGGTGAAAATCACGCAGGTCGCGCGACCACACTGACCCCTCGACTGGATGAGAAACGAGAAATCATTGGATACGATTAATTTTCCTGACACACCAGGTATCTTGGCATCTGCACACAGCCACCGTATGTGCTGTCAAAGTAATGTTTCATTGCTCCACAAAAGGTACCGCACCGAGCTGTATGCAAGAAGCGACTGATGTACAATTATACAAGTCAGTCTCCAACGAAGTGAATGACTGGTAAAACTAGATACCTAGGCGGTTCGGTGGCTGGAAGTCAGCACTATGGATGTTGGTTTGTTGACCATTGGCTCCTAGTGTAGTGGAGCTAATGGCGTTTAGCTCTCTTGTAAGTGCACTACATCTTCTTCACCTCACCACCTTTTCTAGACAACGCTAGCCTGCTAAAACTAGTACACGCTATGATACCAAACAATTATCCACTCCTAGAAGCATTTCAAAAAGCAACAGAACTCAAACTCTGTCCAAATCGCATATGGGCTGTTGCAGGAGAGAACTTACCCAACTTGCTACCCGATCTCGACTTGATCCCAGGTACCAGAGACAAGGTTGACGGGCATTGGAACTACCCTGAGCATGATGGGTGCACACCTGATTTTTGCGAGCACTCTCAACGTGATTTCACAGCGGTTCAACAACGTCACGAGTGCAAAAAAAAGACCCGATGCATGCAACTTCGATTTAAATTTCCGAGAGATAAACTGGAGGAAGCTGCACGCAATGGAAAGCCAACTGTGTGGAACCTAGCCGGACCTTCTATCCTTGAACCTCCTCAGCCATATATGGCCATTTCTCATGTCTGGTCAGACGGAACTGGGACCGGAGCCTGGAAAGACGGAGAAGTTAACGAGTGCTTGTATGAATTTTTCAAAGACATTGCAAAACAGTTCCAATGTGAAGGGATCTGGTGGGACACGATTTGCATTCCTCGCCCAAAAGCCGCCCGCAACAAAGCTATCCAAAAGATCCAGAGCAGCTACGAAGACGCCCGAATCACCTTGGTGCACGATTGTTTCCTCCGAAACTGGACTTGGGATCCGAAAACTGCCTGTTTTGCCATTCTGATGTCGCCTTGGTTCAGTCGAGGCTGGACTGCCCTGGAATTGAAGAAGTCGCGTAAAGTCAAGGTGATCTTTAAAGGACCCTGTGGCCCTGTCATCAAAGATCTTGACGAAGAGATTCTCGCAAAGAATGATGAGACCGACATTCCCCGCAAAGAAGCTTCTCAGATTATCAGGAATCTCCGGAAAGACATTACGACACTGAATGACCTTTTGATCGCGTTGGGCTCGCGCTATACGTCTTGGCCTAAAGACATAGCCACTATCTCTGCGCTACTAGTGGGTATCGCTCGAGAGGACCTGCAGCAAGAAACCTACGTGAGCATTCTGAAGAAATTCCGCCGGATTGCCCCTGGACACCTCTTCCACAACTCTGTGACTATGTCCAAAGGACTCGACTGGTCTCCGACGAATATCTTTAATATGCCTCTAGACTCCTCCGACCCTTCCCTAAATACCCTAACCATTTCAACAAATGGTGACATCCATGGGGAGTGGCGTGTTATTCCTATAGAGGCCGAACTCAAAGACAAGTGCTGGTGGAAGAACACGCATCCTCTGATGATACAGAAGCTCCAAGATGCCCTGAGACGCCCTCAGCAGCATCGGCTCTTAGCCGAGTGCCGCCCCGGGGAGTGCCGCCCCGGGCAAGAGACGAAGCCGGTAGAAAGGGCGTTGGTTGTGAGAAGAGTGGAAGGATCCCTCTATAAATACATTGGAGCCGTAGAATTTCACCAGGAGCTGAGAGAAAAGGATGGGGAGAACTGCGCCCACGCGAAAGCGGAAGTGATCATAGCCGGGATGACAGGAGACAGGAGACTACCCTCTTCAAACATCGAAAGAGACGACAGATCAAACAATACTGTTGTGGCCGAGAGCCCGTTACACTGTGCGATATGGAGAGGGCATTACAACACTTTCAAGAATCTCATTCACGGCGACAAAGACATCCTAGACGCTGCGGACCAATTTGGACGGCGGCCACTACATCTTGCAGCGGAGCGAGGACATCTGGAGATGGTCCAAGATTTGATATATCACAAAGCTGCCTTGAATGTACAGTGTCATCATGGGCAGACTGCGTTGCATCGCGCTGCGTGGGCAGGCTCCTTTGTTGTTATGAAAGAACTCTTGGAAAATGAAATCGATTCATTAAAGAAAGACAAGAATCGGAATACTGCATTGCACATAGCAGCAAAAATGGGATTTGCATCCGCTGCAAAGTCTCTCCTCAAGAGCACCGATGTTAATGTGAAGGGCTGTAATGATCTGACCCCTCTACACCTCGCGGCGATGAGCGGGCACAGAGCAGTGGCAGAGGTGCTTAAGGGTGCCGATGTCGAAGCTAAGGACAACAAAATTGGTTGGACTCCGCTACATTGCGCAGCCGATAACGGGGACCCGGAGTTAGTCGAACACCTGATCAAATGTGGCGCGGCAGTCAACACGCATGATGACCAGGTCGGTTGGACACCCCTACATATCGCGGCGATTACCGGGCACAAAGCGGTCGTCGATCTTTTACTTGACAAGGGCGCCTATAGCACAGCTAAAGACAAATACGATTGGACGCCGCTACAATTCGCGGAAATGAATGGGCATGCGGAGGTAGTTGAGCTACTCCATAGCGAAGACAGCATGGGCGCTGACACAATATCTGCACACGAGGGCTTTTGGACACCGCTGCACTGCAAAGCGATCAACAACGAGCATGGAATGGTCAAGCTATTGGTCGACAATGGTGCTGACGTCTATTGTACTAACAAAGATGAGAGTTGGACACCACTTCAATTTGCGGCAGAGAACGAGCTCCGAACTGCGATCCGCCGGCTGCTCGAAAAAGGTGCCAATTTCATGGCAAATAATAGCCAGCCGCCGCTGCACGGGGGCGCCCGCCGCGGGTATGACCTCCGAACTGCGATGCAGCCGCTGCTCAACAAAGAGGCCAAAGACTGGAAAAAATGCACGCCACTGCACTGGGCTGCCAAGTACGGGCGCGAGGCAGTCACGCGGCAGCTACTCGAGGAGGGTGCCGAAAAGGAGGCTCAGGATTCAGATGGCTGGAGGCCGCTACACTGGGCCGTCGAGTGCGGACAAGACGGGGTCGTGCGGGAACTGCTTGCCGCGGGTGCCGACAAGGAGGCTCAAACTAGGTATGAGAGCTGGAGCCCGCTACACCGGGCCGTTGAGCGCGGGCACAAGGTGATCGTGTGGGAACTACTCGCCGCGGGCGCCGATACGGAGGCTATGGACGGGTATTGCTGGACGCCACTAGCTACGGCCGCCAGGCACGGGCACAAGGCGATGGTGCGGGAACTACTCGCCGCGGGCGCCGATAAGGAGGCTAGAGTGCACGGTATGACGCCGCTCCACTGGGCCGCCGAGCACGGGCACAAGGCGGTCGTGCGGAGTCTGCTCGCCGTAGGCGCCGATAAGGAGGCTAGAGCGTGTGACAAGACGCCGCTCCACTGGGCCGCCGAGCACGGGCACGAGGCGACCGTGCGGGAACTGCTAGCCGCGGGCGCTGACAAGGAGGCTAAAACCTCGAATGGCATATTGCCACTATACTTAGCCACCGAGCGCGGGCACGAGGCGGTCGCCCACCTGCTGAACGCGAGCGCCTAATTCTATTCTAGGACACATACCTGGTAGGTATGTGGATTTTAGGTGGTTTGATTGGCTCCCGGAAAGTGGGGGGGGGACCAGGTATTTCGACTCATAAATACCTGGTCTAGACTACTCCGATTAGTCTAAAAATTTATAACATTCTATTCTAACTATATCTAAAGGTGCTAACAAAATTTAGAGTCGATAGCTACCCGGGAAGGTGGTTAAATATTAAGTTGAAAATCGATCTTTTTTTTTGGTGGGGTGCGACCGTAGATTTCAATATAGGATCCCGTATAAATCCGTATCTATCTTATCTTAGTAACCTAGTAGTAAAAATATCATATTGTATTCGTATTTACGCGGGTACGTAATTTTAATAGCGGCCACTACGAAAATATATCTTTTTAATTTTTATTCTGTGAGTAATTTAGCAGATAGAATATTATAGCCTAATAGTAGGTTATAATATTTTATAGAGGAAGTAATATCTTATATAATATGATTATATAAGATATAGTATTGAAGGTTATACTTATCCTAAATAGGAGATAAAGATATATGTATATGGATGAGAATATATTAAGAAGTATATTATTATTCTATTAGAGAGTAGACTGTCACCCTTTTTATAGACATTTTAGGAGGCAAATATAAGATAATATAAGATATCATATTATCTCACGATTTATGGCGATTTAGAAGTGAATCATAATATAGTTTACCACTATTAGTATATCCTTAGATATAGTAATAGTTACCAGTAATTTATATATGATATCCTTCACACCATTATACTCTACTATAATATACTATTATACCAAGATATTCCTTAGGTGATCAGCTATTAGGTAATTATATTAAAGTTATAAAATACACTATTATATAGAGTTTTAGGGCTATAAAATGCACTATTCAGATTCTTTATAGCTAGGCTAGAAGGGGAGATATAAATAGATTTAGATAAATATATGAAAATTACTACTATATCAACTTCGATATATATATATCTATACTATATATATATCTATATTATACATTTATACTACTTCTATCGTACAATTTAATTAATTAGATACTATATAAGTGTATAGGTACTAGATATAGAGGATTACGTAATAAAAATTGAAAATATCCTACTATATTTAATCTAAGCGCTTGACTATTTACTACGTCTATTTACTATTTGCTATTGTTATGGGGCCGTCGTACTTCGTACGAAGCCCTATGGAAGATGCTTGCTTATGCTGCGCGGAATCTGCCAAACGTTACCGCCTTCGACGGAATATGTACACATTTGTTAGCTCAGGAGAACTCCTCTCCTCAACGAAACCTTCTTGTTCTTAAAACCCGTCTAAGTTGCACAACTAGGCTAGTTCCGTAACAGGCCCAGAGGGGGCTCTGGCAAATCAGCGGGCCTCTGGCATAGAGGGGGGCTGCAGCCTAAGGCCAGTTGGTCAGGCAGCCTTTGCTACAGAGAGGGGCAAAGAGGGGGCTGTAGCATAGAGGGGGGGCTGCAGCCTCAGGCCAGTTAGCCAGGGAGCCTTTGCTGCAGAGAGGGGCCCAGAGGGGGCCTCTGGCAAATCAGCGGGCCTTTGCTATAGAGAGTATAAGTGCAGAATAATACTTAGGCTATAGGATCTATTTAACTCATTATGTAGGCACGAGCTTAGACCGTAGCCTCTACCAAGGCCCAGCCCCCTCCGGGTAACCGGCTTGGGTAGGAGCGTTAGGCGCAGCCCCCCACTAATGCCCAGCCTCCTCCGGCCTCCGGGTAACCGGCTTAGGTAGGAGCGTTAGGCGCAGCCCCCCACTAATGCCCAGCCCCCTCCGGCCTCCGGGTAACCGGCTTAGGTAGGAGCGTTAGGCGCAGCCCCCCACTAATACCCAGCCCCCCGGCCTCCGGGTAACCGGGTTAGGCAGCAGTGGGGCGCAGCCCCCTAATAATGCCCAGCCCCCTCCGGGTAACCGGCTTAGGCAGCGGCCTCTCCTATTTACTTACGAACCTATCGGCCTTCGGCCTTTACTAACTACCGAGACGAGAGATATATATACTCCCAACCGCCCCCTAACTATACCCCCTTTGTTCTTTATCATTAACGATATATATATATCTTTACCTTTTCACTTTTTCATCTTATCTACCTCGCTATGTCAACACCTCACCTACCCACTTTCCTCACCTATCTAGATGAATTTCATCTTCTTATCTACACTATTTGCCGGCAGGCCATTCCGAGCAAGGACCCCCTACCCCATATAGCTAAGCATGACCCTACGATCTCAACAAACCAACCAATGCTTAGCTATATAGAGTGCCTTTTCACAACACTACGCCCTATCACTAAAGCCTATGCTATGATTAGGCTAGTAAGCCCTATCCCCCCTATCCCTAGTTTGCCCGTCCCTACCCTTAGGTCCCAATGCCTCTACGAGAACTGCTTCACTATTTCTATAGGCGAGCCGCAGGGTCTTATTCACCTCCGCAATACCCATAGCCTTCGAGGGCCTACGTCTAAGCTTAATAAGCACCTTATAGCCTACCACTACCAAGGGCTCCAGAAGAACCGGTTCTTCTTCGCCACCCAGGGCCCCCACCCTCAGGGCTCCCAGCCCCAAGCCTCTCAGGGCTCCCAGCCCCAAGCCTCTCAGGATCCCCAGCCCCAAGCCTCTCAGGATCCCGAGCCCCAAGCCTCTCAGGCCCCCGAGCGCCAGGCCTCTCAGGCCCCCGAGTCCCAGGCCGCTACTACAGTCCTAGCCCAGCTCCGAGCCTACCATACAAGCCAGCAGCCCGCTAGCCAGCCCCGCACGCTAGGCCCTACTAGCCGCCACGAAGTGACTACTTTTCAGCGGCTCACAGGCTATATAGACCTAATCGGCAACCGAGACCTTTCGAAAATAGGGGGGCTATTTAACCTTAGCATACCCGACGCCCAACTACCTCCCGACGACCTTAGGAAGTTCCTCCTACTTACTATTTGCTCTCTCTTTAAGGCCTCTAACGCCCTTATCTCTCAGACTAGCCGCTCAGCCCTAGTCAAGCTTATGCAATTTAGCTCTGAGAGGGAGGGTATTAGGCCTTTTAGGTCCTATCCCATGGGGGTTGTTGCAGTCTAGTAGACTGGAATTAGGACATTGCCTTAAGTATGGTGGATAAAAGTGGGGCCATGAGTAGACTGGAATACTTTTCGTGAGTAGACTGGAAAAGCTTCTCGTACGAGGATGAAGCTCAAAATTTGTAAAGTTCTATCCCATGGGGGTTGTTGCAGTCTAGTAGACTGGAATTAGGACTTTGCCTTAAGTATGGTGGATAAAAGTGGGGCCATGAGTAGACTGGAATACTTTTCGTCAGTAGACTGGAAAAGCTTCTCGTACGAGGATAAAGCTCAAAATTTGTAAAGTTCTATTCTAGACTATAAAGATTATGGTCACCGAATTTTAGAGTAATTGACCAAGTTATAAAGGTGTGGTGGCTGATTGAAAATCGGAATTATTTTTGATGGGGTGCGACCGTACGAAGGGCCAGCACTCTTCAACTTTATTTTAAAATATATATTTTAAGTTAGGATTACTTATAGATTCATATTCTAATCCATGGTATATTTACATGTTGTCCCATTATTAATTTTTTCGTACAATTTAAGCTCCAGGTAGGACTGTCAAGATTGTTTGGTCCATGGGATATTCATGCCTTGTCCCATTATTCATGTATCATCCATTAGTGATGTCTCGTACGATTCAAGCTCTAGGCAGGACTGTCACATATGATATTCATAGCTTATCCCATTGTTGAAGGCTCATCCTATTGTTGATACCTTGTCCCATTATTCATGTATCGTCCATTAGTGATATCTCGTACGATTCAAGCTCCAGGAAGGACTGTCAGAGTTGTTGGGTCCATGGCATATTCATGGCTTATCCTATTGATGAAGGCTTGTCCTATTGATGACGGCTTATCCCATTGAGGAAGGCTTGTCCCGTTGATGAAGGCTTGTCCCATTGATAAAGGCTTGTCCCATTATTCATGTATCGTCCATTGATGATATCTCGTACGATTCAAGCTCTAGGCAGGACTGTCACAATTGTTGGGTCCATGGCATATTCATGGCTTACCCTATTGATGAAGGCTTGTCCCATTGATGAAGGCTTGTCCCATTATTCATGTATCATCCATGAGTGATGTCTCGTACGATTCAAGCTCTAGGCAGGACTATCATATATGATATTCATGGCTTGTCCCATTGTCGAAGGCTCATCCCATTGTTGAAGGCTCATCCCATTGTTGAAGGCTCATCCCATTGTTGAAGGCTCATCCCATTGTTGATACCTTGTCCCGTTATTCATGTATCGTCCATTGATGATATCTCGTACGATTCAAGCTCCAGGCAGGACTCCGTTCCTTAATCGCCAGCAGCTGATACACCAGCTTGATCGGATCGTTATCGACGAGTGTCATCTGATGCTCCACCAACATAGCAATTTCCGGCCTACCTTTCGAAAGCTCAGCCAGCTTACCAATACCACCGCTCAGCTAGTCTTACTCACAGCCACACTCCCACCAAGCGCCGAGCACCAACTCTAGAAGCGGCTTCATTGCACAAGGGAGAATATCTCACTATATCGGGATCGTACGAGCCGGCATAATGTAGCCTACCGTGTTTGGAGGCCTCTAATTAAGCGTGGCTTCGAAAGCATGTCCCAGTGGATCCAGATGGATTGTGTGGCCCGGTTTATCCATCAACGTGTGCAGCTCGGCTTCCCAGGCCGTACAATTGTATACTATAGCACCATCACACATACTCGTACGATGGCCGGTCTCCTAGGCTATGAGGGCTTCTTTGCCGAGCAGGCTGATCGTGCTGGGATCTTGGAACGGTTCCGTGGCGGCATAGGTAAAGTCCTTGTGGCCACCAACGCGCTTGGGATGGGGATTGATATTCCTGATATCCGGTGTGTGATCCATCTTGGGTGGCCCCGTACGATGCTCGACTACAGCCAGGAGAGTGGACGGGCTGGACGAGGCGGCCAACCCAGCGAGGCAATCATCATCCAGCCAGATAGTTTCCATGAGCCACCAATCTGGTTCCAACTACCTGCTGGAGCGGATGAGAAACAAGTGCAAGCCCACCAGGCCGATATAAGGCTCGTACGAGAGTATCTTAATGTGCCACTAGATGGGTGCCGACGGGCAGTCCTCGATGGATATCTTGATGGGGACTTTGATGGGCGTACGAGGATACACTGTGGTGATATTATTGCGCAGGGGCTTGACGAACAACGGTGTGACCGATGTCAACCTGATTGGTTCCATGGGCTCTCGTACGAAGTGACACGGGCTATGCTACCGGAAGCAGAGATATCCTAGCAGGGTGTCATGGTGAGTGATAGCTGGCAGCCACTCCGTATAGCCCCAGCGAGTCCATATGGCTCGAGGGCATCTAGTACGGCCAGTACTGAGAGCTTCCAGTCCCAGGTCCCAAGAGGGATTCGACCTGCAGCCAGTCCTATACAGGGGCCAGTGATCTCTACTAGCGAGGCCAGGGCGATTCCCACTGAGGTGCGGTACGAACTCCGACAGCAGGATATCGTACGAAGGCAGTTTGGGCAGCAACGGCGGGAGGAAGGGCCTCTGGCACTGCAATTGATGGAATTCCTCGAGGCAGAAGTCCAGAGGTGGCAGGATCGGTGCTGGGTCTGTACGATGGATGGAGGTGATAACGACCATGACTTATATCAGTGTTATGCCCCTGGCAATAATACTGCTCGGCAGTGGTATCTTCGGTGGCGAAGTAAGATGTCGTACGAGCGAGGGGCGTGTTGCTTTCGATGTGGTATGCCACAGCAGATTTGTCGGGTTGGGTTTGAAAGGGGGGAGTGTATATATAAACATGTCTTACTCCCGATATACGCGATGATGGTATATGGGGTGCCCCAGCGGGACTTGAATCGTACGAGGAGTATACAGGGGCTCTGGGCTAGGCGGCTTCAAGAGCGTGGAGTTGATTTTGGTAATGAGGCTGACGTAGTGAGATTTTTAGGACAGATGGTAAATGGGTGGACTAACTGTACCGAGTTAATCTGGGGGGTTATCTGGCTTTGTAAGCAATATAAGGGGATTGATATATAGATAGTTATAATACTAGAAGTAAAGTGATATATATCCCTATAGAACGTACGAACTAGGAGTTAAAGTAAGAAGTTAGGAAGCGTATAAACTAGAAGGAGAAGTTGGATAGTATAAGGTATTTCGTAGGCGAGCTACGCACCCTACCTAAAATATATTCATTAATTTAATAGTTTCTTCTTTCACTTCGTACGAAGTATGACGGCCCTATAATAAAAGGTAATAATAAGGAGTGAATTCTACGGCTAGGGTTTACTTTTATAACGTAGAAATTATTAATAGGTGACTATTATTAAGTATACGAATTCATTTAGCTAGGGGCTTCCTCTATATATAATTTTTAAGGGTAAAGTGTTTATTAAATTATAGTTCGAAGGCCTACTAAATGACTAGTATATATTCTAAGGAGATAATATATAAATATATATTATAAAGAATAACTTTAAGGGTTATATAATAGAGGCTAAAGATATCCGTATCCTATAGGGGTAGTTATAGTGTAGTAGACTCGAATTAGGAGTTTACGTTAACTATAGTAGATAAAAGTAGGGCTATAGTAGATAAAAGTAGGGCTATAGTAGATAAAGGTAGGGCTATAGTAGACTAGAATAGTTTTATAAGTAGATTAGAAAAGCTTCTTATATAAAGATAAAGTTTAAAATTTATAAAGTTCTATTCTATACTATAAAGATTATAGTTAGTAAATTTTCGAGTAATTAATTGAGTTATAAAGGTATAGTAGGTAATTAAAAATTCGAATTATTTTTAATAGGGGATAACTATACGAGGGGCCCGCACTCTTCGACTTTATTTAAAAATATATATTTGAACTTTGATATTATATATATTTCTATATTATCCTACTAAGATTTTTTGATATAGGATTAAATATATAACTATAAGTTAGAGCTAGGAGTTGGAGCTAAGAGCTAGAGCTAGAGCTAGGAGTTAGAGCTAAGAGCTGGGAGTTAGAGCTAAGAGCTAGAGCTAAGAGTTAGAGCTGAGAGCTAGAGCTAGAGCTGAGAGTTAGAGCTGGGAGTTAGAGCTGAGAGCTAGAGCTAGAGCTGAGAGTTAGAGCTGGGAGTTAGAGCTGAGAGCTAGAGCTAGAGCTGAGAGTTAGAGCTGGGAGTTAGAGCTGAGAGCTAGAGCTAGGAGCTGAGAGCTAGAGCTGGGAGTTAGAGCTGGGAGTTAGAGCTGAGAGCTAGAGCTGAGAGCTAGAGCTAGAGCTGAGAGCTAGAGCTGAGAGCTAGAGCTGGGAGTTAGAGCTGGGGCTTAGGGCTTAGGGCTTAGGGCTTAGGGCTTAGGGCTTAGGGCTTAGGGCTTAG